GGAACAAAATCTTAACGAACCTGCATGTGAGGTCAATCCTCAAATTGAGGAGCTGAAAAAATTTTATATTGGAGAGATGGAGCCAAAGAACAATCAATACAGAAGGGGAACAAATTTTAATGTTACTTCGGAAGCCTCGTCTGAAGGAGAATATGTGTCACTGAAGGACATGTATAAGAGTTTCAACAATATTGAAAATCGACATGTTGTATTAGTTGGACATGCAGGTAGCGGTAAAACAGTATTTACGAAGCGACTGATTCAGTATACACTCAAAGCAAGTGGGCTGTGTGAGAAATGGTACAGGAAATCAAGAATATTTCGAAAAGGAAGATTTGAACTCATTCACTTTATAAACATTCGTGACATTCTCGTCTCAGGATCTAACAGTCCACGTGAACTGCTATTCGATAACATCGTCACAGATTTGATAAGCGATAAGATAAAAGAATATGGATATAAATGGATTTTGCACAATCAGGAAAAAGTGATATTTTTCTTCGACGGTCTAGATCAAGCCACATGGTCTTTGCTTGGTAGTCATCCAAATATAGATCACAATACAAGAGCTAGCACACCAACCGTAATGTTCAACATTATCACTGGCCATCTTTTCCCCAGGGTACATATCGTATTGTCTTCCAGGGAGCATTGTATAGCACCTCTTACCGGCAAACTTCGTCCACAGTCAATCTATGCCCTTGCAGGATTGGCCCAAAATGACGTAAAAAGGCTCTTCATCTCGATTCTAGGCGAAATCGGCCAGGAACAGTGGGATAAGATGTGCACACATTCCCCTGCTATCATAGCTCTCTGTTCCGCTCCTGCTTTTTTGATTTTTACAGCGATTGTTCAAAGTAAATATTCGGAAGATTCCCCGGATACAGTGACTGGGGTCATGTTACAGATTCTCCGTATTTTTATCAGATCCGATCATGTTCGAGTCACGAAAGAAAAACTGGAAAAAATTCACAGGTTGAAAAAAATTGCATTTTATGCCATGAAAGAAAAACGTGTTATTTTCACAAGAGAAGAATTGGAAGAAGTCGGTATAAATTCCAAAAGTATCGGAGATTTTATAATAAAGGTTCCAAACAAAAATTATATCAGTCAATGTCTACTCGATGGCGAATTCAGTTACTTCTTTTCTCATCAAACAATTCAAGAAATGCTTGCAGCTTTGTTCCTGTGTGAGGCTTCTACGTCAGAATTCAAAGGGTTCGTGAAAGAATCGCTTCATCTTAATCATTGGTCGGTTGTTCTTAGATTTACAAGCGGAATTATGCTCAATCTTTCCATAAAACTAGGCGGAGCTATTTCACTGGTGAAAAGTAAGTTATTTTAGAAAATTAATCATCTTGCTTGAATTACTAACTTTTGTCCATAAGATCATGTCCCAAATGAAACTGAGAACTTCAAATCGAATAGTAAATTATTCGAATCGGTTCAGATTCGTTAGATAATATGTTTTCAGTAATTTTTTTGTTCCTGTTGGACTCATCACAATAAAAAGTCACATACAATCAAATATCTTCCAAATATTCGAGATTCGATTGTGAAAAATATTCGATTTATCAGGTATTCGAAAATGTCCAGCCGTAGTCTCAAACTTGATAACATGCTTTTACATTATCTATCAAAACTATTATGTAAAATTATATGTAAAACTATATACCTAAAGTGAAAAAAACTTTGTAACTTTCTTCTTCTAACTTTAGTTGACAATGGAATAGAAAAACGAAAAATTCTGAAAGATAGTTTACGCGAGAGATTGAGAAAAACAAAGGAACGAGAGAAGCCTTTTGAGATGATGGAATTGTTCGGAGTTCTTTATGAAGCGAATGATAGTGATTTTATTCGATCAAACGTTTGGGAAATTAATTTCGTGAACGCGTTCATCACCCCAAGTGGAATGCTAGCCATATCATCAGTTCTACGGCGATGTGAAAATCTCGATCTCATTCGATTTTCGGAATGCGGTTTCAAATCAGAAATACTTGAGATCATGTCTACTAATTTGGTGAATGTACATCTCCAGGTTCGATTGTAAATTGATTAAATTCAGACAAACTGAGATCATTTATATACAAGGTGATCAGACCAAGTGTAGACAAATGTTTATTAAAATATCTACAATACAAATGTGAGCGAAAAATATATTTTGCACAAAATAGCATTATAAAGATAAATAATAGAATTCATTGTTATTTTTCGATATATCCTCCCTTTGCCTTCGCTACACGCCTCGATCTGATTTGAACTTGACTGCACGTGGCACGTATGGTTTCTTCTGAAATTTTGTCCCAACAAGTCATCAATCTATGCCTTAGAGCAGTTGTTCTCAAATCGAGTTACCCGCACCACTAGTGCTCCGTTTTTGGTGGGCAGTAACGGGCGAGGGCGAGTCAAGCTCCAAACAGATCGGTAGGATATATCAAAAAATAATAATGAATTTTATTACTTAACTTTATATTGCTATTTTTCTGCAAAATCACCCTGCAAGGTAAAAATATTTAATTTTATTTTTGTATGCTTTAGTAGGTTAAAAAGTTTGTATCTCCAGGTTCGTTTGTAAATTAATTATATTCGGACAAACTGAGAATATTTATATATATATATATATGTTAAAATGTTGCTTTTTATTTTTCTATACTTTGTTCAGGTTAAAAAGTTTGAATTCGTACAAACTGGATCTGGACTGGATAATGACGGATTGAGCTACCTTGGATCTGTTCTGGGAGCTTGTCAATCAAACGAATTATTTTTAAACTTTGGATGCACTGGAACAGATTACAAAGAGCTTACTAAAAGCTTTGAAGAAGCAAAGGTAATGTACTAAAACAATTCAATTAAAGTGATGTGATTTTATGACTCAATCTATACAATGGAACGCAGTCAAGTCAAAACAAACGCCCAGAAATGATCAAAACAAATACTGCAACATCACGTTTATATCGCTCGAGTGTGGACTGATAGTGGTGCGTGAATTGTATCGAACCGATAAATTAATTCCATAGGACACATTATTTTTTTCCGGACGATGAAAACACGAAAAGTTTAACAAGAAAATATCACTTTTTCCATGCAAGGTGCATAAGGATTAATATCAATATTTTCAAAGTGAATTGCAAAATTAGGACGGGAAACGTATTTGAACTTTCGGCGCGACTCAGTCATGCACTTCGATATATTGGTGAACAATTCGCAATAATGGCAATGGGTGTTTCCGCGACTTTTCGATCGCAGGAAAATTCGTCCTGTTGCCGTTAAAAAATTTCTAATAGTTATTCAAGTGCATTTATGAGATTGAACTTACGTACATCAGTTTGACCTTGTCAAATTAGCATTGTGTTTTAAACTACTTAAAACACTGGTTAACTAAAAAGTATTTATATTTCCCAACGTTGGTCGATGCTAAACAATAGTAATAATGCTGTGATTACATCATATATATACCTACTAATACATACTTACCAATAAATAGCGTTTTCAACATTGAAAGTATATTTTGAGCAATAAAAGATTTTGAATTTGTTCAGATGCCGAATGTTCGAATTCAAAAATTCACATTCGAACCGACAGACGAAATGAACGGGCCATTGTTTTCTGCAATTGCTGAGTTTGCCGAAAATTACGCAGATGACGTCTTGGTCCCTTCTTTACTCAAATGTGACGAAGAAGATATCGATGTAATTGGTGAAGGAATCGGATGCAAAAAAGCAAGTTTATTTGCCAAACATTTTTCTTACTCATTTTTTTTGCTATTAGCAGCAATACACGGCGGTAGCAATTTGCTATATATATATATATATAATATATTTTAAAATAAAAAAATAGGATTTTTCAGTAAAAAATTGACCGTAAACTGCATACTTTGTCGTTACAACCTAAATTGTTTTAGTGCTATACAAATAAGTTTCCATCCTTCTGTTTCTTTCTATAATTTATAATTATATTGATATCTATAGTGAAAATAAACCTCAAAATAAAATCTTTCTCTGCAGATGGTAATAGAACACGTGCAAATAGTGAATATGTCTACAGAACGAGCTAGAAAACTTGGAAAAACTTGCGCTAGCTTCCACGTCCAAGCAGTGGAATTGGATGCTGTTTTTATAACTGGAGAACATTTAGAGATTGTAAAAGAGAATATTGGCGATGAAAAGGTATGAGAAAGCAGTACAGTATAAAATTTCAAGCTCTAAAATAGGCGCTCCAGAGGTATGTGCATCAAGAAGGCGCACAACCTGATAACCCTAACCTGGTACACATACTATGTTCAGGTTGTGCGCCATCTTGGTGCACATACTTCGGGAGCACCCTAAAATAAAATACAAAATGGCTTTCGTTAAATTATACACATAGGCTATATTTTTTAAACAACTTCCTTAATCCTGATAATCAAAACGTTTTGCTTGATATAAAATCTCACATTTTGGGCTTGAATGACACGACTTTTTATATCTCCATCAATTAAAGACTTCTTCGTCAATCATTCATTACATTAAGTATATTTAATAAAAAACATACTTCGGTGAATATGTAATCAGCAAACGTAACTTTACCTGAAATCACGATCATACTCTATTTTATCAATCATGAGTGATTCAAAAGTATTGCTGTACACTAACATAAATAAATTTCTGTAACGTTTTGTCTGACCAAGGTCAAACTTCCTCGAACGTACATAGTTCAACTATAACAAAAAAGTAGTTGCATGCATAATTAATCAGTGATTGGTGGTTAACCGATCAGTGATTTGATTGGTTAGGGTATCAATCAGATTGGGGTTTGAAGTCAAAACTCAATCAGACGCTGATTTGTCATTATCACACAACGTGATATTGTTCTATGGAACAAGTTACTACTGCACGACAACCAAAATTTTGTTACTTTTTTAAAGCATATTTTTTTACGATTTTAAGATCCAAAAACTGATAGTACAAAGCCTTAAAGAAATAAGCTCGGCATTATTCGTTGCTTTCGCTGATTTTGTGAAATTCCACACGGAAGAACTGGAAATGGAACCGACAGTATGGAATGAAAGCGACATTGGAATCGTCAGCAGAGGAGAAAAATGCAAGAAAGTAAATTAAGTTAACTTGGATTTCAATTTAACAAAATCGCAGTTCAAACTTTTCTGCTCAAATTTCCAAGAGTTTCAGAAGGTCATACAAATTTTGATCGATTACAATCAGCGAGCACCTTTTTCTCTCTGTTTTTATTAAGGCGGATCACTGATCAATCACGAAAACTAATTATAGTATATATATATATTATAACCTAGAAGAAGGATCATTCAACATATCCAATCTTTATTCTATTCTAAAATTACTGTTTAAATTATTTATTCTTGTTTTACAAAATTTCTAAGCTTTTATTTTGATCTTGACTAGATGCAAATCAGAGCTGTTAAAATAATCCATCACAGTATATCGATAAGTCGATGCGAACAATTGGGAAATATCTGTTCCAAATATGATGTGGATGAAATACACATCTTCCGAGCCCGACTCGAAGCTCAACATTTGCAAGTTTTCCTTGAATATGTGGAAGACGGAAAAGTAAGTTGAAACATTTGGGCTACATTTTTCAATTGATTAACTTAACTTTACATATCAGCATATTCTGAAAATCAGTGGTAAAAAATTCGATGCTGGTCGGGCCGATATTTTTGAAATCAGGTCAGACTGGTACTGTAAGATTCTGACCAGAGAACAGCCGGTAAACTTTAGTGCCTTTAGAATATATTTATGCGTTCTATTTGATATGATGTTGGTTTCCAAACGGGCGCTCCAGAAGTGTGTGTACCAATATGGAGGTAACTAATTCTGTTCGCCTACTTTACATCAAGTTGTATAAAGAGACCGAAACTTATTGGACAGGGGATATATTAACTTGGCTAACACAGACAGTATCCGAACTCGTAATTGAACTAAAATATTCTTAATTCAACCGGATAGCTAAAGAAAAATCGAAATAAAATTATGCCCTGACCCTAACCTGGTACATACACTACGGGAATGGCTACGTTCAAACGAGCCCTATCCTGTGTCCGACTAATCTGTTTAATCTATTCCAGTTTAATTCGTTGAGTATTGGTGACAACTACGAATTAGGAGACGAAGGTTTTGCTTTAGTTGGAGCTGTTGTTGTTAGATGTGAAGTTCGAAAGCTTCGCATGAGGGAATGCGATTTGAAAACCAGTGAAGTTAAAGCTTTTAGAGAAAACGTCAGTGATGCGACAGTAAGATATTATATATATATATATACATCCACACCACCAGAGATATTTTAAAAAATAGAGCAGGGTGAGATATCGGGTTCGTAGAATTATTAGAAAATTTGAAAAATGAAACTAATAGACTTTTAACGGCGAGAAGAAAGCCGATAATCATATGGCGAACCATTTGATATCGATTGGTTCAATAGTTGCACAGAAAAGCGACTTTGTCACAACAGCAACCTCAACCAGAAAAATTGAAAATTCTCAAGTTTTATGGACAACCAGGTCAAACGTCAAAACATTTCTCCTGCGATTAAAAATACAGTAAAATATAATCGGGCCTCATTGGCCTCAAATAATTTGTCCAATATGCCTATGCATTACGTTTTTTTAGGATATACATTCTTTATTTCAACTCTAGTTGGACAGTCTCGATGTGAGTTATAATGATAACTTGAATCCTTCAGTCTATTCTGAGATTGGCGTACTTGTAACACAGTGCCAACTTAAAAATCTTGCTATAAAAGATTGCTACCTGGAACCAAAGGGGATAAAAGCACTAAAAGACAATCTCGGCGATAACGTAGAGGTAAAATTCCATTTAATAAAGTTTTAGAATATCACCGATGGAATCTATTTATCTAAAAACAAGAGAGCAATGCTCAAATATATAGACACGAAAGCCAAAACGGAGTACTAAAAAATTTTACAGTACCAGTCGTCAAACTACTACGGATATTTCTGACGAACGCCACGCGCTGCGCAATTTTTAATTTTTATCGTGTCTTCCCTCAAAACTTCCAAAAACAATTATTACCTACTGAAAATTGCAAGAGTGATTTTTTCACAACAACAATAAGAACAACTACCGTGATTTAAAATGGAACAGCAAAATTTTAAGTGGATTAACTGGTCCCGTGGGAATCAGAGGATATTAGAAAAAAAATTAATAGCGATTTTAGCAATCGTTCGAATGCTAAAAATTTGAAATTGATTGGTCTATTCGGTAATAATAAAATAGTTGTTTCCATAAAAACAACAATCCCAACTACAAGAGGGTCGCTAAACGATCGTTAAATCCACTTGTGTCTAACTAGCGAACAACGCAAAATTTGCGAGGTTAAGGTACCGTTATCTGTACGATATCTGTATTCACTTAGTAGCGCAATTTCATTTACGGTAAATGATAACATTTTGATTAGAATCTTGTTTGAATATAATGGTATTTCTAGCATCTGGTACAAATGTCACTATTATTATTTTTTGACTCGGTAGTTGGCGCACTGTTCACGCTCGACACCGCGGCACTGATCACACTGCATAATGTCATTATGTCCAGGGGAATTAATGGACTTCTCTCCATTTCAGGGTGGTTCAATAAAACACCTATAGTCGGCTACTTCCCCCTTCGAACTTTGTGCGTTTTAAGGAACTCTTTCCGTATAGTCCTCTGTGATTTAGTAACGTTATTGTTTATTTCCTCCACGCAAAATAAGTATAAATTTATTTACAGCTTCAAACACTGGATTTTAGTGAAAATAAAGCCGACAAAATTGGCAAGGAAGGATTGTCAATGATTGAAGAAATCGTTCGCAAGTGTAAAGTTGAAAGTCTATTGATGAAAGATTGCAAATTCGATGAAGATCAGTTAGATACTTTCAAGGAAATGATTGGCGACATCGAATTTCATCATTAATATTTCTAAAAGACCTAAAATTCTGTACTCTTGACCAAATCTTTGTTATTTTGTAGTATATATTGTGTTTTACTTTTCAGTATTAATATTGACTAAAAATGTGAACACGAAAACATTATCGTTGAACGAATGGCCCGACAAGTTTAAACAGTCAATTTCGTAGATTTTCAAAGTTCGACTACGACTTCCATATTAATGAAAAAAAAAACAAGAACCAGACTCCAGGTCCACAGATCTGGTTTGCTATGGAGGTTTTCTAATTCGTAATTTTCCCAATTTGATTTTTGGCATTGAGCCGTCAGAGTGTACAAGATATAGAGAATTAAAGTTATTAAATTAAGTTATTAACACAAATTGAAATTTAAATAAGCACTGAAACAATATCAGTATATTGCTGTAATATTAGAATATTTTTTTTTCTCAGTATAGTCTTTAAATATTTAAGTTAGGATTATAATCAACACACCCCGTAGCTATATAAAATGACATAACATATGTTCAACGTAACCTTCATTACTTTCTCCTTCATCTTGTACTACGGCGCGTAGCATACTTTCGTGATATATAGCCTACTGTGCTACGAAAAAAAGTGATTTTACAAACCGTGGCTTCTAGCATTTCTAAAAGCCGAAGCCGAACGTTTTTCTATCCTCAATTAAGCCTGCTCACGTTGCTAAGCTATTCATGCTATTTTTAAAAAAGGTTTTTTTTATTCATGTTTTTTATTCCGATTTCATATCTATGTGTGTAAATAAAGCATATACGAGTAGCGATAATATTTTTTTTTATATCTCCAACAACATTATTGAATTTTTTTTAACCATATTTAGGTCAATGTGAAAATAAAGAGACGATGTTGCTATGCATAATAATTATAAAGAATTATTTCAAACGATTGCAATAGACTAGAGGGAGAAAAGGAGACACAACCGTTTAAAAACTTTCGATTTGTCCACAATCCAGGTCCAAGCCTGACGAAAGTTGTACTACTTAGCCAGTCCTAGCTATAGCACGTGTAAGGTAGTCTGAATTCTGGTCACCGCCTTGATTTAAAAAAAATTGTACGATTTATGGACGAACTAATTTTTAGGGTGGTTGATTTTGTTCTGCATATGTACATGAGGGTTAGAGTGGCAGAATTAGAAAAGTAATCAAGCGTAACCGGTTAATTATAGCAGATATGTTATGCTTTAATTCAGGGCTCTTTAAACTGGGTGTTCCGACCCCCAGGTATGTCGTGAAAGGGTCCAAGGGTAAAAGCTTTTTTGACACTAACTTATGTTAAAACAAAATATCGAACAAATTTGGAAGTACCAGTACTGAGACCAACCATCACCGAAATAGAGCCGACATTCGATATTTCTGCGAGAATATGCAAGTGCAATGCTCAGTTTCCTTATTAATATTTTTTTTAATATTTTCTGTATTATTAAATTTTAATTTTTTTTTTAGTTTCTGGGGTCGGAGAAAAATTGGCCGTGCCGAGTGGGTCGTGATAAAAAAAAATTTGAGCAACACTGCTTTAATTCATACATCAGTCAGAGGTTTAAAATGAAACCTGATTCCATTTTTGTTGAGTTTATGCCTCTGTGTTGTAGTTCAATAACGGTTACTTTATTTCTGATAAAAATTTCGGTTTGCAACTTAAGCAATTTAACCCGAAGTCTTTTGTTAAAGGAACTGGACTGGCTTCAGAAACTTAAGAAGATGACAACTAAATCTATTCCAATTATAGAAATATATTATAAAGCTTTTCATGTTTTGAAACAACCATAAATAAAATATGATATAGGCGGCTCGTGGTCTTTCTTTTTCGTGTATATTATTAGGTCAAAGTGGGATGTTTAGCTGATATGTACAAGATTTTATAGATGGCTTCTCTTTTGTTCAACACGAGTATTCACGTAATAGTTATTCAACGACTTGCGGATATCTTTACTTCGAAATATCAAAGCACTAGCTACAGAAAAAACAGAAATTTAGTCTAATTTTGCTGTAATTGTGGGTTCACAGTAGTTTTCAATCATGCTCTACTCAATGGAGCTGTACAGCAAGCACTCTAGTGGTTGGTGGCTCTGATTGTCGAACTCACAGTGAATTAACGAACTTTTTGAAAGCTTTAAACATAATATTCCTCAAGTTCCTAAAATATGCGGATCACCTTTATGTGTAAATTTACGTTGACAGCATAGATAGGCTATTGAAAATAACGATTACATGAGTCTTAAATAGAAATCCGGACATTTTATGTTTTTCCATTGTAGTCGGGTAGAAACAAAGAAATTAATACGACGGTAATTGATGGATTTACGCAAATCTATTGTTATGTCCATGAAAGTCAATCGGTATGACATGAATGTATTGTTTTTCAACAAAATATGTTCGGAAAATTGTATCTAATTCTTCGTATATATCATATCAGCTCTGGTTCTTTTTTCATTTCATAATTTGTAAGAAATAACTTTTCCCATTGCGCTTACACCATGGAAAACGAAATTGTAAGTTGAGGCCGAAGATTCATAACATGTACGGTGGTATTTGAGCTTGATTTCGAAATATGTGAATATGATTTAAATTAGGTGTTCTCAAATTCTCATTATCCGTGGCGCTTCTCAAAAAACCAATACTTGTGGTCCATTGTTTCTCTAATTAAAATACCTAGTTGAGGATTTTTACGCTATTCAATCAATATTTCCACTCGTCAGTATTCGGTCTTGTAATTTGGTGCTTATACTCGCGTTACAGATTGATATGACGTGACCACTCGTCTATGAGTCCAAAAAAAATCTTCATTAATTCTTCACTAGCTCTGCGATGAAAAGAATGCAAGACTTGAGAAATCATGGGATCGTCTCCTGACTATGTGAAATTCAGTCCCAGTCAGTGACCGTAAAATTATGCATTTCAATATACGAAGCAAGTAAGAAGAACAAAATAGCCCAATCAAGTAAAATACTTGTTTTACAAAATCAATCATTAATCCTGAGTATAATACTAAATTTTTTGAAAATAAATTCAATCTTTTTTAATATTTACCGACAGTTTCCAAAAATATATCAACGACCAAGAGGCGCTAAATTCAACAGATTCGGCAGAATCTGTTTCCGCATGATGGAAGTTTAAATACAGTCAGGTAACAGCTATCGAATTCATGGTAAAGCCACCTCTAAATAATAGTATATTTATTTTATATAACAACTTTTTAATGAAAGTTAAACACATTCGAAAAAGATGAAACAATTGAACTGACTTACGAAAACAGCAAGCGTCGCCTACTATAGCAGAAGACGATTTTGATGCTATAAACCAGGGGTGTGCAACATTTAATACAGGAGTGCCAGATACAAATAACTGGGCGAAACCACGCGCCGCCCTTCATTTAACATATTATATATGCTTTCTAGTAGTTGCAGGCACAACAATTTTGGTATTGGTTTCGTAATATTCGCTTTTTGCTTCGCACAAACTAGCTGTGGGTGCATTGTGACGTCATATGCATAAATGATTGAACTCGGATATGGGCTTTGCAACTCAAATGGATTGGAATTACTTGGACGTGCCAGATTAAACTAAATTGAAAACTCGTTCGCGGGCCGCACACCATTCAAAATGGTCACTTCTCCGCGGGCCTCACAATTTCTCCTTGTGGGCCGCATTTGGCCCGCGGGCGCAGGTTGCACACCCCTGCTATAAACTAATGACTATACAACTTATCTACAGGGTTTGTACTGATCCAATGATAAGGATTTCATTACATAACGACGCACATATACAAAAATGTGTTAAAACTCGTCAATATAAAAGTTTATATTACAAATGTAAATAAATTTGAATAAAAAAATGTTGAATGTGGTAGAAATGCAAAACCTAGAAATAGGTCGGAAATGTCACCTGTTTAATACTGCTGTAGATATCAATCAACATACCTTTTATGCAGACGGCACGTGTGTCTGGCTTCGCAAAGATTGATAATATTTTCCACTAGGTCCTCCTTTATTTTATCTATTACATTGATGATCTTCGATAAAAGAGTATTTCATGTATAATCAAGTCCGACCAGATAATATTTTAAAAGTAGAATGTTACCATTAAAAATAATTAATATGATACCTAATGGCCGATTGATCAATTTCACAAATAAATAAATTGCAGATAAATATATATAATAGTGACTGAAATAATAACATTCCTTTGATGTGAAAACCCAGCAAAAAAGTTTAAAATAGCTTTTACTTTTCAGGATAACTTTTAAAAGCCTAAAAGCAACTAAAATAGAAATAGCGAGTGTATAGTTTAGAATTAAATTCACTCCACGATTAAATATTATCAAAATACCATATGTTGCGATCTTCTTTTGATGACGATTGTCAACTCTTCGTTTCATATATAGGCTACTCATGAATATTTACGCAAAAAAAGTGCGTGATATTCGAGGATAAATATTATAGAATGAATACTCCCTCCCAGTATGTCTCAATGATAATATTATGTTCATTATTAGAGGTATATTTTTTATCAATCGCTTCCACGATCAGGTTTGTAAATTGTATCTGAGATTACTAGGCCTTGATCATTTCAGTTATGTTCACTAAATTTGTATATTTGTAATATTGCTTAACTTATTTAGCTCAGAAAATCAGAAAGAGGTGAATGAGAAAATATTTATATTCTCATACAGCTATCCTAGTATGACAACGTCCGTTCAAATTTTTGTGCAGAATTACGTTGTAGACAAGATCATTAGCATAGTTTGGATATTAATGAAATGGTTGCAAGCTTTTTACGTAGAAGTAGAGCCAAACTTTGGCCTTGGATTTGAACTTTGACAGAAATTTTAGGCAGAGTACGATAATACATCTGCAGATCTTAGATGACACAAAAAAAGAAGATTCAGAGGAATTCAAATTCTAAAGTCAGGAAGAGTTATTCCGCTCCGAGCTATGTATATTGCACGAATTTTACTGTTTAATGTGTTTTGTGGTTAGAGCTATTTTGTGTCATGTATTAATAATTGCACATCTGTAAATCAAAATTCAAAAATCGCTTTTCGTCTGTGCTATTTGAAAGCAAATTTGTTTATATGGTTCTAGTGGTTTGAGAATTGGCAAGAATAAAAAATTAGTTGTGTTTTCTTGGGTGAGAGATATATTGAGTAATGTAAACTTGTCTACTCATTCTTTATCTTCACAAATCCAGTTCTTTTAGAAACTTTTTTTGTATGTAATATGCTGTAAGATGTTTCAGTTGTGTATCAGAAACAACGTCACTCTCCTAAGGAAGGCTCAGGTCATTCTAAGAAGGGCACGATAGATAATCATGGTGCCTCAAATATGTGTTGCCGACCGTGTAAAATAAAAATGGAAACAAGCAGATATAGGATCCTAATAAAGTAAAACATAATTCGTGAACATCCGCTCAGACACGCGGCACGCGTCTGCATTGTCTGAATTTAGTTGTAATCTTTTGAAATTATGACAATAACTTTTGACGCACTCCGCCCCAAACGTCTAATTTGGTTCGCTTTTGATAAACATTTTCGGCTTAATTCTAATGAAATCGAACGGAAGAAGTTGAACAATGATATCAATTAATTTATTGTTCTTCTAATTATCAGTATCGCGTCAGATGCGTTTCAAACATATTCCCTCATATGTCGGATATAGATGAAATAAAAAACTTTTAGCCTCAAGTCCTTATCTTTCTACAAAGCGTGCCACGCAACGGCAAGATAATATGATATTGAAATCAAGTCCTATTTTCCGGAATAACACGTACTGATATCTTTTCAAACATGTTGTTCGTTGAATACGTAAAAAAATATTACAGCACAGCACTAAAAGAAAACCAATAGGCTATGCGTTTTTTTAACTACAACAAAAACATTTGAAATTAAAAGTAACCGAAAATATGAATGAAAATTGCACTAATTAAATTGAAATTTTAATAATATTATTATCATGCACCGTTTAAAAACTAGTTGCAATTGTAAATTAAACTGCATAAATATCATGATTTTTCTTTATTTTAAAACTAAAAAGTAGAAGTTTGTTTTGTATTAAGAAGTAAAAATCTGCATTCTCTGAAGACCACGACGCAGTGATTTTTGTTTTATTTTCAATCTAATGAAGCCCGTTCTAGAATCTAGGCTCAAAGACTTAAAAACTACAGCTGTTATTAATATGATATAACCATTTCTATAAATATTTCGCATTTAACGAATTATCTGTTTGGTGTAATTAGCAAGCTTCTTGTCAATTAAAGCCGTATGTTATTCCGCATATTGGATTCTACCATTATGTCATTTCTCGTAATTAGATATTTTGTTTTCACCAAGAATTCAAAACATGGTTCAATTTCGAATCACGGTTGGTGAGTTCATGACGAAGCGACACATTGGTTTGGAATGTACGTCGTGTTGAAAAGGTTTAAAAATTTATTTAAAACCAACACACAACACCTTTGAAGATGAAAATGACTTCATTTTGTTATTTTATACCAATCCCTTTCAAAATCATTGATTATTTATTATTCATAATTAAAAAAAACGGGGGGCCATCCTTGGGTTATGCTAGATTAGGAATTTTTTTTTTTCACCGATTTTTTTGTTATACCGTTTGATATTCGAGTCCTCTTATAATGACCGTTTCCCGGCGCCATGACAGATAACATCCAACAGAACACAATCTATGGTCAGCTGTACCATGGAATTTCTCCAATTCTTAAATAATGCGCCGCGGAATGTCTAAACAATAGATCAAATTGGGTGAAAAGAATAATGATCGATGATCAGTTACCATCTGTAACAAACACCGGTTAATTTTGACAATTGAGCAATCACTACCTATTCTCCGCTGCTACGATTACTGTGTACGTGTATTCAGAAATAGCTTTGGCGGGACGCTATATACGCAATCCGAAATGCAAACAAATAGAGACGAGATAACTTGGCACAAAAATGTATTCTATTGCATTATTTTGGGAGCGTTTGATGTTGGTCACGCCTCCGCTTTTATTGACCTCAAATACATTTAGCTCCAATGTTTTCGCTGTGTGGGTTTAGGGAGCGAATTAGAAATCGACTTGGGTACGTTAATTCAAATACGCACCATCAAAGCGCGACTTTTGTGCAACACCTGATAGGCGTTAATGTTCTGTTTGCTTTTGCGCCAACGTTAGTTCGTGTTTGGAATATAATAACAGGCTTTTATGTGACCGCTTTGCGTTTTTAGTCAAAAGTGATTAACAAATTTAAGGCTCTTTTAATTGAAATCGACCGTGGAGGCGGCGTATCCGAAAGTAGACGAAAAAATATATCGGGATACGTAAGCTTTTACATTTGCTGGAAAGATATAAATACGATAGAATAGAAGGCAGTATGATTAATATAATATCGCGGGCAGTGATTGGATATAGTGTCTTGAACCTTCCCGCTGTGGGTTGGCCAACCCGGCGGGTGTGAAAATCCTAAGTTCGCGAGCAGGCTTAATTCGAATGTGCTTGATGAGAAAAAGGCAGTAGAGATTTACATTGCTATTATATATGTAGGTAAACCATATCATTACCTTCGGACAATTGAAACAGGAACGCGAGATTTTATTAATGAGCTACATGAACCACAGGGTATTATATTCAGTTTATTCTCTTCTACGGCGCATATGGTTCTCGCAATTCTCACTGCCGGACAGAGAAACATAGCGTGCAAATTAGGGAGGTAATTAACGGCAGGTGGGTGACCAACAAGAATTATTAATACATAGGAGAATAGTGAATTGTTCAACAATATGGGAGCCCTTATAACCACCATTAGTTGTACGAATAAACATGTTCTGTTATTTGCAGATTTTATATAGATTTATTTTATAGCCAATGCGATGCTGTTGGGAAGCGAATGTATCGCGAAAGCGCTTGCATATAACTGCTGCATCGTTTTATTTTTATTACTTGTCTGCCATCCGGACTCGTCTATATTTGCAGAGGCACGCAGGCGAGGTAGTTCAAAATCATACAGGTTCAGAAATGGTCACCAGAAGTGGCGAGAATCATCGGTGTTTCGCCATAGACTATCTAACCCAAATAAGGATGATTCAAATCACAAAAAAATTGACAATTTTATGCCGCAACGAGCGCGGCCAACGGTTGATGCAAGAACTGAGCGAATAAGACAAGCTATTTTAACTCTGCCAGAATTATCAAAACTTCTGGATCCGCTAAGACACGCGTCAAATATAAATGATATATTTGCACCAGCGGACAATTTTCACCTTATGGGTACAGTAAGACGAAGAAGATTATATTGTCGTGTGGGAATGGGATATCATTTAGAAATTCGTCGAGATGGAAGAGTAATGGGTCGCCATCGACCAACTCGTGATGGTAAGATTTCAGTTCATTTCAATTATATTTACTCATCGAAATATCTGTCGTATTATCCTTTACCGTATTCTACGCTATTATTATAAATTACCACCGTTCGAATTTAGTACTTACGCGGAAAAATGTTCCTACAATTTTTTTCACATTGTTTATAAATATATCAGCGGGATATATTCGTACGCAGCGTGCCTGCTTAGACAATCTTGTGCCAATTTAAATTTCATATCATGTCTTGCATTATGTTTAGCACGATGGAATTGTCTGACTGGCTATACTGGATTTTCAACTGTGGGAAAACTAATTGTCACTGCATGACTTTATTCATATCACCTACCGGTGTCTAGCACATCAGCCACAAACGTCCCTAGGAATCCTCGCTTCGATAAAATTAATTTTTTTTTCATTTCGGTTAAAAAATAGCATTCTAATTTTTATTCCGATTTCTTGCGATTACAGGTGCGTTACTAAAGTTTTCTGTTCAATTTTTGAATATATTTTGAATGTAAAACTTTTTTAAATTGTAAATTAGCGCAAATGATTTGGAGGGTTATAAATTATAAAATTCGTGAAAATGAAAAAATGAAATTACGGAATAAAATTACAAATTATCAAGAAATTATAAAAAAAAATTGTAATTTTCGATTCAAATAATTTGTTTTGAAGTATTTTTAACATGGGTGTGTATATGTTGTAAGGGCAAAAAAGTTTTCACCACTGTGAAAATATATTAATTTCCGATGTTCGCCACATCAAAGCACAGACGAAATGTCACAGCGTATCAATATCAGTATTATAAGCCACAAATGTGTGTATCAAGCATTTAAGTATTTCATATTTCATACAAAGATATCTAATTATGAGAAATATGATATTACTGTCGCGGGGCTGATCACTATATGATCTTTAGAAATGATGATTTTACGGCAACAAATGCGCGTGTAGTAGAATTTTAAACATGTTTATTCAGACATTGGGGTGAAACTGGGGAATGAAATAATATTATTGCGTCACGTTTGATGTCAGATTGACATACACAATACGTTTATGTTTTATTCGTCTACATATTCATCTACAATTCATAAAAGTGTGTTATATTTTTGAAAACGTTTTTGCTTTTGAAAATGGAAAAAAAAATCCTAATAATGGTTCACTATACAATACGTTTCACTATATGTTCACTATACGTTTTGATTGATAAAATAAAAATGGGAAAAAAAGTTTTTTATTTATTTGTTTGATTGGAAAAGCATGTACCTGACTATTGCTCCTTGGCACGAGGTTCCGTTTGCTATTTAGTATTTTATACTACTGGTAATTTCAACACAAAAAATATTAATTGGCATTAGTATTACTATAAATGTAGTATAATTGATATTAATCATTTTACTTTTAGAAATCCGTGTAAAATCACATTGTTACACAACGTGTTAAATTGTGAAATCTATTTTCAGGTATTTTAGAAATCTTCAGCGTGAAGACCGGTGTTGTGGGAATACGTGCAGTTGCCAGTCAACGTTATTTATGTATGAATAAACGCGGAAAGCTTTATAGTTCGGTAAGTATTATTGATCTTCCGTTTGAAATATTTTTCATAAATAAAAATAAAATCTTTTTGACGTGAAGGAGAAAAGAATTTTTACAATCGAAATAGTGTCATTGAATATAATTTAATTAGTTGTTTTATATTCATATTGCGTGAAGTCGTTACTATAGAACTAAATTGCGTCCATTAGCAATAATTCCTATACACACCCGCCTTCAACCTTTGTCAAGAAACGGGGGTACAAACAGATTATGCCGCAATAATGTAATAAGTAAATTCAAACTAGGCTTAATTAATACGTAATAATGCGAAACAATTAAGGTATTTCAAATTCGCGCGATTTCGTAACATGGATAGGGATGTATATACGGTTCTAATCGCAATTTGAATGGCTCTCTCTTCGTGAAAATAACGCTAACGTCCGTTGTATCGAATATATATTTTTGGATATGTACGTTTATTTTCATTTATAAATAAAAGTTGTATCGCGTTTTCCTTCTCTAAGTTTTAATTTATTTTTGATCTTTGTATTCTCGGTTGCAACCAAACGTATTTTCGGAAGCGCTTTGGACTCATGGTAGGGAAACGAATACAAATAGATCTTATATTTTGACAAAAGTGTCACAGAATAATGTTGATAAATAAATCAAGCGCGGTATATTATTACTATCAAAGGTCGGGAAATATCACGTGATATATTGCGGACGCGGAAATGTAAATACTATATGATGTACAATTTTAACCACGACATTTTGGGTTTGAACTCCTGCCCTTGACGCATTGTTGCGTCATAGTTAAGAATTGATAAAAAAGAGCGTATCAATCAACGTAGTGAAAACCAGATGTTTCTCTCTTGTCCGATGTAACGCATGTCGTGAGAAATTTTTAACTTATTGTTATCATTGTTCCAAAACATTTAAACAAAAATAATTATGATATGGTGACACGGTAATTTCAATGATCACAGACATACCGCACACAACGCTTTCCTCAAGTCATATGGCACCTGGCGACGTCAACCTTCATAAAACCTCATTTTTCATACGCCGAATTGTATAACCTCACATACTTTAGCATGAATTTGATAAAAATCAGCGACATTTGTTCACAGTTTTGGAATTGAAATTAAAAATACTAATTTACGAAATAGTAATAACCCTATCATGCTCTTTTTAGAATTCTCAAAAAATTATTTGTTTTGAGTTGAAACGAAAAATTGTTTTTCACACGACAATCATGTACGTTTTTTTTCATTGAAATTAATATCTCCGTGACGTCAAAGGACGTTTAAAAGACGCCGCTTAAAGTTAAAAGAAAAAAAATTCTCATATTTTGAATTTAATGAAACGAATAAACATATATTATTGGTATATGTACGATTTAAAATTAGATGAATATCGCGACAACTCGCTTCCGTTTCTAAGGTCGTCAAAAGAAAACATCGACTTATTATTATTTTACCTGGCATAGATGATATCACACTGAAATATGTTCCCACTCTAGGATTATTCTACAAGTCTGGAATTTATGTTATACACGGGGAACCCAAGATCTAACAACAGAGTTTGAGCGCGTCCCATTGATTCAGTCGGCAAAAACATTCGACTCGCTTTTTGTTATTTTCGATTCGCAATGTAATAAATACTATTTAAGCATTTGACACCTGACAGTTAAATGATTACAATTTTTGGTATGGGACGTTTGTTGCGCCGTCAGCAAAACAATACACCTTTCGGACGAGAACAATGAATCGAGCGAAGCCTACCTTATGTGAACCAAGTATTGATAAACGCGCATCATATAGGAATTGCTTGGTAACTCAAAGTCAAGATAGATTATAACTAAACTAATTTTAGATTAAACATAATCTTTCGGTTTTATCAGTTTCATCTAACCCCCGAATTTAAATTGCTATTCCTATCAGCTTTGAGTCGTATCTCGAGCCTGCATGGCAATTTCATAATTTTGATGAAATATAAGACCAAAAATTCCCAACATATAAGCGCTTCATTCGGGTAAAACGATGGTTTAAATTTTACAATTTTTATCGAATAATTTTGACCTTCAAAAGTTTGTTAAATTTCCTAATTTTTTAAATGGTTTTATTTTGACAAAGTCATAAATCGTCCATTACTAATTACATTTATGATGTTAATTTAAATTAACTTTTTGCTTCAAAAATAGAATATTGTTTCGAAGTTGTCCGATATTTAGACGCGGTTTCCGTACCGACCGATATGGCGTAATTAAAATCTATACTCGACACAATGGATCACCATGTGAACAGATACAATTAGATTTCTACGTCTCCACCACATTGCCAGTGGAATGTCCGTCACAAAGATTTTGTTACGTCATATGCAGTCGAGTGTGGACCAGAAAAATATTAATCATCACATTTGTTTCAAAAAACGTTTGTGCACGATAGAATTTCTTATGGCGACTCGCAATACGGAAAATTACGCAAAATAATTGATTTCAATGTAAATCTAATCTGTAATCACGAAAGTACAACGAAATACAATGCTCGCAATTATATCAGCAGATACCGTCTTTCCGGCTTGCCTATATCTTCCGGAACTTTGCTGGCGTCTAAAACCGAATTAGCACCGACGCAGCCCTTCCTGCGTCCCCAATCATACTGGCCGCCTATATTTGTTTGATATGCTACAAGTGACCCTTTACAACCTATCGCTTAAGACTGTTAGAAGTTGGAGGCGGTATATTTTTTGCGCGTGTCCAACAGAAGTCGTCTGCGATTTGCGTTTTCGTTTTAAAACAATGTTCCATACAATAACAACTCATTATTATAAAGATAAACATATTAATTATCGAGTTTATTTTACGTCTTTATATTATTCTGTGTGGTCGTTTAAAACAGCGTATTGGGATATATACTACGATTAATAACGTCAAATATTTTACCATCATAAGATTTCGTGAAATAATATTATTTTGTACAATAATTATTAATATTTATATACAATATATTTATGATGTAAAATGAAAATAAATTATTATTCTACGATTACGTCAATTTAAGGTAAATTTAGAAAAATAAGTATTTTAAAAACCAGGTGTCGAATCAGAATGGCCTTTTCGTTTCGGTCGATTTGATGAATGATGATAGGCCGTTGTAAACTTAGCGGCTGTCAAAAACAGTAGAATAGACACGGGAGTAAACCTCAATCTTGAAAAGAAAAATGTCATGTTATTAAGACTGAAGTGATACCCACACCCCCCTCGATAAACACCTGTGTCGATTTATAATCTATTCTCTCCATGACCCACTAAACCTATCAATTCCTCACTAACGAATGGCAGTCATCTTCTCTAATCTAGAATTAATACTTCAACAAAATTTTGAAAATTTAACGAATTTCTCTTTTTTTTACAGTCTCAATTTATTCATGAATGTGAATTTCGGAAAGAATCGAAGAGAATAATTTTAATACGTATGCATCAAACTCATACAGCATCACGAGAAACGAACTGGGTACTACATGTCGCTGACAAAAAGAGGAAAATCTAAGAAGAGTAAAAATGTTTCTGGGCGACAACAAAAGGCACATTGGTTGCCGAGAAGTGTGAATGACTGATAAACATTTGACAGTAAACCTATATATCTCAAGAAGTGGGAAATTCTTCGAAAGAAAAACGAGGGATGGTGAATTTAACACCAGGAATAGCGAGTGAAAGCACACGCGATCGCGGTGCGAAAAAGCGCGTAAAGGAGAGGGGTTCGAATCCGCTGGCGGTTGCGACCCACACAGCACCGAACATGCTTTGACAATATGCTACTATGCTGCTTTGACAATTTTGAGGGTTGTACATATATATCAATGCATTCCAATAACGATTTCTCTAAAACAAACTTTAAAGAAACTATCAAATCATTTAGTGCATACTGTCTTGGCCATGGTGGTGGTATCCATATCTATTAAGTTGAGAAGAAACGTACTGCCAAGTGCCAATAAAATGCCTTTTGCAAGAACTTGAATATGCACAAAACCATGTTCAAACTATTCAAAACACAACCATCCACAATATATTGCAATTTTTCATTTATAAATCGTGTGGATTGTTGCATTTTCTTCCACATAACCACATTTCTTCACATAATTTATCACTGTGATTTTCATGATATAGTTTACTACACCGTGAACAAACTTATTTGTAAATTCACTGAATTTTCACCGTGAAAGTGGCTACCGTATTCGTCGATATTTGCATGGGTAATAATGGTTGCGATGTGATTCATTCGAGCGTAGCCTACTTACAAATGACATATTGAGTTACAGTAAAACGCTTGTAAATTTTTTGGTTATTTAACCCCTGACCCCCCCAGTCGTGGCGATACAGTTTTTCTTCATATAATGTAATTTTCATACTAATTACTGAAACACTAATTATCCATTCCACTTAATATTATATAATTTTCTTTCTAATTGTGGTCATGGATTGCCTTAAATCCCCGCACTTTAATATTTTCACAATACCAACTTGGACAACAATTTCGAACGAAGCCTTCCAAATAATTTATTTTTCCACAGTATAAATTATCATTTGACAAGGCACCATTTTCGTCCCTCGTAGAATTCATGATATTTCATTTGGACATTACAAATTTGAAGAGAGAGCTTGAAAAGATTGTGAAAAATACCCACAAGAATTTAAAACTGATCTATCTCTTATATGACATACACTGTCCTATATTCCACATAAGATACAACTAGTTTGAATGTTTGAAAAAAATAAATGTGTTTTTCCGGTACTTGGTTTGATGAATTGTGCAAAATCGGGAGTTTCTATTTTATTCTGTAAATATTTTTGTATTAATGTAATTGAACTATCGATCTAGCGCATTTTGTACACTGTTTACTCATATTTTTCTCATTTCTTTTTAATATTCTCGATTTATATTATTCCAGCATTTGTATATATCTAATTTATTTGTACAATATTTCATCACACAGTGGCGTGTTTTGCGATATCTTTGCCATGAAAATGCTGTCAAAATTTTTATGTTCCGTTGAAATGTTCAGTAGTTTATTCGTGAAAATAAATGAAAAGGAGGCAAGTAAATCTATGTTTGATGTATAAATTTGCTTACAGAAATGTTTAGCTGATCAGAACAAATATCAAAACATGAGGATATCAGTCAAAAAAAACATAAGTCAGGTCAAATGATTATATTGTTATTGCAAGAAGTGGCACAAAGATATCAGTCTACAAATGAAAATTAAGAACTGCAAGCTGATAATATCTATCACCACGTTGAGAATACAGCAGTGTTTCAGTTTACTTGCGCTGTTAATGTTTTCCTATCTTCGCCTTGCTTAAACTTTTTTGTTAACGATTAATAGTAATAACGGGTTTTTGAGTGTAGAGAATTTGATTTTTTCAGTACGCGTTCTAGATTTCGCTGTACAAGAAAAGTAGGCTATCGGCTTTAATTCACAATTGCACGCAAATCTTTAGTTGGCATGTCCAAGTAATAAATAGGTACAACAATTCAGCCGGTGTAGTACGGAAAAGAATCAAGCAGACTGTATTACAAACCCACTCTTCAGACTTATAATAACGAGCCGCTGAATATTGAAAAATCAAAATAAATAGTATTTTTGTGACTGCTTCATTAAATTCAATCAGCTATCAATGAAAACGATCACAGAAATTGAAAAACAGCGATGTTGGAAAGAATTGATAAAAAAATCTTTGTAAAATATATATTTCAAGTCCTTCAAACCTGTAATTCATTATAACAAAAGTGGAATAGTTTATTGATCACACAATAATCATCATTAAAGGTTTGCCATTTCTATAGCATTGATTTCAAAGTTGAGATTTTATCCCACTGCGTTTCTTCGCTGAAAAATAATTTTTGAGCTTCTTAGGTGCAAGATAAAATGTTTATTTAAAATCCATTCGTGATATGAAGTTTGTGAAATGTTGCTGACGCAATTTTAGGGATGACTGAAATGGTAGCAAAGTATATATATTTTCTGGAAGACTAATTGCTTTAATGTAAAGTTACCACATTTTAGCTACGTGACTCAGAATTCTCGTAAACGAATTACGTGGTTCAGTTGGGTTCCTTAGGGGATAGAACTCATGGCCCGAAATTGAAAGTCAGCACTACAGTGAAACGCTTAAAGTTAAGAACGGGCCGCATTTACGTTCTGATCTCATCGCTGAAGTTTGCACAAAAACTAAAACGGTTTTATAAAAACTTTTAGTAGAGGGCCAATGAAAAAATATTCACAAGATGAAAGCAATGAGCCCCAACACAAAGTCTTTTAAGCCTAGTGCCTAACAAGAGATGTTAGTAAAGATGATTGGGTATTGATTCAACATTATAACAAAACGGGAACACTTGATATTTTATATAACACGTCTTAGCGAAGACAGGAGTTAGAAAAGGTTGTCCCGGGGGTTCGTGATGGATGTGTTATTATTAACTGCTTAGTATCCTCAGTTAAATTTAACATATAAAACAACATTAATCAACGTCGATAACTTGCTCTCGAGAGGATGGCGTGATAAGCTTAGAGAATTGTATACAAGCTATATTGAGGCTGTGTTCCAACACGCGATCGGACTAATATTTAGTATGTTGACAGAAGGATGTCATGTGTTTCCCTTCTTTCCTTCGATAATCAGAGATTAAGGTTTTTTGTTCGTTTATTTAGTCGACGATAGGACGTATTTTGCGGTTTATAAAACACTATATGATTGTTGTAAGCAACTGGCACAGGTGATGATGAGAACCGGAACAGTCGTAAACACAAGCAGATCACCATTTCACGAAATAATATTTTCAAATTCGATTCACCTGGTTTTTCACGGATGAATGATATCATAGCTGTACGGGACATCCTACACGACTGATCTTCAAAACGTGAACCGACAGAGACGCGGGGGTACAACGTCGCCTCTGCGACGTTACCCCGCGTAACGTAACTTCGACTGGGCGTGTATTTGAACTAAGTGCCGGTACCGAGAAGTAACAATTTAAAAGTGACGTTTTTGGCTTACGAAAAAACTGGAATAAGGCGCGACAAATAACGTGAAGGTACAACCTCGCCTATGTGCAACTTCGAGTGGGCGTGCATTTGGTGCCGATACCAAAGTAATGAGTTACAAAAGTAATGAGTTAAATATGACGTCTCGAACTTACCAAGGAAACTGAAACAAAACGCGACAAATGAATTGTGCGCATTTAAGATTGGTATATCGTATTCGAAAAGGCACGTTAATAAACGCATGCTCCTCTTACTTGTGGGCCTGCTTTAGGTCTCGGATTTCCAAAATTATTTAAAAACATTAGTTTAATCTTAATGATATATATACTATATTTTACTCCTATTATTACAAAAGCATATTACGCATTTATTATCAAATACATTTTCTCTTTTTCGGGAGTGCGGGCATAATTGCCCATTTCGCTTCACGGGAATATATTTCTCTCTTTTCATCTCTGAATAATTAGAATTCCTAGATCACATGTTTCATTACGCTACGTTTAATATGCAAAGATGTTGATATTACCAATCAAAACAAGAAATGTGCGAAAATTTTGCCGATCATCTAGTCTTGTGATTTATAACTTTTGAATTTGTTTCTATTTATAGATGATGACAAGCACTAATGTGTTGGACTGAATATTTTTCCTTCGATGAGTCTAATACATAAAATTTTTTCAATATAGTTTGTTGGTTGAGTACCGAGTGCACAGCTGATGCTGCGGTCCTAGCCCTGTTAAACATTGGAACAATCAATGTAGGTAGCCTCTTGTGCGCCACAGACACTGTCAATTGTGAGTGCAATCTTTCCTCAATGACGGGACTGGCCTACTGAATTATGAGTTTTACATAAAGATAGATTCATCTGTTTGAGCGAATAAACAATGTTTACAACCTTCAATTCTGTTACACATATGGCCGAAATAATGATTTTTTTGTCGGTTAGCGGAATGTCAATTTCAGTCTTCTCGGATTCTCGCTTAGTGCTTTAAAATTATACCACAGCGAAAACCACATCGAAAAGATCTACAGTTGAGCTGGTCGGTAAAATATGTATATGTATGTAACAATTTTGAAATTTAACATGAAGTATATAATTTTTTTTTAAAAAACATATCTAGTGAACTATCAGAAATAAAATGAATTTGCAGCGACTTGCCAATGCGAAAAATTATGTTCTAATCAGTTTAAATGGCGCTTCAGTACATTTTTTGTGAATTGCATCGAATAGCGAGTTTTCTGTATTGTGCAGCATTAAAATATATCACCTAAATACATGATTCAAATAAAATTCGCGAATGGAAACTCCAATTTCATCTGGTGAATCCTCTTGCAGATAATGAAGGCCGCTCACGGACGCCATCTTCAGGTTAGGCCAGTTGCGTACAATCTTACGAATTGCAGGCGACAGTTGGCCGGGATTTGCGTCAATATACAGCTTTGGTAAATAGGAAGATTCGGACAACCATGATTTGTAAGATAGCATCTTTTCTCTAACAGATTCTGGTCCATTGTCTCCTAGACCTGGGAAAAGTTTAAAAAAAAATCTTGTTCTTAAAAATATTTTGTCCTTGCTACAAAACCTAAATAGTGCCTATACTTAAAACTAATGCTAGGACATAGTAGAGACTCCATTAGCGTATAGAAAATTGTGACTCGTTATATTTATAGCCTCTGCAGTGGTCATATTTTGCGAAACGTTATCTTGATTATCTCACATCGCAATAGGAACAACAATACTGTACCAATATTATTGAAAGTCATATAAGGAACGTTTCGCGGCGGGTAAACAATCTGTTGATTTTGTGGGTGGTTGATTAAACATTACTAAACCAAGGGTAATTCAAGTTTTTGTATTTTGCATGCAGCTTTGTATCGAAAATTGACATAATGAACCAGTGTGGTTAATAAAGCATATTTGATGTATGGCACTTTGGGACTACAGTAAGTTTTCAGAATATTTATAGGTCATCCCGTGTGCACTTTTACTTCGATAAATCTCTCCACCTATCACCATTGTACCGTTCAATGCTAATTAGTACGTACCGTCGATTATAAGCTGCCGTGGAAATGTTAATGTTGGCCTACGCCCTTCTCCTTTGTCGGCAAAAGGTTTTCTGTATACTTCCATCTCCTCTGGCTTTAACGTTCTTTTGATCGCTAAAGGTATGATCTGTTCAACAAATGCGTTGTTTTCGAGAATGAGCTCTTCACCTAAAATTCAAACAATCAGAGTGCAATTGGTTTCCCGAGCTCAAAATAATTTATCCAACTGAATTACCTAACCTTACCTTACCTAAACAGTCGACGATGAATATAACCCGAAGGGATTTGTGGCCTCGTTGCAGGGTGGTTCACCTGTTGTGATCTTTTATACTCTTTATACACATAGCGTGCCCAACGTGGCACGTCATAAGCTCGAACGTGGCTCGCAAACGATTTGGTAAAAATTGTTTTCATAATAAATACTTATATCTCACGGTTATTTTATTTAATTCAAGAGTCTTGCTATACAGTTCTACACTAACACAAATGTATTTCTGTAACCTCAATCATACGAAACGTTACAGAACTACATTAGCGTTAGTGTGCAATTTAAGTGACACTTAACTGGAACCTTTTGAACTTGAGGTCAAACCAAGTTTTGAATGAGACTAAATTCATTACGTGAGTTTCACTTTCGCCTCTAAAAAATATCCAGTTTTGCTGAGAAATGCAAAACTGGACTGTTCAATTTGCAAGCACGTACAGTTGTGAATGGCCATCCTCAATCATGAAAATGAGCAAATTTTAGCTACAGACAGATCAACAGATGAACATTTAGATTCAGTAATGCGCATTGCTATTTTTCATTTGAAGCCCAACATTTTGGTCCACCAAAAACGTTTTCAAGGCAGTGGAATTTCAGAACCTTAAATTGTTTCAGTAAATAAGTATTCGTTTTGTGTTTTACATAAGATCGTTCACAACATCTACAATTATTCGAACTTGGCGTGACACGCGACAAGAATATTTTAATAACATTGGCACTATCCTCATTTGAGTTGTACAACCCAGCTCTATAAAATTATCATGACTAAAAATAGGCTTTGAGATACCTTGACAAATTCACCAATCTTAACCACAATATAAATATAATATTCTTACCTAGCGGTGAACGAAAAGCTTTAAATGCTTCACGTCCTTCCTCTGGAAAATCTTCGTAGGTAAGAGGAGCAACGAGCGATTCCATGAAAGTAATTGATTCTACACGATCGCGATTACAGTTGGCCCAATGAAAACCAAGAGCAGATCCCCAGTCATGGATGACCAAGTTTAACTGTATAGAGATTTTATCGTTGCGATAGTTTTTTGTTTATACTTTTTATCTTTTCTGCATTACAGTTATATAAGACAAAGTTTTTTTTTTCAAATTCTAATCTAGACTAATATGGATCAACCACAATCGTTCGCGAAGGCTGCTTCATACACAATTACAACCGCATACCAAACAGACTAAAATATTTGTGGAAATGCCTTGTATTCAGAGCGTAGACCGAAATTTGTTGTGAATAGTGTGTTTATAAATTCATTGATACCTTGTCCGGAAGATTTAAAGATTCCAATAAATTCGACAAATATGAGTAATGATCGTCAAAAGTATACATCGAATCCTTCAATTTCTGAGACCGACCCATTCCTATCAAGTCAGGAGCGATACATCTTGCTATATCTGTCACGTGAGGTATGATATTTCTCCAGAGATAAGACGATGTGGGATTACCATGAAGAAACACAACCGTTTTAGTTGTATCTTTGTTTCGACCTATAAGATAACAAAAATTCCTTTTTTATAATTTGGTCAAAATTTTGTGTTGATATATATATAATATACGTTCATGTTCGCTGATACCTAAAATGAAGATTAGCCAAAGTCAGTAAGCACAGAATGTAAGTATTTAGTTACACATTCAATATACAGAGGTATTGTCGTTATTTCCCATATTGTGAGTATTTACTTCTTATAGGTGAGGGATAAGTTTGCATATAATCTTGCTTTTAGCTCCACAAATGCAGAATATCAGATCATGGCTTCTCTTGTTTGTACGCACAGGTCAGTCGACTGGGTATAGGTGGATACTTTACATCCGCCAGCTGACCAGAGTGCCATCCGTTTGATTTAGAACCCGAATTTTCCACCTAATCTTCGGTTCATACATAAGTAGATGTACACCAATATGCACAATGCATTTCTTATCTAATATATACAGTATCTTACCAACATCCAAATAAGCCATATTTGCACTATTTACAATCGCCGTTTTGTAGTTTGAATCCGATGTAACACAAGATGATAACAAACGTCCAGCCAACTGATTCATCCATTTTGCCTGCAAGAGGAGTTTCGGTGAGATACAAGACATTTTCCACGTACAGATTAACAAAGCAGGTTCGGAGACAAAGTCAGTCCAAATCTGTCTCCTTTAATGATTGCGAATATGAGCCACGCAATAGCTAACAATGCTGCGGCTAACAACAGATTCAAATATATGTAATTTACGTCCGTTGTTTAATGCGAAAAGGATCCATATTAACGTTCCATGGCTGACTAAACTCCAGTCAATTATTAACCAAGTTTATGTACCAGTCGCATTTATAATTACCGCGCGACGCTATGATGAAGCCCGACCGATTCTCAGCTACACTCGAGTCTGTGAACGTGCAAACCACTGCGAGTATTTTTTATACGAATTTAACGCATCATTGCGCATGTGCCAGAGATGAATGTGAACCAGTTTTAGAATAGAAAACAAAGTATCGACTATTTGTTATTTGTAGGTTGGACGTGAAAAATCGCATATCTCGCTATTAATGGAATATCAATTTTAAATTGTCAATACTCGAAAGAAAGTCCATATTTATTTTATTTAATTTTTTATTAATTTGCTTCGATAATGCACATCAAATAGTTTGCTGTGGATTTCACGGTCACAATCTCAAATGGCATTCTGTACAACTATTGTAACATCTACATTTTTGGCATCAACTTATCTGCATTCGATCTTATAACATTTATACTGTAAAGAATTGAACGAATGCAACAAGGATAAATTACAAAATTCGGTGTTATGTGATTTGTCCTTCTAATAGTCCCTAGGCAGATTTGTGGTTTTGAGAGAAGCAAAGTCACACGTACACACTCATAAGTAAAGTAGACTTATCGTTGGGCGAGGTTAGAAGCAACCAATGAAACGCCAAGAGATATTAAGAATTTATAGATTTAGGTTAATGCAATACCCAGCAACAAATACATATCGATCAACACGAGCAATTCAAGTCACTACGATCTAATGAATTGAAATCAATTAAGTCTTTATACTAAAACTGAATTTACTTCGAACAAAATCGAAACTATCCAGTTGGCTCGTTTTATAAATATTTAATTTGTTACTAAAGTATATTTCAAAGCAATATATATGTTTGTTCGAATTCATCATTAACTGACAAATACTAGGCTATTCAAATTAGTTCTCAGGCCTATGTAATTATTCAGTCGTGTTTATTACTTATCATCATAGTATCAGTATATATGATAAATGGCCTAAGGGATTGGATTAAGACGTACCGTGAAATTATCTCGATTGAATATACAACGATTTGATTAAATAAAGATAGTAAAAACGTTTCGTTTATATATCGGAATTTATCATTAGTAGAAAATCAGTATGGCAGGATCTCCATACCCACACCCTACTGCTAAAGATATCGGTAAAGTTCGGAACAAAATCATAGATATAGGAGAGGGTTGGAATGAAGTGAAACTTTATCTTACTGGTTGTTAAGACTGTACGCTCCAGGGATATATATATTACGAGAAAATTTTGAATTAGAAAAAACTTCTTATTGATATTGTTATGCCATTGAGAGTCAATAATTTGCCATGGTTCAATTTTTTGATCGTAGCCCGATTAGAGTTAATTTGTATGACGCAGTTAAGTGACGTCATTATGGCGCACTGTCACTTAGGCAGACATGTGTCTATGACTTGGGGACATACGCAATTTTGCAACCTCACTAGATGCACCAGTTCTGAAAACTAAACTTTCCAAAAAAGAACGTAATTCTCAGTATCTACAATGTCTAATCCCAAAATAGCTAATCAGTTTCAATTACATTATTTTTTATGTTTAAAAATAAATATTTCATCAATATAACACGTTCTGCACACCCACCGAAATAAGACTAAGCTTAAATATAAAGAATAAAACAGCAATGCACCCAATATAAAAGCCAACCAAGGTGAATTGGACTCGGACAGTGAATATCACAAGTGCACGTCTTCCTATACTGTAGTAAAATTCAAATTAATACGCGTTAAGCTAGAATCCGACATGCAAAAACTCGAAAATACTTCGCAGAGGTTATTTTGCCTTTGTGTCATCACAATAGTCCTGCGGTAACACTGATAATTCATTATGACGAAACAATTGCACAAATGTGCATGTCATACTAAATCTCCATTTTTATGGGTTTCGGAATTCTTAAATAAAATCTGAGTTAACAGACAGGTGCGCAGCATTACATAAATACCTATTTTATAAAAAAGAAACTCAAAATCGCCAAAAATGACTTACGCAATTCGGTTATTAGCGTGACGATATTTTTGATACCTCCGCAACTGACAGTAATGTTTATTTTTCATTTCTTCCACGTTCCATCCTACTGTTCTACCATGGAGTCTCGCTGAAATCTATTTTCTTCACCAGTGTCTTTAATAAATCGCTGGCTTTATTCCTCATTTTCATTTTTTACCTGCATGCGGGATGGTCGGTCTTAACATCGCCAGTTTTCTATTTCCACTGTTAACATTTGCTGCTCCAGCCAGCCTGGATGATTTTTCTATCTCATTTTATCCTAATTTTTCCTTGGGCCTTCCTCGATAATCTTTGTTACAATTTATTGTATTTCACTGGCACGGGCATATCTGTTATTTTATTTTTATTTCTCATTAATAACATAATTTTCCTTGTCTCGCTGCTGATTTAACTTCACAACTGGCACAGATGTTTATATATTTGTTTTGTCTTCCCGCTGGACTGCTTGTAGTTCGTTATAATTACTCGCTGGTTCCCTTCACAACTTGCTTGCTTGAAAGAATATCTCTGCTTTTGCTGTTGTTTTTTATATATATTTTTAATTCCCCCTGTTTCGCTGCTTCAAAACATCGCAGCGATTTTATACATAATTTTAATTTCTTTTTATTTATCTCCACTAGACTACTTTTTTTTATTATTTTTTCTTGTCATTTTCTTTTATTTTTGATGCCCTTTTACATTGGGCTGCGCTTTAGCTGCTTGCTGTTTTTATATTTTCAATTTCACTTGTCTCGCTCGCTCTTGACTGCCTTTCCATTTTTTGTTATATATATATTCATTTTTCCTCATATTTATCTATTTGCAGCTGTTTTTTTCACTTATTTTGTTGATTTGAAGCAGGTGTGTGAACACGCTTGATGTCCTGTTTTAAAATTTGATGGTTCATTTTAGTTTACTTTTTACAAGAAAAATGCATTATTATACAATTATCGCGACAATATGCATAAGATTATTCAGAGGAGTGAATTTACAAACCAAATTTCTGACTGTCAGTGGTGGAATTCCAAGACTGGAATACGGTTCTATAATCTGATCCTCTCTATCTCTTGTGCTAACTAAATTTATAAAACATCCTAGACTAAAATTGACGTGGCGTTGGATTTTAAAAATTGAAACGATATCATACACACTAAAAATAAAACGGAAAACCACATTAAATTGTCTTAACAGCCTCGCGGCAAGTGAAACAGGCTACCGCGGGTACTTGAGGTGAAACGCAGTAAATTGTGCTAAGCGAAATAAAAAGATGTTTACATGAAAATATGGCGACATTTTCGATAAAACATTGGATCTCATTGGAAAGTTAGGAAAAAATAAAAGCCTTCTAGCGACAACAACAATCTTTAACTCACAAAAATTTCAACGTGATTGGTACCGTAGTCGAAAAGAAAAGCGATTTTTCGTAACAAAAAATATCAACTTTATCATTAGTTTTTCACACTATTTTTGTTACTAATTGGTAAAATTAGAATTGATCCTTATGAAACAACAGCAGTCAAATGTCCCGACAAGAACTTTCCTTCTCGACAATATAACTTTGCTGACAATGAATCATTAGAAGAAAATGAAATCGCTATTGTTTCGGAAGAAAAGGCAGCTTGTTCGAAAATTAAAATAAAGCTGAACAACTTTGATACTCTGGAATGTCGAAAGAGAAATGCCGCTATTATACCTACCCCATCAGTATCACCTGTACGATCCATTTAAAGGCACTACCATTATGGTTGGTTTTGACAACTCCAATTTGTAAATTTTCTAACAAGCACTGGCAGACAGAATAATCAAAACAGTAACATCAGTTAGTTTTGCTGTCATGCCAGTTTATTTTAGTCAGTTAAGCTTACACGGATGCTGTCAATAAAAATAGAGCAGCATTCGGTTTCTGAGATCGATTTACGTATACAGTACTAGTATACAGTGTTGGCATTCAAATTTTTTGTCAGTCGGTTCCATCACATATTTTTCAGCCGGTTCTGTTACAAAAATTCATGTTATTTCAGTAATGCTAACCGGTTCGCTGATCTCATAAAATTTCGTGAGACCGTTCTCTAGAACCGGTGCGAACCGGCTGAATCCCATTACTGCCAGTATAGTGAATTATTCTTGATTGCTCTTCGTTATTATACAGTATATTTGAACACCCTCCCAAAAGTCCATGTGTCTGACTATAACTCTGAACTGGCTCACTAATCCCGTACTAGTAGGCTTACCCGTCATGGACTGGTAACCGGAGTGGAAGTGGTGACTCCTCTACGGCCTATGAGCCGGGGCCGCGGCCCAATAAGATGGGCCGTAGATTTCAAGTCCATTACGACAATTTATACTACTTTACTATGTAAAAATACTTGAGTACAAGTAAACTTTGGGTCTGGTATAGTTTAGTACCACATGTACTTCTAGTTGGCATGGCTCAATTTTTGCATGCGTCATTCCTAATCACCACCTGGCAACGTCACCAGAAAATTACGTCACATGGACCATGGCCAATCACCAATGGTCCGCGGCCATATTAGATGGGCTGTGGCCCCGGCCCATGGTCCGTAGAAGAGTCACCACGACTGTAGGATAACCGAGCGAGTGGCCGTGTTATCCCTTTCGATCCAGACTTTCGTGAGTTCCATTTCTTCAATAGAAACATTATCATTCCTCGTTTGCTAAGCACAGAAATTGATAGGATGGAGGTTCGTCAAAAATAAGATTCACAAACAGGGGTTCGTGGCCCAAAAATTTTGGGAAGCCTGGTCTAACCGTAGTAGTATATATTTACGGTCTAACCGGGTCTAACTAAATCGATCAGTTCAGACTTCACAGTTTTGTTAACGGGGAAGTACCTCGAAGTTCAAAGGTCAGCAATCAACATAAAGAGACAAAACACGAAAAATAAGTTGCGAGATTTTCTGTTTTATACCGTAGCTTTTACAGATATATTTTAGATAGATAGATAGATAGTTTAATTTGAAAATTCCATAATACATACAAATTAAAAAAGGAGAATTCTGGAAAGCAAGCAAAACCTTTAAAGAAGTTTAAAACATGAGAAATATCATGTCTGCATGTGCCTGCCCGCCAGCACACACACAAACACAAACCCAATTTAACGAGATTTGTTAATGACCAATACAATCTCATACAAAGATAATGTGGGGAATGCAATGTAATAAAGTGACGAGGATAGTCATGTATCGATGTCTGTATGTTGCCTTAATGCTGTAATGCTCCTGTTTGAGGAGATAGACTGTTTACTATGGTATGAAATTATAAATAGTTGACTATGATATTGTGCAAAAATATGTATACAAGGACGCTTAACCTTGCTGGATTTTTAAGGCAATACCAACGAGTTGCAGACTTTTCGAAGTCGGCTTCTTCCCATTCTTCAGTGAAACATTCTGTGATTGTGAAGAACTCGTCAATGAATTACATAGATGAAGGTAATCTAACTTACTTTTAGGTAACATTGTACCGGTATCTCTGTAGAGTTGCAAATATTATATTGTCAAATTCATAATTATATCGTATATGTATATGATATATATATTTTTTTTTTATTCGGCATAGGTTCAAGTGAAGTAAATTCAGTGGTATTTTTGCATGGAAATCCAACTTCTTCATATCTATGGAGAAATATATATCCAAAGATTTCTTCCATTGCCCGCTGCTTTGCTCCTGATTTAATTGGGATGGGTAGTTCTGATAAAGTCAAAAATCTCATGTATACATTTGATGATCACTTTCAATATCTTTCCGAATGGATTGACAAGGTTGTGAAGACTGATAATGTAAGATTATTATTTTTCTCATGTTTTGATTATTATATTTCTAATCGTCTAGGAGTTCCCATATCTGAATAATTTGATATTCTAGAAATCTAATAGGGGTTATAGTATTACCAGTGAGATGGCCTAAACATGTTTTTCCATGTGGGTACCAGTCCATATTGGTTCATACCAAACGAATAACCAACTTATTAACTGCTCAAAGTATTTACCTATGCACTGAAGTTGAATAAAAATGAGAAACCTTGGATATGGGGTAAATTACACTGAAATGAACAGTAAATTTGCCAATATAACCATTTTCCATAGTATTAATTTCTAAACCGTTGAACTAAATTTATTAAATTTCTTCAACCAGATTCATTTTGTTATTCATGACTGGGGTTCAGTGCTTGGATTTCATTGGTCAAATTTAAATCGTGACAGAGTAAAGTCAATTGTGCATATGGAAGGTATTGTTGCACCACTTGAATCATGGAATGAATTCCCAGAAGGTGGTCGAAAAGCCTTTCAAGGAATGAGATCGCCAGCAGGTAGTTTTTTTTTTGTAATGAATGCCTAAATTCATGAAGTAGATAGAGATAATATATCTATTTTATTAAATTAGTGTTGTCTGGATTTGGTTGTATTTTATTGGTTATTTTGTTTTGGATCTTGCACTGGGATCCATAGTCAACCTGGGGGTGTGAACACTATATATTGTTCAAGAAATTTGTGTCACAAATTTTAATTTGAGCTAATATAAATGGATCTATAGCGTAAATTAAGATATATGCCAAATATATAATTTGACATCTTTTTGTTACATGAATCCATTACCGGTACATGATTTCACTATTAAGTTTGGGATAAAATTTACATCCAAACAGTAAACTTTTACCTCGTATTTGCCTATCTTTGAAAATAATTGCATTCGGTTCTTTTGTTCAAGGTGAGGAAATGGTGCTAAAGAAAAATTTTTTTGTTGAACGTATTTTACCCAGCAGTATTATGACTAAATTAAGTGATGAAGACATGGAAGAATACAGAAAACCTTATGCTAATCCTGGGGAAGACAGAAGGCCAACTTTGACTTGGCCGAGGGAGATTCCCATAAAAGGTGATCTGTACATGAAGAATATTATTAAATTGAATTAATTAAACCGTCTTTGACTAAATCTACTTCATCAAACACAATGCCCACCAATGTATGCATGCCAAATTTGATGGATAAGAATGAGTATGCTGAACGGGAAAAGTTCTGGTTCTTCTGAAATCAGAAGCTGTTTTCAGAATGTAAAAGGCTCACAAAAAATTGTATAAAGATTCCTTATATATTGCCATAGGAGTAAAATTGATAAAACAGATTTATCATATCAATTCTGGTTTATCATGTAGATCAGGGGTTTGCAACCTGCGGCTCGTAGGGAAAAATGTGTGGCTCGTGAACAAGTGCCAATTTTTAGTTGAGTTTAATCTGGTACGTTCGAGTAATTTCAATCCTTTTGCGTTGCAATGTCCATACCCGAGTCCAATATATTATCTATGCATATGAAGATACAATGCCCTAACAGCTAGCTTGTGCAAAGCGAACAACGCATGTCATAAGATCTATAACCAAAATTTTGTGCCTGCAACTACTAAAAAGCCTATGCTAAATAAAGGTGCAACCCGGTTTCATCCAGGTATTTGTATCTGGCTCTCCTGTATTAAAGGCTGCTCACCCCTAATGTAGATGATTCGATTGTTTCATGGAATACCAGTCTCAATCTTGGCAAATCAACTACCGTAAATGTAAAATGAGAAATATTTTTGTTGTTGCAATTTATTGAAGAGTTAATGTAAACTATATTTTCGTAGGTGATGGACCAGACAATGTGATTGACATAGCTGATTCATATTACAAATGGCTGTGTGAAAGCAAAAATTTACCAAAACTTTTCATCAAATCTGAACCTGGATTTTTTTCACCGCTCATCGAAGAAAAAACTAAAAATTGGCCCAATCATATCACAAAGTCAGTTAAAGGCCACCATTTTCTACAAGAGGATTCACCATATGAGATAGCGAAGAATATTCTCGAATTTTATAATCAGATAATGTGAAAGTGTTCTAAATCATTATATCATGACAATGATGCAATTTATATTTCATTTCATTGATTTCTAATTTTTCATAAAATTTTTGATCAATTTACGTTTTTGTGTTCTGATGGATTGTTGGTCACACAGTTATGTCACATCGGTTAAACGAAGCGTTGTGCTAGACCAGACGGACTGTTATTAAATAGAATACAAAAAGTGATTTGAAATGGCGAATTTTGGTAATCCAAAGGAGGGAGGGGGTATCTATAACCGTAAGCCAGTGTTTTAGGATTATTAATGACCGATGACGAAATGGATGAAAATACTCAACTAGTAGTTATATGGCCAATCATTACTATTTTAATGTAAGCGCTCACAGGAAGAACTCTCGAGCTGGTGATCTATAGCAGCGGTTACCAACCATGGGGGTCCATGGCCACAAGACTAGGCTGAAAATTGATTTTAATGCAAATATTGCGTACATTTCCCTTTAAAGGTATATTCTCCCTAGTTGCATGACTAAATAGGGTTATTTCTCGGGATGTTTTCGCTTTCTTGTGCATGAATAGTTTTATCACAATGGGATTTGGAATCGACCAATCAAAATAACACAGGTTTCATAAGACTGCGAGGTAGCCGTAGTAAACGCGTTGTAGGCTAAGAGATACTGTATATATATTTAAATTTTTAATAATCCCATGAAACTGAAATAGGGCGACAATTGTGTGATAATTTTCCCAAGTTTCCAAGACAAAATACGATCATCTAGATTCTAGACCAGCGTTTCCCAAACTGTGGGAAACTGACCCTACAACGCGTCGGCCTAAGGCGAACTAACTAGGGTAGTGTAGTGGCACTTTCGTTAACCTTCGGCCTAGCTTTTTGACTGTTAAGGTCATCATCAAGGTTACAGCAATCCTTTTGGCTTCGCTATAGGCCAGGGGTGGGCAACCTTTTTTAGCTCGCGTGCCAAAATCGGCTAAATTCAACGACAAAATTCTTCCGCGTGCCAACCAAAATTAAAAACCATGCTTTGCTACTTTCAATGTAAAAATACCCAATAATAAACCTTTTAAAATGTACAGACAGATTCACTATTCAGGAAAATATCAATCCGACAAATAGATTTGATTACTTTTCTTATTCTATATTAGTGAGACAGAGACTTCTGCTGCTGCTCAATTACCGCTGATAGAGATTGGGTTTATACTTTGTAACATTCAAAGAAATACGCGAACCACTGGTTCGATCTTTGCGGCTACTCCTGTTCGAGACGTAATAAAATTCATAACTGAGAACAGATATTTCCAAGCATATGTAGATTAAAACATGGAGCGTAATGGAGTTGCGAAGTTTTTAGGGCACGAACAAATTTTGAAGAAGGCCTCCCAATCACGCAATAGTTCGTTTTTTGCACTTATCTTTTGTATTCTCTTCCCTAATCGCTTATATTTCTTCCAAAATCAATTTATAACTGTAAGTTAGTAACTCTAACCAACATGAGCTGTGCATTTTCACAAATCAAGAAGAAATGAAAAAAAGGGTGGTACAGACGAACTATATTACGTAAGAATATAGCCAAATGAAAGCTGCGCACTTCTCGACGATAGTACACTCAGTTGTTGCGTCATACTATATTTTTCTGTAGCCATATATCATGAAAGTACAAAAGAGTTTGTTAACAAATGATAATGAATAAACGAACACCTAGTTTCATCAGATAATTCAGAGTCTTGAAACATTTCATCTGAAAGAGAATGATCTCGTTTCCGAGGCCTCGCTCGTGTGCCAAATAAATAGGCAGGGGTGCCCATCCCTGCTATAGGCAAACAAGTAGGTCTTCTAAAGAATGAAGGCAAAATGTCAATTCTCCTTAATTAAATATTTATTATAAATGCAATATGTATAATATTGAATCATATTATAGGTATGTTTAACACAATTCTGATAGTTTTCGCGACGCATTTGGAAAAAACTCGCCACGGCAAACCCATTGGGAACCGCAGCATTACAGCGTTTTTCTTTATCAATTTCATTTTGTGCTGTTCCCGGAGGCGAGATAAAAAGTGTGAGTGTTCCATGGCCGAAAATGTTTGGGAAACGCTGTTCTAGACCACATAAAGCATCTCAATTTCATTTACTCGAGTAGCACAATATTGTATATCAATCAAAAGGTAAAAGTTAATGCTGTACAATATTTTACAGTAAGTCAAACAACTGCGCTGTGAGAAACTGCGTACGCGATTATCACCATTCACTGACTAAACAGTTATTTCTGATCATTTAGGACAAGCGTTTACTGAACACTTTAAGATTCAAAAAGCAGTAGATAGCGTCGCTAATTTCTTCAGGCGAATCTTCTTGGATAAAGTGGAGTCCTTTTACAGTAACCGTCATCTGATTCGGCCAGTCTTCAGATTGTTTTTCCACGATTGACGACAAGCCTCCCGGTTTAGCAAGAATGCGTAGCTTTGGAAGGTAGGAGCTTGTTGAAAGCCACTTCTGATATGAATCGGCGTATGCAAGTGTATTATTTGGACCTTCGCCTTATAAATAACAATGGATATATGTGAAAAAACGATACGGGCTAACGATGTAGCTACATAGACTCACTCAATTTTAACCCCATAAATATTTTGGTTTCTGAATTGCACAAAATTCAAATTATTTCATATCAATTAATGAACAATTCTGTGACGGGTTATTGAACGACATTCGGATTTATGAGTAGTTCTAAATCTAAGTTATTGTTGGGAAATGTAAGAACGAGATAGTGATCGGAGACCGCCGACTTATCGATCTAGCGCCGAGTATCCTTCGCTTTGACTCAATAGCGACACCGCATATCACATCACTCACAAATAATTAATAACTCGCTAATTATACGACATAATTCATCCAAAATCAATAGGCTTCTTGTCCGAGATATGATGAATGCACATGCAAAATTTGGAGCAGATTCAACCTCGCTTTCGTGAGATCGTGTGTATCTAACAGACAGACAATCGAACAGACAAGTTCCCTATCAACATACATACCGATCAAGATCGATAAGTAATAAGTAAGTCTTCAATATTACCTCTAATTGGGAGTTGTTTTGGCCAAGCTAACAGAGGTCTCCTGTCTTCTCCGGGGTTTATGAAAGGTTTGTTATACTCTGCAATTTCTTCTTCTGTGAGTTTTCTCAATACACCGCCAGTCATTATACTCTCGACAAGTAAATCATTTTGAAGAGCTACAATCGCACCTAAAACGCGACAATTATATGGCTGTACTATATTTAAAGATTAGTTAAAAATCTTTTATTTTAACTTTTTTTAGTCCTTGATCTATTAATTTCTCGCATTTAATGTACATATTCAGAAGGGAGCTGATATACATAAACTGTTGTTGACAAATGTTCCTACGGGAAACTCCGCACATATATATGCTTCCATTTTTTTTACAAACCTTGCGGTCCTCTGAATGTTTGTAGAAGACGTCTTGCATTTTCGTTGTAATCTCCCCAAACAATTGGGCCGGTCACACTCTCAAAGTGTATAATAGATTGAACTCTGTCACGATGTAAGTTTGCCCAATGAAAGCCAAGCCCTGATCCCCAGTCATGGAGCACTAGTGTCACCTGGAACGTATTGTATGTATACATATATTTGCTTTCTGAATATTTTTGTTTTTAATAGCTTGTCCCAATTTCCTAATTTTGTTTTTCCTATTTTAGCGGTGCAATTTGTGTTTTCGCACTTTTAGTACAACAATATTTTAGATTGGATGGTATTTTAAATGGCGATAGAGACTTACTTTTTTAGTTTTCACAACCTTATTCATCCACTCAGAAAGATACTGGAAATGATCATCAAACGTATACATGAGATCCTCGACTTTATCAGAACGACCCATTCCAATTAAATCAGGAGCAAGACAGCGGGCGATGTAAGAAATCTTCGGGTATATGTTTCTCCATAGGTAAGATGACGCCGGATTTCCATGCAAAAAGACAACCGTATTTTCAAAATCACCACCTGGAATAAAACCGAAGAATGAAACGAGTTTAGAAATCTGATCTATATGTATCTTAGTTGTGGGGCATTTCACCACTGTATTACTTTCTTGAATACATAATGAAAATAATAAAATAGTACCTGTATCAATGTAACTCATGGTGGAACTTTTCACCGAAATTGTCTTATAATATTCTTCATGCCGCTTTGTTGGAACATTACCACACGAAAAGTAAAAGCAAAGAAGAAGACAAGCTCCTAAATTATACATGAATTTTACCTGGCTAATTGAATGTTTAATTTTCGTTAATTGTGAGTTATCATAACGAACACAAAACATTTTTGGTCTCGGCTCGAATGTGTGCTGAGCTGGTCGGGCGAAGAGAGTAAGCCCTCTACCAATATGTGAAAAGATGCAATCCCATTGTAAAATGGCATCTTTAAGAAGCGTTGGCGCATCCACGAAATTTCGGTCTATTAATATCTGTCTTAATAATTTTAAAATTGCCATACAATTGAATTCAAATTACACAATGAACTTATTTTATGATTCGTAAAATATACTTTCTTGTCTAGTCTGTGATTCGATCAAAGTAATGCGGTTTGAATATCTAGATATAATTTTACTAAGTGTTCTCGACTGTACATTGATCCCATCTTTGGAGTTACTCACCTGACTCGCCGCTGTATATATCAAGCCTACAATCATGTTTTTCTGAAGATTCCTAAAATTGCTTGCGGGCAATTTTATTACAGGGTATATATCCGGAACAAAATATATGTTGACATAAAAAAGTTTCCGACGTATTCCTCAACGAACAACCTTTACTTAGTAAGTGCTTATTTGCGATCAATTTCACTTTGCTGATGATGTTTGCGTAATCCACCGATCGTTGTAATAATGGAGAAAATAACAGGGTTTATGATAGAATGCCATTCTAATTCTATATTTATATTTTGTATCAATTAAAATCTATGATCATCCTCTCATTACATGCATGAATGTAATTGTATAATTGGGTGAGCGAACACGTACTACTTCTTTATCAATACCTTTCCATCTAAAAATCTGTACGCTTAAAACCTACTTGAGGTTTTGTTTACTCTCCCGATTCTATAATCAGTTATTTTTATTTTATTTTTATCTATTATATTATCGTCTACTGCTGATTATGGAGTCGAAATAAACTTATACTTATACGCTGTTTAGGGAATTATCGTGAGAAGTATACAAGTATGCACCCTAATCAGATGTATATATCTCTTTTGTTGGCTTGAAGTAGTTTCGTTCTGTAAAGCGGTGCGGCGATATAATCAACCGCACTAAAATACAAAATGGTGTGTTGCGTAGTAACTTTAAATGTCTTGCACTCAATTATGTACTTACGGGAGGCCTGATGTGGCTTCTTTGCTTTTAATGAAAAATGAAGGCGAGACAAACTCGAGCAACCAGCCATATTTAACTTAATCTCTTGGGTGAGGTGCTCAAGCAAAATGTTTTGAAAATCGGTCAGCTTATACTCACGAGAAGTATTTGACTCTAACTTATCCACTCAGATAATAAGCTTCAGTGTACGAACTCACGTGCGACAAATTTCACTTCAAATTTAAACAAGTTTCTTGCCCTTTTCCCAACATACAGAAATATAGCCATGGGACCCCAGCACGTTCGTGCCTGTTAGAGCTATTGAAAAGTAATTTATTTTATTATTTTTATTTGGTTGGTTTTCATTCAATCAACTCGGATTGGTTAATAATTTTTTTAACGCTGACTGTGACAAACTGTAGCAATTTTGAGGGTACTAGTAACACAATCTCACAGAGTGCCAAACTCGTCATTCTGTATAGCTATGAAATATTATATATTTTTATCTATTCAGTGGCTTAATATTCTCTGTTGAGTAGCTTATGTCCTTCAAAAATGGTTTTCGGGAAGGACATTGTGTTGTTCACGTGCATGACGAATCAATCTGAAGGATTTTGGAGTAATTCTAGAAAGTACAACGAGCCCGCACTTACAATACATGAAACGAAAACGGGGAGAAATACCGGTTTTAGCCTTAAGCTACGATTGACTTGCACAAATTGATTTAATTGACTATAAATAAGCGAATACTGACAGGGCAGTTCTATCATTTTCTCTCTTACTATTTGTAGTGATTTGAAAAAATTCATCTATTTTGAATGTTCACACCGTAAAATAAGTTCACATTCCTACTTCTGGAATAATCTTCAACTGCAGTTACATGACGTAAGCATATTATTAGAAACTTTTTTGCTAAATTGAAACCTAAAACGATCTATAAGTCCAAGCTGAGCCTGTGCTATATAGCGGCATTATCAATACGGACTGTTCTTTCGTTGCGATTATTTTTTTTTTTTGAACGACTATGACTCGTCAATTTTAGCGCGAATGTGATAGTATCAATGATTTAGGCCTGCGGCAAGGCTACATAATTTTAATAAGGTATGACAGGAGGTCGACCATGTGTATATATATAGGCCTAATGATGGACGGTCATAAGTACATCAACAGTGTTTGATCAGCCATCAAGTTTTACTCGGAAAAATAATATGTCTGCGATTGGAGTATGTCTGCTGGTTTGCTTGTTTTTGCCCTGTGGAAGAGTTCCGGTTAAAACCCATGAAAAATACTTGAAGACCGTCACCGTGAAAGGTGCAACTATGAGCTATGTTGATACAGGTATTTATATTTATTCAAATAAAACATAGCTATGTGGCCTTGTAATGTTTACATCTGTCTGACTCTGTATAGCATCCAAGGTTTTGACGCCAGCCGATGCGGCCGCAGCCCATTTGGCAAATGCGATTTCAGTTTTAAATAAATCTTTCTTAATGAACAAAATTGCAATACAATACAGTTATAATCAATTTCATATTTCAGCATTCGTGCGGCCCTGTTACATTGCTTGATTGAGATTGTTTTGTTATAAAAAACTAAAACTGTTATCTTACCTGCCGATTTTATTTCAGGCGGTCGTTTCGAACACACCGTTGTGTTTTTACATGGAAATCCGACATCATCGTATCTTTGGAGAAACATCTACCCACAAATTTCGTCGATTGCTCGATGCTTTGCACCCGATTTAATTGGAATGGGACGATCTGATAAAGTGGAAAATTTGATGTATACATTTGCTGATCATTATCAGTATTTGTCCGAATGGATGGATAAAGTAGTTAAAACAGAGAAAGTAAGTTAACTTGAAAATTATTTTCTAAAGTATATATATATATATCATTTTATGAACATGATTAGTAAAATTGCCCTTGTTTTTCTCAAAATTTCATATTCAAAAATCTGTGCCTTCCTGGAATAAGCACAGCACACATGTATTTTCAACCATCTATCGCTGAGATTCGATCTATTTGTTTTTGAGAACGATTGTCTTTGGGCGTATTTAGCTGTTTACACGTTGAAATTATAATTTCTACTCCGGTTGCAAATCCACTAATACCATATAAATATCATATACAAACATTTTGCAGAATCGCTGAATCGAGATAAGATAAATAATTTGCTAACGCCTCGGAATATAGTTACCTTACTTAAAAAGTTTTGATTCGAAATAGACCGATATCGACTAAACAATTTTGTCATACACGTTGCAGGCTTTGCTGATATTATATTTAGGGTATTTTCTCTTCTCTCCAGAACAAATTCCATTGATACAACACTCTAATTTTTTACTATACTGTAATTGCGTAACTTTCTTAGATTATTGTCCAACTTTTAAAGGCAAACATTATAATTGCAAAAAGCGAAATTATCGTTTCTCCCATTTACTATTGCAAATTTGAGCCAGATTTTGACATTTCCAGAGCGTAAGCATATTTTTTTTCTATGATGCGCTCTTTCATAAGTTTCATACTATTTGTTTTTATTTTTTCAGGTTATTCTTGTGCTACATGACTGGGGTTCTATACTTGGATTTCATTGGGCAAATATGAATCGTGCAAGAGTTCAGTCTATTGTTCACATGGAGAGTGTCGTCACACCGCTTTCCACACAACCTGAAACCGAGTTTTTCCGTCAATTGAGATCCGAAGGTTATAATAGCACTTATTTTTTGATACTTTAATACTCTAGCAAGATACTCAATGGTAAGATGTTTAGCTATATTTTTTACCTCGCGACCACTCTAGGAGATGAACGATAGAACTTTTACCTCGTAGAGCAAATATCCATGTTCTTTTTAATTTCCAATAGCGGGAGAACAGATGATGTTGGTGAACAACCTTTTCATCGAGAATATTATGCCCGCAAACATCATCCGAAACCTGACTGAAGAAGAGATGAATGAATACCGCAGACCTTTCGTCAATCCCGGAGAAGATAGAAGGCCTACTTTGACTTTTCCGAGACAAGTACCAATCCTAGGTAATATTCAGAAAGATAAAACGAGGTGGAATTATTCAATGTTTTGACCGCGACTGACTTGGCCGCAAGAAATGTTCCGACGTAGTAGTTTTGATGAATATTGAAATTATAAGCCGCAAAAATATTGCCACGACCCGGTTCAATTGTATCGTCATCGGCTGAAAATGACCGATATTTACGATATAGCCTATCCCGCTTTTTGATCTGCTATTAGATATGTTGAATAATAAGTTAGCATACGGACGATAATAACTGAAATGCGTTTTTACTCTTCACAGTTGTTGTATACAGGGTGGGCCAAAAAATGTTACCTTATGACAATTTTCAAAAATGTTAACATTTTTGGTCCACACTGCAGATGGTATCGTGAATGATTGCGTACAAACTTACCGACGGAGCTGGCCACCTGGTCACACTCGCTTTTCACCGTCGCGAGTAGATACGTGTTTTATGACGTCAAGTTTCCTGGTAACATGACGTTTCATTTTAGTTTTGAACTTCTTACTGTTTATATTCAAATTATTACCAAATATACCTGTAACTACAATTTCGTAGAATACGCAGATCGAACGTCTCGATTCCTTGCATCTTTGCGCAACAAAGCGTCTGCGGAAACTACCATAATTGGTGTAAGTGTTGAGATCCACCTCTGCACACTTACTAAGTTGCAAAGGAATTAACGATGCTGGTAATGCAAGACCTTTAAACCGTTAGTAGTGATTCTAATGAAAAGCCATTTATGAATTTGAATCACAAATGTCAACTTCTTGTTCTGGAATTCCTGTTCTTCAAGCTATAATAATGTTTTCTGCTAATATAGTTCGCAGACAACTATTTTATACCGGCTTACAATCAAGATGATAATTTCATGATATCGGCTTCGAAAATATCGGCGCATCGGTATCGGCGAAAAAATCGTATGACTATCTCTATGCAATACTCGTGTATCATTTTTTGTCAATTAATCACAGATATACTTTTTGATAGGCCTACTATAGCTCGTAATTGTTGTGCCACATTACGATTTTGAGCTCTATTGTGAGCCAAGACCAAGCCTAGACAGCTGAACTGATCGCTTGCAATCATCGTATATTATTATATTCATATATTTCATAATATATACACAATAATCATTCAGATTTTAAGGTATCCCAACATATCATCCACCTGTCCTATTCGCTGTCTAATACATTTTTTTTATTTAATTATTCAACCTATAGGTGAGGGTCCCGATGACGTGATGATGGCGGTGAATGCATACGCCAAATGGTTGTCAACAACTTCTCATATACCTAAGATGCTGATTCTAGCCAAACCTGGGGGATTGTCCAACATTACCAAAGAAGTTGCAAAAGATTGGCCCAACCAACAGATGATAACGGTGAAGGGAATTCATTTCATTCAAGAAGATTCTCCGAAAGAAATAACAGACGCCATTTACTGCTTCCTGAATCTGAAGGTTTTAGGGAAGAAAGCATTAATATCCTAAATTATTTCAAACGTGTGAAACAAAATCAATATTCTTGTCACTAACCTACTTTTTTGAATTTTGCTGAAAATAAAAAAAACAGGTTCCGTTTAGAGCATTTTCGAAAAGTATTTTAGGTCATTCTCAATCTTTGGGAATTTGGCCGAGACCTAACTAAGTCAACTTTTCTTTATGAAAACACATAGATAGGCCTACTTTACAGTTGCAGCTTTACACATGCTTTTACGAACAATAATGTTCATACAGTATCAGAAATACTGTAGAGCTCGAAAAAATATTTTTTCTGTATTCAATTTTTCCATGTACTTTTCTGCTGCAATTTCTACAAGGAAAGTAAAATTGTTCTATTTTTGTTCTACCAACTTGTTGTATTGTGTAAAATTCATCATGCTAAATGAAATGGCCTCTCACATTCAAAGACACTTGCTCCGAAAAGGGGCGTATCCTCTTGGCTGCAAATTACATCCTCAAGTCTTTTTTTTTTTTTTCAGTATATAGTGTATATGCTAGATGGTGGAAAATATTCGATGGAATTAAATAAACTACCCTTTGGTGAATAAATTTAGATTTATGCATGCTATTGAAAGGTTGGAAGAATAATTAAGAGTTTGTCTAATGACGTGTCCAGATTAATTACAGGGCGGAAACGGATATTTTGTTTCAAACTACATAATATATGAGTCTACATATATGAGTAGAAAGCTTACAACATACAAAATTATTTCTTGCCATATATATACTTCTTGCTCGTTACAGAGTTTATTGGACACGAAATGGACCCATGGATCGTTGTGACATTTTGTATGAAAAAATATATATTAGTTACCTGACCAAAACTGTGAAAACGAGGCGCTTTTATCAACTCTACTTTAATTAATATCTGTCTGAGCGGCTGCTAAAATTGTAATTGTACGTCATAGATGACTTATTTCTGATTGGTTATGATTGAAGGAATAAATAAGGAAGTCGATTCTCAGGGAGAAATGGTTGTTTTTCCGGCCCTTGACCCAGGAAAATTTCACTTATACCTTTCTATTGCAGGATAACCAGTTAACCGAGAGTTATTTTGCTATCTGATATCCGGATATTATTATGACGGTTAACCGGATGATGAAGCAGTATAAATAATGCATATGCGCATTAGTGATTTTTATATTTTTTGTTGAGTGGCGACTGACATCTCACCACAGGAGAGTTGATTCCGATTTCTTTCTTTTTCTGTCGTCATTCATTTGCCATACCCTCCCTAGGTACATCGCTACTTACGCTAAAATAAAAGCACTCCTCATCTAGATATGGAAATAAGGGGTGAGCTGCATGAATGAATCCAGTTTTAATTCGTAATTTTGCTATCTTTGCGAATTTATTTGACCTATTATTGCAATTTCAATGACTATAATTTATTTAGTACATTAAATAAAGATATTAATATATCAACAAAATCGGGAGAAAGTCGGGTGCAGTCTCGTCGGTTTATAACGCCGAAAATTGTTTAGAACGCCATTCTAATTCTATATCCACATTTTGTATCAATTAAAATCTATGTTCATCCTCTCATTTCATTGATGTAATTTTATACGCTGTGCAGTGAATTATCGTGAGAAGTATACATCCTAATCAGACGTATATATCTCTCTTGTTCGCTTACAGTAGTTTCGTTCTGTAAAGTGGTGCAGCGATATAATCAACCGCACTAAAATACAAAATGGTATGTTGCATCGTAAGTTTAAATGTCCTGAAGCCTGAAAAGCCTGATACGGCTTCCCAACTTTCAATGAAAAATGACAGCGAGAAAATCTCGAGCAACCAGTCATGTCCAATTGAATCTCTCGAGTGAGGCGCTCCGGCACAAGGTTTGGAAATTTGATCAGCCCATACTCACGAGGAGTTATTGATTCAAATCCACTTTAATATTCAACATCAGTGTAATGAATTTTTCGGGCTCACGTGCGGCGAAATTCATATTGCATATTTAAACAACTTTGTTGCACTTTTCCTAACATAACGAAATATAACAATGAGACGTCAGCATCTTCATGCCTGATGAAGCTTTTGAAAAGTACTTACTTTATTTTATTATTGTTATTTAGTTAGTTTTCAATCCATCACTTCGAATTCGTGAATATTCAACGCTCAACTGTGGCAAACTTTTTCAATTTCGAGGGTGCAAATAATTAGACATTCTCATAGAGTGCCAATATGAATCAACGTTGAAACTCGTTTTTCTGTATAGCTATGAAATAATATATCCTTTTATCTGTTCAGTGGCTTAATATTCTTTGTTGAGTAGCTTATGTCCTTCAAAAATAGTTTTCGAGGAAGACATTGTGTTGGGCACGTGCATGAAGAATCAATCTGAAGGATTTTGGAAAAAAATATAAAAAGTGCAAGGAGTCAGCACTTGCAGACAAAAACGGGGAGAAATACCGGTTTTAGCCCTAAACTATGATTGACACAAATTGAATTTATTGGCGAATAATGACGAGGCAGTTTTATCATTTTCTATCTTACTATTGGTATTAAAAATAAATTCATCTATTTTATATGGTCACACCGTAAAATTAGTTCACATCTTCCCCGTCTGGAATAATCTTCAACTGCAGTCCCATGACGTAAGCATAATATATATTAAAAACTTTTTTGCTAAATTGAAATCTAAAACGATTTTATAAATCCAATCTGAGCCTGTGCTATATAGCGGTATTACCAATAGGGCATGTTCTTTCTTTGTGATGATTTTCTTTGGTACGACTATGAATCGTCATTTTTAGCACGAATGTGATAGTATGATTTAGGCCTGCGGCAAGGCTACATATTTTAAGGTATGACAGGAGGTCGACCACGTGTATATATATATAATGATGGACGGTCATAGGTACACTATTACTGTTTGATCAGCTATCAAGTTTTACCAAGTTAAATAATATGTCTATGATTGAAGCATGTCTGCTGGTTTGCTTGTTTTTGCCCTGTGGAAGAGTTCCGGTTAAAACCCATGAAAAATACTTGAAGACCGTCACCGTGAAAAATGCAACTATGAGCTATGTTGATACAGGTATTTCTATTTCTTTAAATAAAACCTGGCTATATAGACTTGTAATATTTACATCTGACATCAGCATCCAAGATGTTTGACGCCAGCTGATGTGGCCGCAGCCCATGTAGCGACGGGAATTTCAGTTTTGAATAAATTTTTCTTAAAGGACTGCCGCCTGGCGCAAAATCTAGCTTCTGACAATTCAGACAGAATTTGTAGATGGTAATGAAAAACTTGTGGCCCTGTTACATTGCTTGATTGAAATTGTATTGTTTTATACCCAAACTGTGTAACCGGTCGATCTTATTACAGACGGTCAGTTCGAACACACTGTTGTGTTTTTACATGGAAATCCGACTTCGTCGTATCTTTGGAGAAACATCTACCCACAAATTTCGTCGATCGCTCGATGCTTTGCACCCGATTTAATTGGAATGGGACGATCTGATAAAGTGGAAAATTTGATGTACACATTTGCGGATCATTATCAGTATTTTTCTGAATGGATGGATAAAGTAGTTAAAACAGATAAAGTAAGTTTTCCTAGAAAATTGTTTTTAAAATATATACTTTTATGATCATGATTGGTACAATTGCCGATCCAGAAGTATGTGTACTAATATGAAGGTAACTAATTTTGTTCGCATACTTTACATCAAGTTGTGTAAAGGGATGGAAGCCTATGGGCAATTGGCTAACACAAACAGTTCCCTAACTCGTAATAGAACTAAAATAGCGAAAATCGGAATAAAAATTATGATCGATCCACACATTTTACAAACATTTTGCAGAATAGCTAAATCGAGATTAGATATATAATTTGCTTTTGCCTCGGGATATAGTTACACTACTTTTCTTTTATTCGAAATAAACCAATAACAACTGAACACTTGCAGGTTTGCTCTTATTTAGGTAGTAAGTTATTATCTCTTCAGAACAAATTCCATTGATACAGCGCGCTAATTTTTCAATATATACCACAAATAAATATTGTTAAATGCGAACTTTCCATTCTTCCACGATTTACTATTAAAAATTTAGGCCGCCAAAATTTTACATTTCCAGAGCGTAAGCATACCTTTTTATGATGCGCCTTTTCATGAGTTTCATATTATTCGTTTTCTTTCTTTTTCAGGTTATTCTTGTGTTACATGACTGGGGTTCTATACTTGGATTTCATTGGGCAAATATGAATCGTGCAAGAGTTCAGTCTATTGTTCACATGGAGAGTGTTGTCGCGCCGTTTTCCACACAACATCAGACCGTGTTTTTCCGTCAAATAAGATCCGAAGGTTGACATAGCGCTGATTTATTAATACTATTTTCATAAAAATTGTAATCCACGAGATAAAACCTTTACGACGTATTGGGATCTAACAAGATACTCAAATGAGTAATCTCGGTAAGATGTTTAGCCATATTCTTCACCCCGCGACAGCTCTAGGAGCTGAACGATAGAACTTGCTCTATACCCCGTAGATCAAATAGCGAAATACCGATGTCCTTTTTAATTTCCAATAGCGGGAGAACAGATGGTATTGGTCAACAACCTTTTCGTCGAGAATTTCGTACCATTGAACATCATTCGAAACCTGACTGAAGAAGAGATGAATGAATACCGCAGACCTTTCGTCGATCCTGGAGAAGATAGAAGGCCTACTTTGACTTTTCCGAGACAAGTACCCATCCTAGGTAATATTCGGTAATATAAAACGAAGTAAAAATTACTCAATGTTTTGTCCGCGACTGATTTGCCCGCAAGAAATGTTCCGACGTAGTAGTTTTGATTAATATTGAAATTATAAGCCGCAAAAATAGTTCAACGCCTCGGTCCAATTGTATCGGCTGAAAAATGACCGATATTTACGATATAGCCTATTCCGGTCTTTGATCTGATATTAGATATGTTGAATAAAAAGTTATCATACGGACTACGGACGATAATAACTGAAATGCGTTTTTACTCTTCACAGTTGTTGTATATACAACGTGGGCAAAAAAATGTTACCTTATGACAATTTTGCTCACACTGCGGATGGTACGGTGAATGATTGCGTACAAACTTACCGACCGACCTGACCACTTGGTCACACTTGCTTTTTACCATCGCGAGTAGATACGTATAATATGACGTCAAAATTTCTGGTACCATGACGTTTCATTTTAATTTTGAACTTCTTACTGTTTATATTGAACTTATTACCAAATATATACCCATAACTACAATTTCGTAGAATACGCAGATCGAACACCGTAATTTCTTACGCCGGTACGCACCGAAAAGTCTGCGGAAACTACCATAATTGGTTTAAGTGTTGGTATCCACTTCTGCACACTTACTAAGTTGAAAAGGAATTTACGATGCGGGTAATGCAAGTACTTTAAATTGTTAGTAGTGATTCTAATGAAAAGCCATTTATGCATTTGTATCACAAATGTCAACTTCTTGTTCTGAAATTCCTGTTCTTCAAGCTATAATAATGTTCTCTGCTACTATAGTTCGCAGACAACTATTTTATACCGGCTTACAATCAAGATGATAATTTCATGATATCGGCTTCGGAAATATCGGCGCATCGGTATCGGCGAAACAATGGTATGACTATCTCTATGCAATACACGTGTATCATTTTTTGTCAATTAATCACAGATATACTTTTTGATAGGCCTACTAGCTCGTAATCGTTGTGCCACATCACGATTTTGAACTCTATTGTGAGCCAAGACCAAGCCCAGACTGCTGAACTGATCGCTTGCAATCATCGTATACATTAAATATTATTAAATTCATATATTCCATGATCTATATACAATAATGATTCAGATTTTAATCCCAACATATCATCTACCTGTCCTATTCGCTGTCTAATACAGTTTTTTTTATTCAATTATCTAACCTATAGGTGAGGGTCCCGATGACGTGATGATGGCGGTGAATGCATACGCCAAATGGTTGTCAACAACTTCTCATATACCTAAGATGCTGATTCTCGCAAAACCTGGAGGATTGTCCAACATCACCAAAGAAGTTGCAAAAGATTGGCCCAACCAACAGATGATAACGGTGAAGGGAATTCATTTTATTCAAGAAGATTCTCCGAAAGAAATAACAGACGCCATTTACTGCTTCCTGAATCTGAAGGTTTTAGGGAAGAAAGCATTAATATCCTAAATTATTTCAAACGCGTGAAACAAAATCAATATTCTTATATTGGGTCACTAACCTACTTTTTTGAATTTTGTTGACAATAAAAAATAACAGGTTCTGTTTAGAGCATTTTCGAAAAGTATTTTAGGTCATTCTCAATCTTTGAAAATTTGGCCGAGACCTAACTAAGTCAACTTTTCATTATGAAAACACATAGGCCTACTTTACAGTTGTAGCTTTACACATGCTTTTACGAACAATAATGTTCATACAGTATCAGAAATATTGTAGAGCTCGAAAAAATATTTTTTCCGTATTCATTTTTTCCATGTACTTTTCTGCTGCAATTCCTACAAGGAAAGTAAAATTGTTCTTTTTTTGTTCTACCAACTTGTTACATTGTGTAAAATCCACCATGCTAAATGAAATGGCCCCTCACATTCAAAGACACTTGCTCCGAAAAGGGGCGTATCCTCTTGGCTGTAAATCACATCCTCAGGTCATTTTTTTTTTCTTCAGTATATCGTGTATATGCTAAATTGTGGAAAATATTCAATCGAATTAAATAAACTACCCTTTGGTGAATAAATTTAGATTTATGTATGCTATTGAAAGGTTGGAAGAACAATTAAGAGCCTGTCTAATGATATGTCCAGATTAATAATATCAGAGACATTACAGGGCGGAAAGGATATTTTGTTTTAAACTACTTTACATATGAGTCTTCATATATGAGTAGAAAAGCTCACAACATACAAAATTATTTCTTGCCAAATCTATACTTCTTGCTAGTTACAGAGTTTATTTGACACAAAATGGACCCATGGATCGTTTGTCATTTTGTATTCTTATTGTTACCGTATAATATGAAAAATATCATATTAGTTACCTGCGACCAAAACTGTGAAAACGAGGTGCTTTTATCAACTCTGCTTTAATTAATATCTGTCTGAGCGGCTGCTAAAATTGTAATTGTTACGTCATTGTTGACTTATTTCTGATTAGTTATGATTGAGAAAATAAATAAGCAAATCGATTCTCAGGAAAAAAGAAAATTTTCCTTATACTTTACTATTGCAGTATAACCGGTTAACCGAGAGTTATTTTGCTATCTGATATCCGGATATTAGTGTGACGGTTAACCGGATAATAGAACAGTATAAATAATGCATATGCGCATTAGTGATTTTCATATTTTTTGTGGAGTGGCGACTGACAACTCACCACAGGAGAATAGATTCCGATTTGTTTTACTGTCGTCATTCATTTGCCATACCCTCCCTAGGTACATCGCTACTTACGTTAAAATAAAAGCACTCCTACTCTAGATATGAAACTAAGGGGTGAGCTGCAAGAATGAATCCAGTTTTAATTCGTAATTTTGCTATCTTTGCGAATTTATTTGACCTATTATTGCAATTCCATTGAGTATAATTTATTCAGTACATTAGATGTAGATAATATATCAACAAAATCGGGAGAAAAGTCGGGTGCAGTCTCGTCGGTTTATAACGCCGAAAATTGTTTAGAACGCCATTCTAATTCTATATTTACATTTTGTATCAATTAAAATCTATGTTTATCCTCTCATTACATTAATGTAATTTTATACGCTGTGCAATGAATTTTCGTGAGAAGTATACATCCTAATCAGACGTATATATCTCTCTTGTTCGCTTACAGTAGTTTCGTTCTGTAAAGCGGTGCAGCGATATGATCAACCGCACTAAAATACTAAATGGTATGTTGCATAGTAAGTTTAAATGTCTTGCACTCAAGTATGTACTAACGGAAAAAACTGATATGGCTTCCCAACTTTCAATGAAAAATGACAGCGAGAAAAACTCGAGCAACCAGTCATGTCCAATTGAATCTCTCGAGTGAGGCGCTCCGGCACAAGTTTTTGAAATTTAATCAGCCCATACTAACGAGGAGTTATTGATTCAAATTCACTTTAATATTCAACATCAGTGCTCACATGCGACGAAATTCTTATTGCATATTTGAACAACTTTGTTGCACTTTTCCTAACATGACGAAATATAACAATGAGACCTCAGCATCTTCATGCCTGATGGAGCTTTTGAAAAGTACTTACTTTATTTTATTAATGGTATTTAGTTAGTTTCCAATCCATCACTTCGAATTCGTGAATATTCAACGCTCAACTGTGGCAAACTTTATCAATTTCGAGGGTACTAATAATTAGACAGTCTCAATATAGTGCCAATAAGAATCAACGTTGAAACTCGCCTTTCTGTATAGCTATGAAATAATATATATTTTTATCTGTTCAGTAGTTCTGTTGAGTAGCTTATGTCCTTCAAAAATGGTTTTCGAGAAAGACATTGTGTTGGGAACGTGCATGAGGAATCAATCTGAAAGATTTTGAAAAAAGAATCTAGGAAATGCAAGGAGCCAGCAAACAAAAACGGGGAGAAATACCGGTTTTAGCCCTAAACTACGATTGACACAAATTGAATTTATTGGCGAATAATGACGAGGCAGTTTTATCATTTTCTATCTTACTATTGGTATTAAAAATAAATTCATCTATTTTATATGGTCACACCGTAAAATTAGTTCACATTCCCTACTTCTGGAAAAATCTTCAACTGCAGTCACATGACGTAAGCATATTATTAGAAACTTTTTTGCTAAATTGAAACCTAAGACGACCTATAGGCCCAAGCTGAGTGCTATATAGCGGTATTACCAATACGGCGTGTTCATTCGTTGTGATGATTTTCTTCGGTATACGACTATGACTCGTCATCTTTAGCACGAATGTGATAGTATCAATGATTTAGGCCTGCGGCAAGGCTACATAATTTTAAGAAGGTATGACAGGAGGTCGACCATATGTATATAGATAATGATGGACGGTCATAAATACATCATTGGTTTTTGATCGGCCATCAAGTTTAACTCAGTTAAATAATATGTCTATGATTGGAGCATGTCTGCTGGTTTGCTTGTTTTTGCCCTGTGGAAGAGTTCCGGTTAAAACCCATGAGAAATACTTGAATACTGTCACCGTAAAAAATGCAACTATGAGCTATGTTGATACAGGTATTTATCTATTTATTTAAATAAAACTTGGCTATATAGACTTGTAATATTTACATCTGACTCTGCCCAGCATCCAAAGAGGTTTGACGCCAGCTGATGTGGCCGCAGCCCATTTAGCGACGGGAATTTCAGTTTTGAATAAATCTTTCTTAATATGTGTTTGCATAATGAAAATGTGTTTGTTCACCAGGACTGCCGGCTGGCGCAAAATATAGCTTCTGAGAATTCAGACAGAATTTGTAGATGGTAATAAAAAAGTTGTGGCTCTGTTCCATTGCTTGATTGAAATTGTATTGTTTTATACCCAAACTGTGTAACCGGTAGATCTTATTACAGGCGGTCAGTTCGAACACACTGTTGTGTTTTTACATGGAAATCCGACTTCGTCGTATCTTTGGAGAAACATCTACCCACAAATTTCGTCGATCGCTCGATGCTTTGCACCCGATTTAATTGGAATGGGACGATCTGATAAAGTGGAAAATTTAATGTACACATTTGCTGATCATTATCAGTATTTATCTGAATGGATGGATAAAGTAGTTAACACAGAGAAAGTAAGTTTTCCTAAAAAATTATTTTTAAAATATATACTTTTATGATCATGATTGGTAAAACTGCCGGCGCTCCAGAAGTATGTGTACTAATATAGAGGTAACTAATTTTGTTCGCCTACTTTACATCAAGTTGTGTAAAGGGACGGAAGCCTATGAACACTTGGCTAACACAAACAGTCCCCGAACCCGTAATAGAACTAAAATAGGGAAAATCAAGATAAAATTATGATCTAGCCCTAACCTGGTGCACATACTACGGGAGTACCAAATTTCCATCATTTGTCTCAAAATTTCATATTCAAAAATATGTGCCTTTGTGTCTTGCTAATGTAAGCAAAAGTGTAATAAGCACACTCCTATATTTTCACCCATATATCGCTAAAATTTAATCTATTTGACTCGGAGAACGGTTGTTTTTGGGCGTATTCAGTTGTTTACTAATTTCAATCAAAGCTCTCCGATTGTGGTTGCAAATCTTCTAATACCATATTTTTACACACATTTTGCAGAATAGCTACATCGAGATTAGATATGTAATTTGCTGTCGCCTCGGGATATAGTTACACTAATTTTCTTTTATTCAAATAAACCAATAACAACCGAACACTTGCAGGTTTGCTCGTATTTAGGTACTAAGTTATTATCTCTTCAGAACAAATTCCATTGATACAGCGCGGTAATTTTTTAATATATACCAAAAATAAATATTGTTAAATGCGAACTTTCCATTCTTCCACGATTTACTATTAAAAATTTGGGCCGCCAAAATTTTACATTTCCAGAGCGTAAGCATATACCTTTTTATGATGCGCCCTTTCATGAGTTTCCTATTATTCGTTTTTTTCTTTTTCAGGTTATTCTTGTGTTACATGACTGGGGTTCTATACTTGGATTTCATTGGGCAAATATGAATCGTGCAAGAGTTCAATCTATTGTTCACATGGAGAGTGTTGTCGCGCCGTTCTCCACACAACATCAGACCGTGTTTTTCCGTCAAATAAGATCCGAAGGTTAAAATAGCGCTGATTTATGAATACAATTTGCATAAAAATCGTAATCCATGAGATAAAACCTTTACGACGTATTGGGATCTAACAAGATACTCAAATGAGTAATCTCGGTAAGATGTTTAGCCACATTCTTCACCCCGCGACAGCTCTAGGAGCTGAACGATAGAAGCTGAACGCGTAGGGCAAATAGCGAAATACCGATGTTCTTTTTAATTTCCAATAGCGGGAGAACAGATGGTATTGGTCAACAACCTTTTTGTCGAGAATTTCGTACCATTGAACATCATTCGAAACCTGACTGAAGAAGAGATGAATGAATACCGCAGACCTTTCGTCGATCCTGGAGAAGATAGAAGGCCTACTTTGACTTTTCCGAGACAAGTACCAATCCTAGGTAATATTCGGTAATATAAAACGAAGTAAAAATTACTCAATGTTTTGTCCGCGACTGACTTGGCCGCAAGAAATGTTCCGACGTAGTAGTTTTGATAAATATTGAAATTATAAGCCGCAAAAATAGTTCAACGCCTCGATTCAGTTGTATCGGCTGAAAAATGACCGATATTTACGATATAGCATATTCCACTTTTTGATCTGATATTAGATATGTTGGATAATAAGTTAGCATACGGACGATAATAACTGAATGCGTTTTTACTCTTCACAGTTGTTGTATATACAGAGTGGACCAAAAAATGTTATCTTATGACAATTTTCAAAAATGGTAACATTTTTGGCCCACGCTGCAGATGGTATGATGGTGAATGATTGGGTACAAACTTACCAACCGACCTGACCACTTGGTCACACTCGCTTTTTACCCTCGCGAGTAGATACGTATAATATGACGTCAAGTTTTCTGGTACCATGACGTTTCATTTTAATTTTGAACTTCTTACTGTTTAAATTAAACTTATTACCAAATATATACCTATAACTACAATTTCGTAGTAGAATACGCAGATCGAACACCGCCATTTCTTATGCCGGTACGCACCGAAAAGTCTACGGAAACTACCATAATTGGTTTAAGTGTTGATATCCACTTCTGCACACTTACTAAGTTGAAAAGGAATTTACGATGCGAGTAATGCAAGTACTTTGAATAGTTAGTAGTGATTCTAATGAAAAGCCATTCATGCATTTGTATCACAAATGTCAACTTCTTGTTCTGAAATTCCGGTTCTTCAAGCTATAATATTGTTCTCTGCTAATATAGTTCGCAGACAACTATTTTATACCGGCTTACAATCAAGATTTTCATGATATCGGCTTCGGAAATATCGGCACATCGGTATCGGCAAAACAATGGTATGACTATCTCTATGCAATACACGTGTATCATTTTTGTCAATTAATTAATCACAGATATACTTTTTGATAGGCCTACTAGCTCGAAATCGTTTTGCCACATCACGATTTTGAACTCTATTGTGAGCGAAGACCAAGCCCAGACTGCTGAACTGATCGCTTGCAATCATCGTATACATTAAATATTATTATATTCATATATTTCATAATATATATACAATAATCATTCATATTTTAAGGTATCCAAACATATCATCTACCTGCCCTATTCGCTGTCTAATACAGTTTTTTATTTATCTAATCAACCTATAGGTGAGGGTCCCGATGACGTGACGATGGCGGTGAATGCATACGCCAAATGGTTGTCAACAACTTCTCACATACCTAAGATGCTGATTCTCGCAAAACCTGGAGGATTGTCCAACATCACCAAAGAAGTTGCAAAAGATTGGCCCAACCAACAGATGATAACGGTGAAGGGAATTCATTTTATTCAAGAAGATTCTCCGAAAGAAATAACAGACGCCATTTACTGCTTCCTGAATCTGAAGGTTTTAGGGAAGAAGGCATTAATATCCTAAATTATTTCAAACGTGTGAAACAAAATCAATATTCTTATATTGGGTCACTAACCTACTTTTTTGAATTTTGTTGACAATAAAAAATAACAGGTTCTGTTTAGAGCATTTTCAAAAAGTATTTTAGGTCATTCTCAATCTTTGAAAATTTGGCCGAGACCTAACTAAGTCAACTTTTCATTATGAAAACACATAGGCCTACTTTACAGTTGTAGTTTTACACATGCTTTTACGAACAATAATGTTCATACAGTATCAGAAATATTGTAGAGCTCGAAAATATATTTTTTCCGTATTCATTTTTTCATGTACTTTTCTGCTGCAATTCCTACAAGGAAAGTAAAATTGTTCTTTTTTTGTTCTACCAACTTGTTACATTGTGTAAAATCCACCATGCTAAATGAAATGGCCCCTCACATTCAAAGACACTTGCTCCGAAAAGGGGCGTATCCTCTTGGCTGTAAATCACATCCTCAAGTCATTTTTTTTTCTTCAGTATATCGTGTATATGCTAAATTGTGGAAAATATTCAATCGAATTAAATAAACTACCCTTTGGTGAATAAATTTAGATTTATGTATGCTATTGAAAGGTTGGAAGAACAATTAAGAGCCTGTCTAATGATATGTCCAGATTAATAATATCAGAGACATTACAGGGCGGAAAGGATATTTTGTTTCAAACTACTTTACATATGAGTCTTCATATATGAGTAGAAAAGCTCACAACATACAAAATTATTTCTTGCCAAATCTATACTTCTTGCTAGTTATAGAGTTTATTTGACACAAAATGGACCTATGGATCGTTTGTCATTTTGTATTCTTATTGTTACCGTATAATATGAAAAATATCATATTAGTTACCTGCGACCAAAACTGTGAAAACGAGGTGCTTTTATCAACTCTGCTTTAATTAATATCTGTCTGAGCGGCTGCTAAAATTGTAATTGTTACGTCATTGTTGACTTATTTCTGATTAGTTATGATTGAGGAAATAAATAAGCAAATCGATTCTCAGGAAGAAAGAAAATTTTCCTTATACTTTACTATTGCAGCATAACCGGTTAACCGAGAGTTATTTTGCTATCTGATATCCGGATATTAGTGTGACGGTTAACCGGATAATAGAACAGTATAAATAATGTATATGCGCATTAGTGATTTTCATATTTTTTGTGGAGTGGCGACTGACAACTCACCACAGGAGAATAGATTCCGATTTTTTTTCTGTCGTCATTCATTTGCCATACCCTCCCTAGGTACATCGCTACTTACGTTAAAATAAAAGCACTCCTACTCTAGATATGAAAATAAGGGGTGAGCTGCAAGAATGAATCCAGTTTTAATTCGTAATTTTGCTATCTTTGCGAATTTATTTGACCTATTATTGCAATTCCATTGAGTATAATTTATTCAGTACATTAGATGAAGATAATATATCAACAAAATCGGGAGAAAAGTCGGGTGCAGTCTCGTCGGTTTATAACGCCGAAAATTGTTTAGAACGCCATTCTAATTCTATATTTACATTTTGTATCAATTAAAATCTATGTTTATCCTCTCATTTCATTAATGTAATTTTATACGCTGAGCAGTGAATTATCGTAAGAAGTATACATCCTAATCAGACGTATATATCTCTCTTGTTCGCTTAAAGTAGTTTCGTTCTGTAAAGCGGTGCAGCGATATGATCAACCGCACTAAAATACAAAACGGTATGTTGCATCGTAAGTTTAAATGTCTTGCACTCAAGTATGTACTAACGGAAAAGCCTGATATGGCTTCCCAACTTTTAATGAAAAATGACAGCGAGAAAAACTCGAGCAACCAGTCATGTCCAATTTAATCTCTCGAGTGAGGCGCTCCGGCACAAGGTTTTGAAATTTGATCAGCCCATACTCACGAGGAGTTATTGATTCAAATTCACTTTAATATTCAACATCAGCGTAATAAATTTTTCGGGCTCACGTGCGGCAAAATTCATATTTAAACAACTTTGTTGCACTTTTCCTAACATGACGAAATATAACAATGAGACGTCAGCATCTTCATGCCTGATGGAGCTTTTGAAAGGTACTTAATTTATTTTAATAATGTTATTTAGTTAGTTTTCAATCCATCACTTCAAATTTAAACTTTATCAACTTCGATGGTACTAATAATTAGACAGTCTCATAGAGTGCCAATATGAATTAACGTTGAAACTCATCTTTCTGTATAGCTATGAAATAATATATCTTTTTATCTGTTCAGTGGCTTAATATTTTTTGTTGAGTAGCTTATGTCCTTCGAAAATGGTTTTCGAGAAAGACATTGCATGATGAATCAATCTGAAGGATTTTGGAAAGAAAAATCTAGGAAATGCAAGGAGCCAGCACTTACAAACAAAAACGGGGAGGAATACCGGTTTTAGCCCTAAACTACGATTGACACAAATTGAATTTATTGGCGAATAATGACGAGGCAGTTCTATCATTTTCTATCTCACTATTGGTATTAAAAATAAATTCATCTGTTTTATATGGCCACACCGTAAAATTAGTTCACATCTCCCCCGTCTGGAATAATCTTCAACTGTAGTCACATAACGTAAGCATATATATTATAAAAACTTTTTTGCTAAATTGAAATCTAAAACGATCTTATAAGTCCAATCTGAGCCTGTGCTATATAGCGATATTACCAATATGGCGTGTTCTTTCTGTGTGATGATTTTCTTTGGTACGACTATAACTCGTCATTTTTAGCACGAATGGGATAGTATCAAAGATTTAGGCCTGCGGCAAGGCTACATATTTTAAGGTATGACAGGAGGTCGACCATATGTATATATAATGATAGACGGTCATAGGTACACTATTAGTGTTTGCTCAGTCATCAAGTTTTACTCATTTAAATAATATGTCTATGATTGGAGCATGTCTGCTGGTTTGCTTGTTTTTGCCCTGTGGAAGAGTTCCGGTTAAAACCCATGAGAAATACTTGAAGACTGTCATCGTGAAAAATGCAACTATGAGCTATGTTGATACAGGTATTTCTATTTATTTAAATAAAAACTTGACTATATAGACTTGTGATATTTACATCTGACTCTGCCCAGCATTCAAGAGGTTTGACGCCTGCTAATGTGGCCGCAGCCCATTTAGCGACGGAAATTTCGGTTTTCAAATAAATCCTAAATAATGAACAAAATTACAATACAGTATATCATTTATAATCAATTTTATTTTTTTAATATAATTTTTGTTGGAAAAATATTTTTGTTCATCCTAGTTCTATCTTTTTACTTTCGAACATAAGTTTTGAATCCTTATTTGTCTGCATTCACTTTTCAATTTGTTAAAAGATTGCCGGCTGGCGCAAAATCTAGCTTCGGAGAATTCAGACAGAATTTATAGATGGTAATGAAAAGCTTGTGGCCCTGTTACATTGCTTGATTGAAATTGTATTGTTTTATACCTAAAACTGTGTAACCAGCCGATTTTATTAAAGGCGGTCGGTTCGAACACACCGTTGTATTTTTACATGGAAATCCGACATCGTCGTATCTTTGGAGAAACATCTACCCACAAATTTCGTCGATCGCTCGATGCTTTGCACCCGATTTAATTGGAATGGGACGATCTGATAAAGAGGAAAATTTGATGTATACATTTGCGGATCATTATCAGTATTTGTCTGAATGGATGGATGAAGTAGTTGAAACAGAGAAAGTAAGTTTTCCTAGAAAATTATTGTTAAAATATATACTTTTAGGCAGTGGCGGCGCGTCTATAGGGCCAACCGGGGCAATGCCCCGGTTTTTTTCTTCGGTATAATAAAAAATATTCGAAAAATACCTCAATATCGGTTGCACAGACTGTCTACACTAGCCATATTCTCCCGACATGGTTCATTTTTCGCTCGCAAAGCCTTCGCCGAACGTCGACGGGGCGACGCTGATTTTGCCCCGGTTGCTCATTGTATATCGTATTCTCTCTTTTATCTTCCACTCGCCGCGTTTGTCTCGTTTGTTTTCTGTTTCTTTTACTAAATCATCGGGGATAGCCCCGAAATTATGACGACACAATGCCGACGTTTCTTACAACAACGTGTTGACATATTCACGCATTCCTTCTCGTTCGTTGGTTGCTTGAAGAGTTGATAGTTTCCTCGCCTTCGTTTTTGTCGCTTGTTTCGCTATTTGAATCAGTTAGAGACCTTTAGTCCATTTGCTTTCGATTTTCCACATTCCTTTTGAGCTCCTCACTTCTTTCCGGCTTCGCATTTCTTAGCCTTAGACCTCATAATGAATAAGGTTGATGCACTACTTCGCACTCCGTTTTCGCAGCTGCCGCTGGAACGAAAATTAGAGGTACAACGTCTTGGGCCTTATCAACCAAAAAATTGTTCACTGGAACAATCTCATGACGGAGGAAAGCGTCGACGTACATTCTGCGCAGAAACTTGGTATAAAAAACACGAATGGTTGTGTTACAGCGAGGACAAAAATGCACTTTTTTGTTTTTATTGCCTACTTTTTGCTATCGCCCGTGACTCACGTTGGTGTAAATTTGGTTTTAGAGATCTTAAACATCTTTCCGAGCGTGCCAGGGATCATCAATCTTCTATGGAGCATCTGGACAATGCAGTAAAATACCGAACATTCGGAAATGATAATATTGCAGCACAGTTGGATGAAGAACGCGCGGTTTCTATTCGTCGACACAACCAAAACGTCGAGAAAAACCGCCATGTTCTCGGTCGATTGATAGATGTTTTGAAGTTCATTGGTTGTCACGAGCTGTCCCTCCGTGGGCACGATGAACGGGCTGGCTCTTCTAATAGAGGGGTATTTTTGGATATGGTGCAATACACCGCATCCCTAGATACAGTATTGAGAGATCATCTTGATGCCGCAACTGTTTCGAAAGGGACGTCTAAGGATATTCAAAATGATTTGCTCTCGACTCAATGTATAAAATTTATTTACAACATTTGGCTCTGGAAATTGAGAATTGCCAGTTCCTTTCGATTCAGTCTGACGAGACAACTGACATCACGTGCGTTTCCCAACTGGCTGTGATTTTTCGGTTTGTGAAAGATGGAAAACCTACCGAGAGATTTCACAGCTTTGTACCAATCGTTGATCGCACGGTTTGCGGGATATCAGCTGTACTGAAAGAAGTGTTACAGCCTTACAACGCGAAGTCAAAATTGATAGCTCAAACTTATGACGGCGCGGCAGTCATGAGTGGGTCGAAACATGGTGTTCAAGTTTATATAAAAGAAGATTTTCCTCATGCGCATTTTTTACATTGTTATGCACACCAATTTAACCTCGTTATTAAAAATATGTGTCTTGATACCCCTCTCGTCCGTATATTTTTTGCAAATGTTTCGGGGTTTTCTTCATTTTTTTCCGTTTCGCCGAAGCGCTCTGACCTCCTTCGCCAGATATGTAGCCGCCGTCTCCCAGCTTGTGCACCAACACGTTGGAACTTCCAATCACGCGTGGTGCAGGGCGTGTCCGAAATTAGGTCTGAGCTCATTGAGTGTTTCAATGGCATTCAGAGCTCTCCGGTTTGGGACGAACGCTCTGTGAGGCGGAAGGTCTAAAGCGTCTGCTAGAAGATGGTGAGTTTTCATTTTTTCTCGCTTTTTTCTCCACAATATTCTATCACGTGGATGTATTATACGGCGCATTGCAGTCAAGGCTAATGGATGGAGCGTCTGTGCAGTCGTGTATTTCAGACTTCTGCGATGCTGTATCTCGTATCCGGGAAACAATAAAATACGACGACACATGGAGTGCTTCTTTACGCCGCGGGCAAACAACGCAGCGTTTGATTTTGTCTGCAAAGGAATGCTGTGACATTCTGGTGAATCAAATAGGCGATCGTCCGCGCACTGAACACCTTGCCGCGTTCTCTTTGATGAACCCCAAAAATTTTTCAAAATTTGCACGTCAATTTCCCATCCATTTGTTGGCTACTGTCTCCAAATTTTACCCCATGATAAACGTGGGTAAATTGGAAAATGAATTGCGACGTATATACACCAATCAAACTTTTTTGAACATCACATCAACTTGCGCGCTCTATGGGTTCCTCATAGATAACACTCTAGTAACTACCTTTGCGGCGTCTGCAAAATTTCTGGACATCATTTTGACGACGCCTATTTCTTCCGCCGACGCAGAGCGAAATTCAGCACGCTGAAGCGTATTAAAACGTATCTCAGAAACACAATGAAGCAAGATAGATCAAATTCCTTGGCTGTTTTATCCATTCACAGAGACGTTATTTCTGGGATGCATGACTTTAATCAGCGCGTTATTGAGCATTTTGCTTCCAAGAAACCGCGGCGTGTTGCATATATGTTCAAGCAGTAGAAGTCTAGCAGCATATATATCTATGAGTGAGCGACGCATGTCCTTATCTTTGCATTAACTTTCCTTTCTTCATAGTAACGTTTTAAACCTTATTTTAGGTTTTGTCTGCTTTCCCGAAGTTTCTGTTAATATGTCATTGTATTTATCTGGGTAAATATTGCCTTTCCTTTTGAAAGAGGTTTCAAAATAAACTATGTCTATATTTATTAATCCCTTAACTTGGACCGGTTTTAAAGACACTTTCTTATCGTTAAAAATTGTCGCTTTTGCCGATTGGTTGTTACCGATGGAGTGGTTTGTATACTCATAAAATGATGGGAGAACTTACAGCGCTCATCCTGTCCCCGTAGATGGGATGACTTGATCCCGCAGTAGCTTGCCCCGGTTGTCAAAATGACCACGCGCCGCCACTGCTTTTATGACCATGATTGGTGAAATTACCAGCTCTCCAGAAGTATGTGTACTAATATGGAGGTAACTGATTTTGTTCGCCTTCTTTACATCAAGTTGTGTAAAGGGACGGAAGCTTTTGGGCACTTGGCCAACACAAACAGTCCCCGAACTCGTAATAGAACTAAAGTAAGGAAAATCGGAATAAAATTATAGTCTAGTCCTAACCTGGTGCACATACTACAGGAGTACCAAATTTCCATCATTTGTCTCAAAATTTCATTTTCAAAATCTGACTCTGAAATCTGTTAATTTGACTGCAAATGCTGTAAGAGTAAACATGTAAATGAACTTGATATGCTTTGGCACTTACCTACGTCACATGTTAAAAATTATCGGAGAAATTGTAATGTAATGTTTCTTCCTTAGCCTACTTTCGTTATTCACGGCAAAACTGTAACAAAAAGATGAGATCGTAATTCACTGTGGTATGGTACCGGTGCCTTAACTCACCAGTACCATACCGTACCTGTAAGCCTGATAACGATATTCTTCTTTGGCATATACGGTACAAACTCAATTCATAAACTAATACGTTACTATACAAAACTTGAATTTGTGCAATAGTAAGTCACCGTGCTGTGTTACGGTACCGAAACTGTCATATCTTCACCAGTTCCTGTCTTGTGCCAGCTTCAATTGAAATTGATCCGACTTGCAACCGCAGTAACACCAGCGATCCGAAACACTACTGTATTATAACACCAGTTACGGGTACTGCCAACGACTAACATACCGCGCAGTTCACAACAACTCTTAGCGAGCAAGAATCACGTTCGCTTCTTCGCCGCAATCGCCACAAGGTACCGCTATTTTTCACGGTGATCACCAATTCGCACAAAAAACAAATCTCTTGAAGTCCACAGAAAATCTTGAAATAAATAAAAGTAATAGCCTTCTGGAGAAATATTCTATCTTTCAACATAATTGGTCTAGTAATCAAAGAGCAAAGCGATTTCTTCAAAACGTGTCAATGAACAAGAACAACAAAATGATCATTATGTCCACTACGTGTCCAATAAACACACTCCTATATTTTCAACCACCTATCGCCAAAAATTTAAGCTATTTTATTCGGAGAGCGGTTGTTTTTGGCATATTTAGTTGTTTACTAATTTCAATCAAAGCTCTCCGACTGTGGTTGCAAAGCTTCTAATACCATATTTTTTACAAACATTTTGCAGAATAGCTAAATCGAGATTAGATATATAATTTTCTTTCGCCTCGGGATATAGTTACACTACTTTTCTTTTATTCGAAATAAATCAACAACAGCTGAACACTTGCAGGTTTGCTCATATTTAGGTACTAAGTTATTATCTCTTCAGAACAAAATCCATTGATACAACGCGCTAATTTTTTAATATATACCAAAAATATTTATTGTGAAATGCGAACTTTCCATTCCTACGCGATTTACTATTAAAAATTTGGGCCGCCAAAATTTTACATTTCCAGAGCGTAAGCATACCTTTTTATGATGCGCCCTTTTATGAGTTTCATATTATTCGTTTTTTTTTCTTTTTCAGGGTATTCTTGTGTTACATGACTGGGGTTCTATACTTGGATTTCATTGGGCAAATATGAATCGTGCAAGAGTTCAGTCTATTGTTCACATGGAGAGTGTCGTCGCGCCGTTTTCCACACAACATCAGACCGTGTTTTTCCGTCAAATAAGATCCAAAGGTTAAAATAGCGCTGATTTATTAATACAATTTGCATAAAAATCGTAATCCGTGAAATAAAACCTTTTCGACGTATTGTGATCTAACAAGATACTCAAATAAGTAATCTCGGTAAGATGTTTAGCCATATTCTTTACCCCGCGACAGATCAACGATAGAACTTGCTCTACCCCGTACTGTACAGCAAATGCGAAGTACCGATGTTCTTTTTAATTTCCAATAGCGGGAGAACAGATGGTATTGGTGAACAACCTTTTCGTCGAGAATTTCGTACATTAAACATAATCCGAAACCTGACTGAAGAAGAGATGAATGAATACCGCAGACCTTTCGTCGATCCTGGAGAAGATAGAAGGCCTACTTTGACTTTTCCGAGACAAGTACCCATCCTAGGTAATATTCAGTAATATAAAACGAAGTAAAAATTACTCAATGTTTTGACCGCGACTGACTTAGCCGCAAGAAATGTTCCGACGTAGTAGTTTTGATAAATATTGAAATCATAAGCCGCAAAAATAGTTCAACGCCTCGATTCAGTTGTATCGGCTGAAAAATGACCGATATTTACGATATAGCATATTCCGCTTTTTGATCTGATATTAGATATGTTGGATAATAAGTTAGCATACGGACGATAATAACTGAATGCGTTTTTACTCTTCACAGTTGTTGTATATACAGAGTGGACCAAAAAATGTTATCTTATGACAATTTTCAAAAATGGTAACATTTTTGGCCCACGCTGCAGATGGTATGATGGTGAATGATTGGGTACAAACTTACCCACCGACCTGACCACTTGGTCACACTCGCTTTTTACCCTCGCGAGTAGATACGTATAATATGACGTCAAGTTTTCTGGTACCATGACGTTTCATTTTAATTTTGAACTTCTTACTGTTTAAATTAAACTTATTACCAAATATATACCTATAACTACAATTTCGTAGAATACGCAGATCGAACACCGCCATTTCTTACGCCGGTACGCACCGAAAAGTCTACGGAAACTACCATAATTGGTTTAAGTGTTGATATCCACTTCCGCACACTTACTAAGTTGAAAAGGAATTTACGATGCGAGTAATGCAAGTACTTTAAATCGTTAGTAGTGAATCTAATGAAAAGCCATTCATGCATTTGTATCACAAATGTCAACTTCTTGTTCTGAAATTCCTGTTCTTCAAGCTATAATATTGTTCTCTGCTAATATAGTTTGCAGACAACTATTTTATACCGGCTTACAATCAAGATTTTCATGATATCGGCTTCGGAAATTTCGGCACATCGGTATCGGCAAAACAATGGTATGACTATCTCTATGCAATACACGTGTATCATTTTTGTCAATCAATTAATCACAGATATACTTTTTGATAGGCCTACTAGCTCGAAATCGTTTTGCCACATCACGATTTTGAACTCTATTGTGAGCGAAGACCAAGCCCAGACTGCTGAACTGACCGCTTGCAATCATCGTATACATTAAATATTATTAAATTCATATATTCCATGATCTATATACAATAAAGATTCAGATTTTAATCCCAACATATCATCTACCTGCCCTATTCGCTGTCTAATACAGTTTTTTTTATTTAATTATCTAACCTATAGGTGAGGGTCCCGATGATGTGATGATGGCGGTGAATGCATACGCCAAATGGTTGTCAACAACTTCTCATATACCTAAGATGCTGATTCTAGCAAAACCTGGCGGATTGTCCGACATCACCAATAAAGTTGCAAAAGATTGGCCCAATCAAATGATGATAACGGTGAAGGGAATTCATTTTATTCAAGAAGATTCTCCAAAAGAAATAACAGACGCCATTTACTGCTTCCTGAATCTGAAGGTTTTAGGGAAGAAAGCATGAATTGAATGAATTCTGAATTATTTCAAACGTGTTAAACGTAATTAATATTTTTGCGTACCTTTTACCATGTACTTTTTCTGCTGCAATTCCTACGAAGAAAGTAAATTTGTTCCTATTTTGTTCTACCAACTTGTTATATTGTGTAAAATCCACCATGCTAAATGAGAAGGCCTCTTACATTCAGAGACCATTGCTCCGAAAAGGGTCGTATCCTCTTGGGTGTAAATCACATCCTCAAGTCATTTTTATATGCTAAATTGTGGAAAATATTCAATCGAAATAAATAAACTACCCTTTGGTGAAAACATTTAGATTTATGTATGCTATTGAAAGGTTGGAAGAGCAATTAAGAGTCTGTCTAATGACGTGTCCAGATTAATATCAGAGACATTACAGGGCGGAAACGGATATTTTGTTTTAAACTACATAATATATGAGTCTTCATATATGAGTAGAAAAGCATACAAAATTATTTCTTGCCAAATCTATACTTCTTGCTAGTTACAGAGTTTATTGGACACGAAATAGACCTATGGATCGTTTTGTCATTTTGTATTCTTATTGTTACCATATGAAAACATATCATATTAGTTACCTGACTAAAACTGTGAAAACGAGGCGCTTTTATCAACTCTGCTTTAATTAATATTTGTCTGAGCGGCTGCTAAAATTGTAATTGTTATGTCATTGTTGACTTATTTCCGATTGGATATGATTGAAAGAATGAATAAGAAAATCAATTCTCAGGGAGAAATGGTTGTTTTCCCGACCCTTGACCCAGAAAAATTTTCCTTATCCTTCACTATTGTAACAATTGAAATTTATGCCGCCGCTCAGACAGATATTCAAGCGTGATTGTAAACATTGCCTCTTTCAGTAGTTTTGCGTGTTATTCGTCAGTTTTAGTTATGTTTCTATAAAATAGTTGTAAATCAAATAACGTAATTGATATATGTTTTTGATGGACCTTTAGTTTAGTTAAAATAATCAAAGATTGATACCACAAAGTCTGCGATAGATTAGGCTAAAATCAGCTATCAGTACCTATAAGCGGCAATTGGTTTATTGTTTCAATAAAAATAGATAGATAGATAGATAGTTTATTTCGAAAACTCCATAACAAACCTAAATTTAAAATGGAGAATTCTGGAGGGCAAGCAAAACCTACAAAAAAGTTTAAAACATGAAGTATCTCATGTGCCTGCCCACCAGCACGCACACAAAAACACAAGCCCAATTAAATGAGGCTTGGGCCAAACTTAAAAAACAAAATACACGATAGTAATAAACTTTCGGGCTGTTGTACTCTCTTTCAACAATTACGTTGATAATGACCAATACAGACAACCTCATGCAAAGATAATGTGGGGAGTGGAATGTAATGTATGTATGTTCGGGCATGTGAGCCAGTTTGCAAGCGCCAATTCCTCAAAACACTTTCGAAATCATCGTTGCAATGCATAAGAGAATCTTTCGAGGGTCAAGCGTCGTGGAAACGTCTATTGTTGCCTACCGAATATTGTAATTCATATTATTTTTGAAATATACTCTAGAATAAACATCAAAAAAGTCAAACTGAAATTCTGACGCCAAACGTGTTTTTAAAAAACCTGCTTATGTTGAAAGGCCAATATGGCAATCCAGGGCGTCACGTCATTGAGTTCATAAATGAATTCCGAAAACATCATTAAAAAGCTAATTAGCTAATTTTGCATAAATAAACAGAAGTCGATTATCGGGGAAACATACACAGACTATTGCTAGGGATGGGAACAGTTAATCCGTATTAGTATATATTTACGGTTAATCCGCTAACCAGTAAACAGTTATTAGTTCAACATAATATCACTAATAGGCTCGGTAACAGCCAAAAAAATATAACATGTTAGACTAGAATATTTTCTCCTCATTCAATCATTGTTTCATGAAGCGATTGCATGGTAGTCAGCCAGGTCCAGCTCAAAGCGATGGAGGTTTTGCAGGGGTGAAAGGTCGAGGAAAATTGACTGTATCACGGTGACGAATGAAGTATTGCCATACACACGCAATACGTATGAACGCGTCGCAGAATTACTACGAACATTGCCAAATAAATCAACATATAGTGGAGATGTTTGTCCTTAATGGAAGAACTGTGATAAAAATAGAAACATTGTGCAAAAGCAAATCATTAGCAGGTTATGATATACTGATATAATCAACATTCCCCTGTTTACTATGAGTTTATATAGTTTGGCTGCATTCGATTATTATTACAACAGAATTAGTTTCGCTAGAGATCCATGCAGACAATCACTCTTTAATTATACTGAATATAATATAGGTCAGCAGCTAAGTTTAATTTTTGAACTACCTGCAAACAAATGAAACAATAATGTTTCACATGCATTTTTCCCCATAAAAACTACTGTACTATGGTGCTTTAATTAATTTTTTGAGACAATACAACATCATTGGAGGCTTGAGTTTGTATCTCATTTATTTCGAAATTGTGTTTTCACACAAAATGTGTTGAAATTATTGGGTAATAACTATAAAACTTGCATTTTATTAGACTTAAATCACCACTGTTATTCGCATTTATCAATTTTGGAACGTTATGCTATTGCAGTATTATATTGTAGCCTACTGCAGTACTGCATGATATAAAATACGGACCGGTTGGAGCGCAATGCTGTAATTTTTCAAAACATTGTTCCAAATACCCCAAATATCAATAATGTCATAGTGAAGATAAGAAACTCTCTTTTAGCAAGGAAAAACATAGAAAATTTTAGAAAACAATGTTCTTGCACAGAGAACTTGACATGATATGCAATAACTAATGACTTCATAACTTGTTTTTTTTGTTGTTTCCAATTAAAAATAACTAATTAAAACTAAGCTGTTAAATCAAATCGATGAACAACGGAGCACCATGGATTTAATGAAAATGCATATGATTGATGATGCTGTTGTTAATGTATATACTTATTTTCCTATTTGTACATACATGTGTCACTTATTTATTATCTTATTTATTATTTAATTATTGAAAATTCCACTTTGTTGAAACCATGAAAAAAAAAATCCGGTTGGCTTTTTTTAGTCTCTTTTAGTGTATATTATTGAAATCATATGAAATACAATATTTAGTGTGTAACAATAGCCTATAGCTTAGATACTTAACATTTGGATTTTCCCGAGCACCCTTGTTTATTATATATTGCAGTTTCTGCAGCCGCTCAGACAGATGTTCAAGCAGGGTAAACATTGCCTCGTTTTTAGTTTTGCGTATTATTTGTCAGTTTTTAGTTCTGTTACCAATAAATAGTTGTATACCTTAATTGTCATTATGCCTTCCCAGGAGCTTTAGTTTAGATGCAGCAATCAAAATTTTATCTCGCAAACGATGTGATTAACTGCGCTAAAATTACGGTAGCTATCAGTAGTCCACCTATAAGCGGCACGTGTTTAGATAATTTTTTTTAATAAAAATGATGGTTTCAAAATGTGTAGGGAGAATGTTTTAAGGTATATCGCATACTGAAGCGGCACCCTGTGTATATGTTGAATAATGCTGTCCGACTGATATTTCTTTTTATTTATTTCTTTTTTGATTTTTTTTTCCAACTTTGTCATATAGATGTCAGCTTATTATTGTATTATGTCGTATTGTATTATGTCGTTCTGTATGTATAGTGTGTATTTCTTATATGGTGATAAAATAGATTACTGATATGTCGAATGTAAATTATAGTGCTGTCATACAATTAATTCTTTTTACTTTTAAACTCTTCATCCCTCTGAAGTGGAAATCGCCATGATAGCAGCCGAAAATATAGCATATTGCAAACCCATTATTGTGCCAAGAGCATCAAATGAGGGGGCTTTTCTACTTAGTAAAATTGTTGGCTTTTTTTCGTCTTGATTTGGATTTTCTTGATCACTGGCTTTTGATCATATAGCCTATTGTACTATTGCCAGATTACCGCATTGCTTGTTTTATAGTCGACAAACAGACAAAACAATAAATCTCCCCTTGTTCTGTTACCAATAAACTATTCCTGTATCTGTATACTGGCATATACTGTTAACCAGCCCATCATCATTTTATTAAGCCTTATTGCATTTTTCTACTACTGGATAAATATTAAAATCCTATTACATATTGCCGGATTTTTCAGACTACATACTTAAGAGGCAAATTTAAGTTTATTTGTCAATACTGAAGATGCCGCCATCTGATGAAAATGCTAGTGGAAAAGTATTGAAGATTGGGACAAGGAAAAGTCCAGTGAGTTGGAAACCCCAAGCACATTCATAGAATTGAATTCAAAATTATTTGGTTTCAATCTTATAAATATTTCATGTTCATTATGATTGTTTGATTGTCTAAAATCATGTTTTTTTGGTAAGAACTTCAGCAGGTCGTCCAAAGTGCGCAAACGATAACCCAAAATCGAGCAAGCTGTTTCTCTCGTTTTTCCGTCATAACGATCCCGTTATGAGAGAGATCGCTTGACCCTGGATTTCCCTACCTCATAGCTGATTTTATACTAGTATGCACTTAAACCGTTTCAAGTGTGGATGATTGAACATGCAGACATGACCAAATTATTTTGATATATTGTGAAAAATACTGGGACTTATTGTAAAGCATGACTAATTTAAATTTCGACTTTGTCAAATTGATGAGCATCTTGATGAAACATTATACAATTTTAAATATTGCAAACCTATATATTTTTTTAACGTGTACTTATTTTATAGTTAGCAATGTTGCAAACTGAATGGATAGTAGGAGAACTGAAAAAGTTGGACAAAAGTCTGGATATTGAAATCGGTAAAAATCATTTTAGTTTTCTTTTATGGACTTTTTATAGATAATTTTGTGAATTACTGTCTTTTACTGGTCAAGGAATCCTGAATTAAAACAATATTGTTTCACATTTTTAATTTACAGTTCCGATGGCAACTATTGGTGATAAAATTCTCGACAAGCCTCTACCCAAGGTCAGAACTACTATCTTTTGTTGGATAATTTAGGATACTTTGTGAAAATCATTCCAAAAATCTTTTGGCGCCTAATTATTTCCTATTGAATAGTACTCAGTTTTGTGGGAATAATGTATAGGCTATTTGTAAGAAAAATCTTCACTAATGTTTTATTCAATGTTTTTTCTATTTTAAATTCTTACTTCAAGTCAATGTGACCATTTTTCCACGTCTTAAATTGTCTATATTTGTATCGCGATAACCTTATTTTTTGAAGTTGCATGAATTATCATGAGTTAATTCTTCTTCTACAGTATTTAATACTTTGAAATTTCTTTCGTATGATCAGACAGGAGAAAAAAGTTTGTTCACAAAAGAACTTGAAGTTGCTCTTGCTGATGACCAAGTACACCTCGTTGTAAACTCAATGAAAGATATGCCTTCAACTCTTCCTCCTAATCTGACTATATCTGCAGTTTCAAAGTATGATTCAAAATATATATTCGCATTGGTGATCATTTTCTTGGTATATTTCTGAAAACCAGAAGCTGTTTTGTGAGATCTATGTTGTACTCAAAACTTATTTTATTTCATTTCTTTCTGCCTCTGTTTCAAATCAGCATGGAGTACAAATTATGCTTTTATGTCCATATACCTTGCCTCATTGTGTTACATTTCCTCCAAATTTCCATCACTGATCTAGGTGCTGAACATTAGGGCAACATGATTTACAGGGTTTTCGAATGAATGGATCACAGCCAAAAGTGAATAATCTGATATTGAAACACATACTTAAATAATATTTTTGAATATGAAGTATCGAAAATATTTACAAAATTAGGTTACGGTATATTCAACAATGATTTGCTTAGTTTTCTATCTCAAAAATTAATCGTTGACCTTTTTGATTATATTGTTAGACTATAACTGCTTATATATAAAAGTATATTCTTTTAATTGACATTATCTCTCAAATCTTTCCCAAGTCTTTTTGGCTCAGTACATCCACATGTCCCTTCATGGATTGTGTATGAGATATATGTCGTCAAACGAATCATATTTTCTGAAATCATAGTATAATCTTATAGATGAACTTTTAAAATAAAAACAGAAAAAATAATTTGAATACAATAAGTTCTGGTTGAAATTATTTTGTATCATTTTTGAAATACATTATTTCTCTAATAATGAAATATTTTTTCAGGAGGGTAGATCCACATGATGCAGTCGTAATGCACCCAAAACACAAAGGAAAGAGGCTTGATGATCTTGATGATGGAAGGTATAAGCTAAGGTTTTAAACTATGCATGTCGTTATGTACCGGTAATTCAGAAATCCATTATTGAGTTGATAAAAGGTTACCCTTATCTTCGAACTGACAAAAATTTAGACTCAGACTCACGATTGATGCTGAGAAAACCAAATTTTTATAGTTCATGCGTATAGCATGCTTCTTCAATTGTTTGTTGAAAATGCTAGGTCAACTTTGTCATTGTACATTCTAAGTTGGTCTAGGTAGGCTAGAGACCTAGGTACTTCAACTTCAATAATATTCATCAAAAGTTTTAAATTTCAACTCCCGACTCAAAAGAGTTTGTATTTTTGACTCCAATACCAATTTCAAATATTGACCAATACTGATGTTATTAAGACAAGTTTTGATCCTTCTTTTAGTGTCATTGGAACCAGTTCATTGAGACGTATTGCTCAGTTGAAAAGGAAATATCCCAACTTAAAGTTTAAAAGTGTTCGAGGAAATTTAAACACAAGATTGCGAAAACTTGATGAAGCGAATGACTATGACGCTCTTATTCTTGCTGCTGCCGGTTTGATCAGAATGGGATGGGAGAACAGAATTTCCTACACATTAGATGTATGTACTTAGATGAATTTTTATTAATGTTGTGAAATCGACCAAAGAAATAATGGTATCAAATAAAATGGTATTGGTGGATTCACTGTTTCTTAGTATTAAGACAATGCAATATAAGGACGGACGTACATTTGCAATTAGTCTAGTATTCAGCCTTATAATTAGATATAAGTAACCTGTAATTATGATCAATTATGAGTATTAAAAACAGTATTAAAGTATTCAAAACAAGTTATCAAATGGATTCTTGAATTTTTTATGAAGAAGCATCTCATATTATTTTTTAATCTGTCTATACTGACTGTTATATTTGTACCTGGAATGGACAATAATTCAATATTGAGATGTTATGTTTAATATATGGTGTTTTTTTATCAGCAGTTTCTAGCACGTATGTATATGCTCACTATTTCACAAATTACACTTACAGTTTTCCACATGTTAATAAATTGTAGTTTTCTTTGCCATCGTCCAAAACCCTCAGTAGAGTTACATATTATTATAACAGCATTACCAGTGATTGATGACTTTACCCTGTGATACCTTTCACCAAATTACTGGGTGAAACCACGAGTGGCACCTTTATTAAAATTGGCACTTCTCCGCGGGCTGCACAATTTCTTGTGGGCCGCATTTGGCCATGCGGGCCGCTGGGTGCACATCCCTGACTTTGTTCCTCAATGTTGTGTATTCATTATCACATAAATTATCTAAAAACTGTACTCTGATCACTTTTAGACTGATGACTGCCTGTATGCTGTTGGTCAAGGTGCCCTAGCTGTTGAAACAAGATCAGATGACTTTCGAACAATTGATATTGTATCAAAATTACACGATACTGATACAGTCATCAGATGTATTGCGGAAAGAGCATTTTTAAGAACTCTGGTATGTGTTGTATACAAATTTAGAATTTTTTCCCAGTTTATAATCTAACTTGTTGAGTTCTGGTAGTATGCATTTCACAATGTCATCTGCAGCAAATGACAGCAGTGGTTAGTATCCTCGGACTTTAACTGTAGTGTGCTAGTTGAGTTGTTTTTGATAAGCCAAATATCTGCATCTTTTCTGGATAAATTTCATGACATAATGATGTTTTGTAGCAAGATTACTGAAGGAAAACTGAAGAGGTTTCTCAAAACAATTTTTCCATTCACTGTGAATGTCCACTCAGGGGTTGTACAACCAACAGTTCATCCTCATAGTTACTTATCTCTGCAGATTCATACCACCTAATTGTATTTTATCCCATAATCTAAACGTCATTCAGCAAATAAATTTCTCCCCAATATATGTTATGGTAATGTGTTTCCAGAAAAGAACTGTAGCCCTATTTTCTACTCGTTTGTTTCTAGCTCAGCTGACTAGATTCATGAACACTAAGCCTGATCTTTTGAGACTGTAACCATGTTTATCTTTGAATATACAAACCACTTACATTTCTCTTCAAATTCCACAACACAAGTTACCTGCTCGCAGAAAAAGCACATTTTGTGATGATTTTGATTTCTTTTAAGTGATTTATTTACTTTGTTACAGGAAGGTGGTTGTTCTGTACCAACTGCTGTCGAAACTTATATTAAAGATAAAGAGGTATGGAATTTTCATTCAATACAATTTTATACTACTTATTGTGTACTAGGTACTTATCAATCTTTAGATCGGTAAGTATGTTGATAGGTATTTGTCTGTCTGTCTGTTAGATGCACGCGATATCTCACGAAGGTGTGGTTGTATCTGCTCCAAATTTTGCATGTGCATTCATCATATCTCGGACCAGAAGCCTATTGATTTTGGATGAATTATGTCGTATAATTAGCTAGTTATTAATTAATTAGTGATGGGACACGCGGTGTCACTATAGAGTCATGAATCGAAACCGCAGTCCCGATCGATAAGTCTCCGACCGATATTCTTGTTTTTATTTTTGTTAAAATTCTTAGCAATCGCATTCTCCATTGATTGACATATAATCATATTTCAGTTATATATGAAAGCTGGTGTTTATAGTTTGGATGGATCAGAAGCATTAATTGAGAAAATGCAAACAACACTGGTTCCGGATGAAGACTGGGATAAAATGGTAGATTTAAATTTTTTCAATGTCTCAAATTAATACTTTTAGGAATAATTTAGAATTTAATAAATTATTGTTTGAGCGAGTGATTCAAAAATTTCATTTTAAAAAATATTTTTTATAATGTTTTGGACATAATTCATTATCCGGTTTTGGCCATCCTGCCAAAAATATCCTTCATAACAACAATTATAAATTTGATTCTTTTCATTTTATTACTAGATCAGAGCACAGGACAAATCTGAAAATTGTGAATTTGCAAGTATTACGATCAGTTATCATTTCATCAGTCCATTTCTGTTGAAGACAGCTGGTCATCTTGGAAGAGATATAGCTCAATTGCTACTGAACAGAGGAGCCAGGAGAATATTGGATGAAGCTAGACGTCAAAATGAAATGAGCAATGATTTGTGATACGGCATTTGGGTTGACAAAGTTTATCACAGCGAGTAGCAAAATTTGGTCTTATGCCAACCTGGGATGTCACTTAATACCTTGCAGTTTCCATTGAAAAAATAAGTATTGGTTATTCTAGAACTTTTGTATGTTCCTTCAACACTGCGACCTCTTTTATGTGTTCAAAGCATATTTTGACAACGGTCCCATTGTTCTAAGGCCTAAGCAATATTATTCATTCGCTTTATTTATAAATATAGCAGCAATGTATAGTAATACATGGTCCATGTATCTGGAACTAATAACTGGTTAACTATTCCCATACCAGGCAAACAGATGAGAAGCTGTGTTTTGCCATATGTTTAGGCTGTCGCATCGCCTGTCCTCAGATATTCAGTTTATCAAAATCATACCCTGCCTTCAGCCTACAAATAATTTCAGCTGATTCAGCTCCTACTTCATTATATAGATTAGCACCATACTTAGTGGTATTGCACCCAAATTTGGTGGTACTTTGTTTTAAGTGCCAAACCAATGTTCTAGCGCAAAAAGTAGTGGTTGAAACTTAAATGTTAATATATATTTAATTGTCTTTGTTTATTTACTCTGTTCGATCAACACAATTAAAAATGTTTTGCAGTTTCGTATTTTTTGAAACTTATTACAAAATTTGTTTTGTCTATAAATGCCTTTATCTCGGTTAATTGCTAGCTGTTTGTGCTAACTCCTTTTGTGATGATTACGCTATTAATAAATATGACACATGATGTATGTCTTCAAAGTACCAGATTGCAGCTTAGTCGTCCGTAGGCTCGCCCATCAAAAGTTTTATAATTGACTGACTGACTATGCTGTATGTATGTTATCTTACTGGCAAGGTTGATTTAATGCAGGGGTGGGCAAGGTTTTTGAGCCGGGGGGGGCCAAAAATTTGGCCCACTTAAACTAGCGGGCCATGTAAGTGTGACGTAACAAGTAATTTTATAAACAATATTTACAGTGTTGCAAAAGTGGAAAACAATAAGCCTTGTGCCAAAACTAAATTTAACCGCAATCTCGACAAAATCCTTTAGCTATTTTAGCTGAAACATTAAAATTCGATTTGAGTTTGGTCGTGGCAGCATCAAGCGGGCCGGATTTGGCCCTATTGTCTGATTCAATGACAGGAACGATGAGGCGGGATGTTTTCTATAACTGCTGATAGCTTATGCGCTGCAAATCGTTGTAATATCATACTCTCGTTGATTATTCTACTGCAATTGCATTAGTTTGTTTATGCGCTGTTTCAAAAATCTGTAGGGCCACCTTGTTAACTTTATGTCTACCTCCAATCCCCCACCTTTTATATTTTCTCAACGTCATCGAAGACCGAAACGCCATGGCTAGGCCGAACAAAATAATTCACACTTGTGTATGCTTCGTTCAAGAAGCACGTTGGTGGCAGCAGTACAGATGAGAACGTATATATTCATGTATAAAAATAATAATACATTATTGCAAATTACCCAGAGTCTAGCGTCATCAGTCAGATATCAAGTGTAAATAAATAAACCATGTATATATATTTACTATATATATGAACTACAATCCACCAAAAAGTCACATTTCGAGCGGGTTCTGAAAATAGAGTCAGGTGGTTTTGTAAATGCGCAGTGCAAACCTTAAAAGTGCGGGATATAAATGTGTTTTGGCTACTTGAAAAACAAACAGCCTTTGTCGTGCAATATGCACAAAATTCAACTTTCGTGATTCAAACCTTTTTGGTTCGCCGTGGACCAGTTTCATCAAAGGAGATGAATCATAACATTATCTGTCGAGTTTTTTATACGATTATTAACGCATTTCGCTCTGAACCAGGCCCTGTACAAGTAACAACTGATATCCTACGATACGCTGGGTGCTATTCATTCTGGAAGAACCGGAATCTATCCGGTCCGGAATTACCCACCCAATTCATTACTGGGCGAAGTTGTGGGTCTACAATGCAGTTTGAGTCTAACCCTTCAACCGCTAGGCCAGAGGTGGGCAACTTCTCTAGTCGGCGGGCCAAGTTTGTGAAAATGAAGTCCTCGGCGGGCCGGATTATTACAAAAAATACTTCGGTATCCAATCTTTGTTAAATGCTCGACACTCTCTGTCAACTTTACGTTTTTTGGGATATTCCATGATTAATAAAACTTAATATAAAATTTAATTTCTAAAATATATTTATATTTGAAATCTAAATATAACTGATAACAGTGGTGGGGAATCTTTACAACTCTCTCTGCTTTGACCTTATATTGTTTGTTTAACAAGTGTGCTAACGCAATTGTTTGTTCACTAAGGCAATTGGGTGCTCCTGAAGTATGCGCACCAAGATGTCAAATAACGTGAGCCCTAATCTGGTACATAACCTGAGTTTAGGTTGTGCGCCATCTTGGTGCGCATACTTCAGGAGGTACGGCAATTGTTTATTTCACCAGCTCGCACTGACAGTACGGTGAGAATAGAGCGATGGGCAACTTTCAAGAATGATGCGTCAGACCACATTACAGAGTGGGGTTGGAGACAGTGAGTGGGCCGTATGTTGCCCACCCCTGCGCTTGGCCATCGGGCCCACTTCTTTAGGGTACGCGATTTACCCAATTTAGCGCCACAGTAGAGGTATGTCATAAAAGGCAAACAAAATTGGTATCAAGTTCATGCATACCCGGCATAGACTGGTAACTGGACGAGAGGCCGTGATTCGCCATATGATTAGGCCGTTCTAACGGCTTTCATCTCCTCCGGAATAAATATGCGAATCTTAACCTTGTATGCTATTATGAAATGTCGGACATCTCATATATAGATATATATGATGACGTGTATAAGAAAGATACCATATCAATGTGACATGAGATGGTACGTAAATACAACCACAGCAGCAAGATCACGTGTCAATAAGTGTATGCCATCGGCAAACTTGTTGTCCTTTTCCTTCTTTCATTTCTTGCCAATGTTGTTCATCGGGTTCGCTACTACTGTTTCGTCCCATCGAAACCCAGCCGATCATTTCTTTTTTCTTAATAGTTCGTTTGTTATAGACGCTCACCATTAACGTTACTTCGCCTAGTTGGAATAATGCGACCTGAAAAGAATTTGTCGGTTTAAGTAGCTTGACAATGGAGTTTGCGGTTACGGTCATGGTTTTCTATACACTATTCGGTTTCTATGCAAACAGGGCTTTTGTTAATACGCCCTTAACGTCCTCTAACGAAGGTTACAAATTAGGACACGATATTTTTGTCTGTCTTTTCGAAGAGAACAAAATCTATGAAAAAGCCTGGTGATGAAACTTGCCTTTAAATCGGGAATTTAAATCAGGGGTGTGCAAACTGTGCCTCGCCGGCTAAATGCGACCCGCAAGGAAAAATTGTGCGGCATGCGAAGAAGTGCCAATTTTGAAGGGTGTGCCCGCGAAACGAGTTTCCAGTTTAAGGAATCTGGTACGTGCAAGCAATTCCAATCCCAATAGCAGTTTTCATTAGAAATTTATGCGTTTTAACTCACCATTTCTGTAAGGACTTCTAATATACCGTAAGATCAATAACAAATCGAAAAAAAATTTGCCTGCAACTACTAGAAACGCAATCTTAAATAAAAGTGCGGCCCGAGGCTTCACCCAGTTACTTGTATCTGGCCCTTTTGTGATAAAGGTTGCACACCACTGATATAAATCATTCTTGATCACATGACCAATGGAACATGAATAAATTGGTATATTTTATGATTTTTTTATAAAGTATTTGAAATTTGGAGAACAATTCTTGACTCATTTCAGTATTTATAATAAAAGCATACACGCATGCATAATTAATAACGATACCCTTTTTCTAATCTTTACTCCCGGGCTAACAATATTCTAACACTGGCGTTAGGAACGGAACATTAAATTATTCATATTTGTTCAAGCCTATGCATATATATACACATATATAATCAACGAGTCAGAATTACAGACGCAGAACTAATTTATGATGGAGCTTTATTTTTCGAAAATCGACACTAATCCTACTTAAGCGGATGCTACTTTACGTTCATGCTTCAGTATCTGTGTATATATGTTTCGACCAGTCGCAAAGAAGATTATGCGCCGAAGGTCACAACCCGCTCCGATGAAAAGACTTAATATTGGCCTCGGATCTTACAAGGTCGAGAAACACTGCATTATAAGATAAAATACTAGATCAAAAATCTCTTTTATAAGAGCACTGTACCTGGAAAAAGAAGGTTTCTTTGAAAACAGGATTCGGTTGTCCTCGTCTTATCGTTGTTTTACTTTGCGACATTTCTTGGCAAGCAGAATTTAATAAAGATAATTTCACGAAAGTATCTAAATGAAATCAATAATAAATCACTTAACTTTCAATTTCGTAATTAATATTACTTATTATTTTTAATAGCAAACTCAAATAGCTAGAAATATCTTACCTGGGGGCTTCGTCATTGCTAAATTTCGGAAGTGAGATCCTTTTATAACTTCGACGCATAATCGACCAGTTGGTGGATTGTACGACAATCCTACGAGTAGTTCTGGTGGACTTCCACCGTGAGATAAACTCATCATTGATGAAGACCGACTATCGATATTCGAAAGTGAAGTATCAGAATCGACACGCTGAAAATATTAAAAAAAAAATTATAACAATTGTGCTTTTTAGGATGTCGAGTTGGAGAATATTCACAATCGACCCCAGACTCCGGGTTTAGAAAAATTCGACTCCGACTACGTCCTTGAACTCCGGGAAAATCGAATTTTGATAACAAAAATTGTGGCGTATCTAAGGCTTCTTTATTATACTGTTAAAAGCGGTTATTAAAATTAATGATTTTCGAGTTTCCGTGAGAAGTTAAGACTTATTCCATCACCATTGAGATTTTTAAATTCCGACTCCGGATAATTCAGAATATCGACTCTGACGAATTTGAAAATACGACCCCTAAATCGGACACCAGTGAAAATATGCTAAAGCCTAACTCTGACTCGACAGCCCGATACATCAAGGATTTCATCCTTGTCCAGGCGGGAAAACGGGCACAGCGATATATATAAAATTACAGTTTGGATTGAAAACATTTGTTCAAAAAAATTATTAAAATCCAAATCACGCGCAGTGACACGGGAGTAACGGAGACTCATCTCCGAGCAAAATTATTAGCGACCACTGAAAAGCTAATTTCCATACTTAAGTTATATAGATTAGTGGTGTCGCGTTTTATTAAATAGCGATTGATGTCAAACTTGAAGCAGTATGATATGATCAAGAACAGCTATAAGGTAGTGAATTTATAACTGAGGTTCTTGTAATAAAATATTGGTGATTTAGATGTGAATTAAAATTACATCGCTTATTATAAATGCAGTGGTGTATCTATAGAATGGCGCCCATGACCAAGTTCAAGAATGCTCCCCACTTAATAGTTGGTTGACAATTTATATTGACTGTTGTTGAAATGAGAAACTTGTAGGTCATTAGTAGAGTAAAAATACGAATTTGAAATTATTTCAATGAAACAATGTATGATTGAAACTTATCGCCGTTTTTGCGCCCCTGTCCAAATAGAGCCCATGGCACGAGGCATTGTTGCCACACCCTAGATACGCCACTGAATAAATTGCACAACAACAACATACAGTGAAAAATAAGGTCGGATTACCTTTATAGTTACTAGCAATACATTTACACTAGATTCGCTCCGTAAAAATTTCTCAAATTTTTTCGATCATATAATAATATAGGAAAGATTTGTTCAAATCAAATTCAAATTGCAAAAAACTCACATTTATATTTGTTCTTGGTTCAAGTTGAAGTTGGACTGTTAGTTGAGGATCTCGAATCAGATTTAATTCATCAAATCTAATGACCGCTTCTCCAATCAGACGATCTTTAAGCTGAAATAATTGAAATGTATCAAAATACATCATTTTCTCATAATATGAGTACAGTATGTCAAAATGCCTCAACAAATACCATTTGAACGAAACAATATTAATATACCACTACAATATTGGATTTATTACATTACGAGTATCGTATCGACCTATATTTCAGACCGTTGTCTACACATTTGATTAAAATTGCAACTCTAGGCATCAGTGAATAAAATATGCTTATAAGATGTTTAGTTATGCTTTCAACTGATATTAATGCTATTATCTCTAGATCATTTTGAAAAATGGAAAAATGGCGGCATTACTTAGCGCTTTTGCTTTTCTTTTTTAGTTGAAATTATTGTCATCTCGAATAGGTTATAACGGCATCTCAGAATGGGCTTTTTGCGAGATAAAATTAGAATAAACAGGAATATTGTGTTGTTAAATCAACTTTGGGTATACTGAACAATTAACAGGTAAACTATTCCCATACGCACCCCAGAATGGTAACAAGACAAGATGCCGTGATTCGTGACATGAATATGCATTTTATCGATCCTCCTCATAGATGAATTTGACGAACAAAATTACTACTAAGTAATGAGAAAAAATTTTTCCATACCTTCCCTATGCCATACATTCTCAATCGTAATGCAAGTCCCCTTAAATCTTCAGGTGAAGCTCTTGTTAGTTTAAATGTCTCTGCAAATCTTGGTGAACTGATGTGTTGAACTTTCGTTTTATATTTCTTTTTCTTTGTTGGTAGTAACACCGTTCGAACCTTTTATTATAAATTAACAAGTTTAGGTTACAAACTTAATCTATAAAATGCCGGCTTTTAAAAACACTATTAGAGTATAGATTTATTCAAGTAAATGAGAGGCGCTGATGAAGAATACATTGTTTATGTTCTGAGTCTGATATCGTTCATACGAAACGTAAGCGAAAAAATTTGTGTTGGTGTGCAGCAAGACTCTTCAATTAAATAGACCAACTATATTTTTTTTTGATTGACGATATTTGCTATAGATATTTGGGAGTAACGTGCTGGGACGTAGATATCAGATATCATACTATAACACGAATACATATATAGACCTGTTTTGAATTATATCCTTATGCGCTATCCAAACAGAAAATGAAAGCTTTCAGACAAAACTTCAATGAGTTGTTTGAATTATTGATGAAGGACGTATTTTTAAAACCCATTAAAATTACGATATCTGCGAACCAACACGACTTAGTTCACTTTCTTTAATTTAAATCTAATGAGACCAAGGCTTTGAATTTATTCCCACACAATATCAATGGGGAGAAATGATAATACCGGCCCATCTGTCCCATATACCATCAGTATATTAAATTTAAATATAATGATAACTAAAGTATACGTTTTTAAGTCTTACCTGTACAAAACTCGACCCTCCTCTCGCTTTTGAAGGTAAATCATGAGCTTCGATAATAGTGACCTGCAATTTACTATCCGATACAGAATATTGGACTCCAACATCTAACGTTCCACATGCAGAAATTGGTTCAGCTGCATGTGCTTCCATTTCTTCGTCTTCGTCATCAAGTTCACCAATAGGACGAACCGCGTCCCTTGATGCCTCCCGCGCCATCGCCAGCTCATCTTCACCCCTTGATTCCTTGTGAAATTTATAGTTAATTTTAAGATCTGTATAATTCAAATTTATAAGATTCCCGTCGGAGATAACAGATGGATTTACAATAGTTTCAACAAGACCAGAGGTTCAGTTAGGCCAATCCAATTGTAGCAAATCAAGCGTTGTAACTGAATCGCGCCATCTACTATATCTGTTCAAGCGTTGAAATGAATTTCATGGCTAGCTAGTCTACAATGGTCAAGCAAGTACCCACTCCTTTTGACATTTTTCGCTCAGGCATAAAGCGCTTGAAATTCGGATTGCGATGAAAAAAGTGTTGAAAGTATCCAGGAAAGTAAATGGTAATAAAGCATTGTAAGTGAGAAACACGGATTCCAAATTCAGTTATACTAGTATTGTTAAAGCCTTATCACCAATTGACCAGTGAAATGGTAATAGTAGCAAATAAGCTGACATCCTTTGTACAAAGGCCCAGCCAAAACCACAATCCCGCCAACACTCAAAATGAAAAAAATTAGTAATTATCCAGTTAGTGTTTGGGCTAGGGATGCAAATTGCACTGGAAATTTAAATTTTCAAATCATTACCAACCTAAACTGGATAATTACTAATTTGTTATTTAAATCGTTTTTCTTAAATATCACATTTTTGCATTAATGGCGCGGGCTTCGTATAAAAGATCCATTATCTTTTTTCCTTGTTCAGAGCGAACGGCACTCAAAACCCAAATATAATGTCAAGTGTTGTGTAAATATATCAGGTTTCTTACCCGAAGTGCGGAAGCTATGTGTTCTTCCCTGTACAAACTTTCTTCGTCTCCAAGACCCCATTTCGAACTAGTGTAGGAAGTTGCTAGTGACTTGTTACTTCTAGATGATAAACTTGGACTCGTTCGAGGACTTTTTCGTATCGCTTGCTATAAAATATTTATTTGTGTTATAATTATTTAGTACGTAATCAGAAATTTGAAATTGGCGATTTTAAACAATTTTTGCTTATTTTACAAATGGAGTGCATCGAAGGGCCTCGATAATTCCATTCCCATGCTTCGCAAATGAGATTTCAAATTCTTCAAACACAGATGTAAACGACATTAAGGCACGATTAACTCCGGAATAAGTAACAACAAGTCTATATATAAAAATAACATAATCTCTTTCCGCGAAATAGCAAGTATATTAGTGAGCTTTCATAAGATCGATAATTCCCAACCATTTATCAAGCGACCCAAATTTCGTAAAAAATAAATTGCGTAAAATCTCGCGACCTGGGGATATGCTCAATATAAAACGGCGTCTTGTGCTTCCATAGCCGCATAGTTCATAGTCTAACTCAAGACAAACCAGAATTTTGTTATTTGTTGGAAAGAGATTATGTTATTCTTAATCATCACTTCAAATAGTATATCGTTCAAGCATCATTGTGGTAACGGAAACACACGTATCCGGAATAGGAAGTAGATGAGCACAAAGGTCCTGTAGTTATTATGGCCTAACCCTGATCTGGTACACATACTACGTTCCGGTGTCCTACAACTTGGTTCACATACTTGGGAGGTACCAAAAGTTTTACACTTTTATAAAGTTTATTCTGTAATGTTTTGTTTCGACCAAAGTCTGACTTCCTCAGACAAGCAGTTTACATCAATGACCTTTGAACCACTAATTACAGCCGTTTCGATTTTTTCTACAGTGTCTGTGCGATCAGTGCATACGGATTCAATAATACAAAAACAGAGAGAAAGGTGAAGCCGTTAGATACACCTACTTCAATCAACCACAAAGTCAATATTAAAGCGATATATTGCCTTCGAATTACAACTGTCAATGAAATATTGACTAATATGCCGTCTGCATTGCCTCCTAATTTACATATATATTATTCTGAACAGCCAACAACAACATCGCATAAAATAACCAAACTTTACCTTTCTTGAAAATTCTCTCAAACTACCCATAGTTGCTCTTCCTTGATATTGCGATGTCGAAGCTTCGTTCTCGGGAAAATCAAATGTATCGACTTCTGAGTAAATATTGGAAACAAAAAATCATGAATCAGCACTTTATTTACCTAATTCTTATGCGCAGTAGGGGAGGAATGAAGAGTTTCAAAATGAGCTAAAGGAGGGATGTATCGAAAAAGATTGGAAACCATTGGCTTACAGTAAATTAGAAAGCCTTATGAGTGCCAAACGAGTAATTTCACACAAGTTAAATACAGGTAAAGTACGTGTGACTGGTACGGCTACATACCAAGGTAAATTGAGAGGCCTAATTCTAGGTGAAAATGTGGCAACAAGCTTTTTCTATAAAACTTGAGACTGGTACCGTTAACCTGGAAGAAATATTATTTAACAATTAGTTGGGTATTGGAAGTGATTTGTATGTATGTACTTGTCTTGTCGTCTGTTAGATTGGTTGTAATTGAAGGTCAACACCCACCGTGGATGACTCGAGATGTTGGTCCTGATATAGTTTTTCGTCGTTCTTCAGCTTCTCTTTCTGTAGTATATTCAGGGGAATATTCTTCTTTCCTTTCATAGTTTAGATCGTCTTCTCGCGGAGGTGTTGTGAGAACAATAACTGGAGATCCCAATCTTGGTGAAGCAGGTGAACGGTGCGTCTCATCTTCAACTTCTAAATCTCTCATTTTTTCAGAGCCAACGGTCGACTTTGAATCTACTAAAACGAGCACTCAGTATTAGGAACTCGGTTTTTTGATAGATGTAGTGATCGAAAATGATCTTGAAAATAAATCTATTTTTTCGCAACGAATGATTTAAGGCAGGGGTCAGCAAACTTTTGTCGCTCGCGGACCAAAATTAAGGGTTGCAAGTCATTGGCGAGCCTCACATACTTTTTAGAAAGTTGAAAACCGAACGTATGATACTTTTTATAATTAAAATCAAACAGTGATACATCTCTCTAATAGAATATAAATTTATTTCCTCATTGCATTGTATCTCATAAAACTCCATTTGAATATTTTCGACGCCATTGAAACCTTTACACTCAGCATCAAATTTTCTGCATTTGGTTGCCATTTGTCTAATTATAATTAAACGATAGGCTCAATAAACGAGTAATTGTGAATTTTATACTTGTTAGATTATATTATAATTTAGTCTACACGTGTCTAACAATAAATTTTGTTAAGTAAAGAATATAACCGTCAAAGCAGCTGTTTTGTTACTATTATTCAGTGAAGCGCCGCGGGCCGGATTATATTACCGTAGTTTGCCGACCCCTAATTTAAAGAATAGTGAGATTGTCTCAAAAATGTCGTGTCCCACACCTGTCCCTTTTTTAGCACTTTTGTGCCATATTTGTCCTACAGTTGTACCAATTGTCCCGCTAGTACCACTGATCTGAGTTATGATGGATATAAGATATCGTATATTGTGGAGTAAATAGTTAAAGTAAACATATGAAGTGGGTGGGATTCATGCTATGTTCCAGGTTAGGATAGATATAAGACTTTGGCAGAAAGATGGAGTAATCTTATGTATCGAGATTGTTAGAAGATGTACAGGACATTTTCAATACACCGGAAAAGTGATCAGCGCCAGATATTAAGTTAATAGAACTCGTTATGTGCATACTCCGAATAACATGAGAAAAATGGTTGATATGAGAATATATGAAGCTCTGAAAATAACAGTTAATGGTAAGACAACATAAACGACATATTCCATCACGCAAAACTACATTCATATGATTCTCATTCGTAATTATAATTTAGTACAGTATTGAAACATATCTATTATTGAATTTTCTTGAATGTTTAATGTGCTAAAGTAGTGATTATCGTCCCCATATTTTACAGTTCATTTCATACTATCAACCAAGATGGCTCAAAAAGAGTTAAGATTCGCCAAATCAGAAAGTGTTAGTAAATACCAATTAAAATGAAAAATTTAAAACACATCAAATATATCAATCCAAACTCAATTAACGATATCAGGTGAGTAGTCAGTCAGTCGTAGGCAGTAATTTCTGAATTAATGTACTAAATATTTCGTGTGTATCCATCGTGATCTTACCCGATCTTATAGAATTGAGTGTATCTCTGCTTCCACGAATTGACTGTGATTTCCTGATAGACTTTCTTATTGTTTTCATGGTTTCTTCGGCGCTGTCAACGGACGAATCGCTGTCGGAGTCATCGAAAGATCGAGCTGAAAATGAAATTTATTCATTATCATCACTTTTAGTATTTTGTCAAGTTATTCGATCTGGATGAAGTCGTACAAACATGGCATTTAAACCTTTTTTACAATTTTTTGAAACCTCTTTACCTATTTGCATAGCAAATCCGAATGCGTTTTCTTTGACGAATAGTAGCGATTATAAGTCAGTGTTTGGTGATCTGATTAGCAGAATGACCAAAAAAGAATGAACAAAATCGACTAGTATACTTGCGTTATACATAATCTACATATTATTATTTTCCATTGATCTTCGAGCAACAAAGATTGGAACTCCCGTAGTGTGTGTACCGAGTTAGGGTTAGGCCATAATTTTATTCCGATTTTCCTTATTTTAGCTCTATTAGGAGTACGAGGACTGTCTGTGTTAGTCAAGTGAATACACCCCCTGCCCATGGTTTTCAGTCCCTTTACACAACTTGGTGAACAAATTTAGTTACCTCGATATTCGTACACACACTTCTGGAGCGCCAAAAGATTTATTACAAGGTAAAGTACCGTCTACTTGGGTTAAAAATTCGACCAATCCAGCGTTCACATTCTTGTAGTTACTTGACGCGGATTGAAATATTTTTGGAGGGTGCAGCGAAAGCAAGCTAGTGTTAGCACTCTTTCCAAGGTATGGCATTATTATTCGCATAACGTTAATTTAATGGAAATCGTCAACTTTGCATCTTATACGTAGAAGTCGTAGATAATACAAAAATAATTGATATTACTATATTTTCACGAATTATATCCATCTAATGAAAAAGTCGAAGTTTGTTATATTATTGAACTCTCGCTTTCAAGATATATAATTGACGACATTGACGTATCTGTAACCACGCAATATTTGCGAAAGCCCAAGTTAACTCTGACGCAAATGCAAACTAGCACCTTAAAACGAAAACCTCTAGAAAGGTTAATGTATTATGTATGCCGTTGACCTTGTATAATAGTTTTTGACATTTCAAGCGCATTATTTTAAAGGGGTCGTGGCCAAATGAAGAAACATTTAAGTTTGAGGAAGAGTCTACAAATGAACATAAAAATAATTACTTTAAATGTGAGTTTAGTTATTCTTATATTTCAAGTTCACGATCTATCTTGTCCACAGACAAGTTCAAGATATCATCAGGGCAACGTATCATGAAAAATTTATTTTCAACTGACGCATTATTCCAGACGTCTATTATTTGGTAATTCAGGAATACTTACAATAATTTGAATAATTTTGCGGTAAGAAATAAATATTGACACTATCGAAACAAAAAAATGTGCGCCTATTAACGAGCATTTTGTCGGGCCTGTACCTGTAAACTCTGTATATTTAGTCAGTACAGATAATAGAGTCAATGGTACATGGTGTGCTTCTAAATAAGCGAATCTCCACATTTTTATTCAAGGTGCCAGCATTTGCGGGAGGTCCCTTTGCGTGACCAATCATAAATGAGTTGGTAATAGAATATAACACGGGATCCTATTTATTCAAAAGCACTAATGATGCTAAAACAGAATGACTGCCCTAATGTCAGCGAAACGTCAAATTAAAATAATGTACCGAATGTCATATAAAAGTGTGCCCGTTAATTATATATATATATATTACACAAAAACAACAAAATTTTGGGTCCCGCGGCCTGTACGACTTGAAGAAAATTTGGAAGTACTCAAAATTTCAAGGTCCACTCCTCGAATAATAAAACAACATATATGCGATCACAAAATAGTACCTAATCAATTATTCTGTGATCGGGGCTGAGGAAAGATAATATAAAGATCATTGATCTTATTGTGTGATGAACAGAGTGCCGTATACAATACATATGCATGAATACCGTGTCGCCTGGATCTCCGATCAGACTTTCGTGACGATCTCGAATTGTGTTTCCTCCTTATCTTTCGTTCATGTTTACGGTTAGAATTATACGACGGAGTCTCCGATGCATCGGACAGACCTTGTGGTTCAGACCGAACAACCGATCCATTTTTATTTTCCGTAGAATTTTCGTTTGACATTGTTGAATAATCGTTTTGTTTTGATCGACTCATTTTTGCACGATCTAATTTCGCCTTGGCAACAACGTCCATCGGGTAACCTTTGACCCCAAACATGGACAACAGTCCACGACAACAACACAGAGACGACATAGCTTATATTTGTGGGTCGTTAATTTCTATATCTGTCTGTATTTTTATTAATAAGAAACAAGAACTACGAAAAAAGTCAGATGTCAGAAAATCAGATCAATCTCATGTGTCATCTCCATTTTATAATCGTATTCTAACCATTCATTTAAATTACATTCTAATTTAACCGTGATCATATCATAACATAATTTTATCTCTAAATGTCGTGTTTGCCCCAATTTATAATTGTGTGACACTCCGATACTCGTAATAAAATGTTTCTTATTAATTAGTCTGATCATTTCTATCGAAAAGCCTTTCATGGCAAAAATATCAATTGTTTGCTCATTTAATTCAGAAATGCTTTTTGGAATTCAGCTCTATCTCAAATTTCGCTAATATCTTAATTGTGAAAATTATTTTGACGTCTATATAACGAACCATTTTGTTATATCAAAGAGGTAACAGATAAAATCAACCCGGCGGCACATTCTAAAAACCGCATTCGACATACTAAAACATTATCGTTGAAAAATCATTTGAAAATCGATAGAATGCAAAATTTGCAGTGTAAATTGGCATGACTGACGTAGGAATAATACACAGAAAAAATGTTTGATGCAATCAATTTGGTGGGATCGCCAGGTGATCAATGAAGCTTAAAACTGCTGTGGCGAAATCAGATTAGCTTTGCCCACGGGTCATATTTAAGAGCTTGTCTTATCACATAAATCTGATCCATTAGAAAAAATATTAATATGTGTTTTCAAGGCTATATCTTCCCATGGGCTGATTGAAATCAAAAAGTCACCCTAGTTCTTATTTCAATTAAAAAAGAAAAGCTGTGAATTATGTTGAGAATGCCTAAAAGTCTATTTAATGTTTTCAAAACGTAGTATTCCAGAATTCCGTAATACTAAACCATTATTATAAGGGTGGTATCCCAGGTGGTATCCAAATGCCGAAACTGCCTTCACTGACAGCTATAGACTATGATAGACTGCATCACTAAATCAAATCTACCTTGAAGTGGTCTGTCTCTTACAATAAAACTATATACAGTTAGGCATCTTCCTGGTATACTGCTACGATATTAAATTGTATGTAGGCATTGTACACATTATAAATGAATGGCCAATACCATCGTAACTATAACACGCCTCAGTGCATATACCGTAAGTATTTCACGGGCGATGAAGAACAAAAATATCCAAGCTATAAATCTGAGCTATTTACGGTATAATGGAATAAATAAAGTTAAAGCAGCACATCAAGGGCTTCATGGGTATTTCAATACAGATTGGAAAATGTAATATGGTATTTAAAATCTTGAACGCAAATTTGAGAAGGTAAAGATTCATATTCAAATATCATAAATTCTTATGATCAATTCCTTTCAATTATGAATATTCTAAGCTGATCACTTAAGCAGAAAATAATCCAAATTTGGCGCGGGAGAAAATCATAAATAAAATGAAGAAAATTCGGGGTCAGTTGTGTGACTGTTAGGAATAACTTTTTGTTGAATCAAAAATTAAAAAGTACAATGATATCCGGGGTAACATTGAGCCATTAAGCTTTCACTGTAAATAAACCATATTTGCTAATGAATACCACCGATTATTTTCAGTAGCTATAGAATAGCTTATAAGTAGGATATTTTTTTAAATTTCACGGTTTAATCGGTATTTATATCATAACAAATACAGAATCTTATGTAACATTTGATTTCGGTAAACATTTAAAAAAAAAACAGAAAAAACGTTCAATTCGCACTACCTATTACTATAAATGCTGTTACTGGCTACCGTGAGTCATAACCAAACAACAAATTTCGTACATACCGTAGTGGTAAGTATCTATAATCCTCACGTATAACTTCAACTAAGCCACGAGTATAACCACAGCAAAACTTATCTTTATCCCATTTCGAACGACTCTATCACATTCGACGAGCATTACCAGCAGACGGTGTATGAACTATAAATAATCGACGCAATATCACTCACTACTTTATTTTAAGAATATAATTCAGTCTACCCTCAGCTGAAATCTAACTTAATTCTATGCATTGAATGTCTACGTTTACCGACAGAACAAACTACTTTTCAAATAAGTAAGTCTAAGGCTCCGTTTCATTGTGTAACCAACAAACCACGTCGTCACGACATTGAAATGTAAGTGGCAAGAAAAATTCAATATACCTGGTCGAGTTTGTTGCCTAAGTACCTACCGTTCCAAAAGACTTGAATAACTCTATCCGACCGTAAAACGAACAATATCGTTATAAAATACGTTAAGCCAAATGACATCTAATGACAAAGTTACGGAGTAGATAATAAGACTTAACATGCTATCCCGTTACGCACTCTAAATATAGTAATTCTAGTTTCAACAAACTAATACATTTTCTCTTCAGATTGGTGTTTTTACATTAGGTACAATAAGAGATCCAAACTGCAATATTCAATACACAATTCCACGATTATCGCATCTTTCATTATTTTATTGTACTTCAATACCAATAGCTTCCCACAAGTTTGAATCTCACGTCAAATTCACGCAACATTACAGCGCTCATGCGCACGACCGATACCGCGAAGGCGTCTGTCTTACCAATGATTTGAATAGAAAAGCCTTAGCAACTTTTCCTCGGGCATTCTATCTTCACAGATTGACAAAATAAATATTTACACTGGATTCTTCAAGAATTTCACGTCACTGTAATGTTGGTTTTGGCGTATATTGCCAATTGTCAAATTAAATCATACAACTAGTGATTTCGTCACTATTAAACATAATTTTGAATGGCAAGTAATTTCTCCACCTTTTTTTTTATCGAGAAGGCTTTGAATAACGACATGCCCTGGTTATTGTAAGAAATAGCAACCACAACTCTTTCACGAACGGAACTTCACAGAAAATATAGGAATATATGTCACGAAATTTTAAATACATTGTCTCTATAGATACGTTACCCATATTCTCAGAAATTTCCCTAAGAATATATCGATAGTTTCAAAAAACATTTGCAATTGTACAGAAATATATAAATACTGGTATTAAAACAGCAGTATCTACCCGGCTTAGATTTGCGGGGCATCAGGTCAGGTCACGAATTTCAGTCAACCGAATAAGCGAAGAATAATCGCCGTGGTTTCGAGCCGCCGCCCTAGATAGGCATCTATGCTATGAACTGTAAATCTAAAGTACGTTTCAGTCCGCCCACTATGAAATTTATGAAGATATTTTTAATGACCAAATATCGTGAATATAAATAGGATTTATTAATGTCCAGCAGATATAGTTAAGCCAAATCGTTCTTTATTCATCGTTTCGAAAATTGAAAAGGCAATCATAATTTGGATTCTTTTACATAAAATAATTGAATTTTGATCAGTGGTATTACTGGTACATATAAATATACCCAAGATTTATGTTATTTTTTCGTGATTGATAGGAGTATCATTAAAGACATTAAGCGTTAAACAGTATTCTCTTAACAAAAATGATGATTTCCCATAGCGGGATGTCATTTTTTATTAACAGTAAACGGGGATTCAATTTTGGAATTTCGCGTAGAAACGATACAATATCACAATACAATAATATTGCGTTTCCATTCTGTAGTTATCCTAACGTTCGAATAATTTCTGACGACAACTGGAAAATTATTGCATACAGAGTAAATGACATATTGTCAAAAATAATAACAAGTTTTATAGCATTTCGTCGTTTTGTTAAAATGTGAAATTTATATTAAAAGCAAACTGCACTTTATATTAGCTAAATTAATGTATAGAAGATCCCGTTGGGGATTTTCAGAGAACTTTATACTTTGAACTTTTCTGATTTGATTATACCGGCATCCTGTATTGGTTCAACCTATTCCTAATGCAATGGAGCACATTAAAATTGTGCACAGGAAGACATTGTATAGGTTATAATGAAGCTGCACTATAAGTGGGAAACTACGGTAATTACTTATCGATTTTAATCGGTAATGTTGATAGGTATTTGTCTGTCTGTCTGTTAGATGCACGCGATATCTCACGAAAGCGAGATTGAATCTGCTCCAGATTTTGCATGTGCATTCATCATATCTCGGACCAGAAGCCTAGTGATTTTGGGTGAATTATGTCGTATAATTAGCGAGTTATTAATTAATTAGTGATGGACACATCGTGTCACTATGGAGTAAGAGCGCTGTTTTGGGGGATCCCCTAACTTTCGATCGATAAGTCTTCGGTCTCTGACCGATATTCTCGATGGGATATCGGGGATTAAAACGTAGCAAATACCGACAGTGATCAGGATCATTTTGAAAACTCAATATAAATTGTAAATGCGAGTTTTTTTGCTGAGCATATACCGTAAAATTGATTTTTAATAATTCGAAGTGGTGTTAAATAGTAAGCCGGTGCAAATATACGTATACAATAAAGCAAAACTATGGTATTGCAATCATCTTTACCGATTAGCATTGCGATTCGGCCAAATTTCGAAACAACCGAATCATTCTTATATTCATGAAAGTATAGATTTACCGCAGCGAGCTCAATGACTTGCATTGCAAGTTCCAGATCCATATATATTTTGTGTACTTGATTAAAAATAACTATATTCCAACGATCATTACCCACAATGAAAAACACTTCGGGATGAAAGCCTATCCAGCGCAATTGTATAGGCATGGAATATAATAGGCTGTGTCACGACACGACGCCCAAATTGCCTTTGTTGCGAATATAGGGTCATATACTTTTATGTTCAAAAACTCATGTTAAAAATTGTTAAATTGATGAAGTGTACTCATACTTGATATGAGTTCATTGTATTTCCATGGCAGCATCACGTGATATTTTCCATGCGTCCTTACACAGTAGTCCACTTGGATTTGTTGTGAAATAGCAGTGGGGTTTGCGGTAATAGGGTTTTGTTTTTTATCAATTCTAAAAAATATCGTGTTTTAAAACAAGAGAGCTACGCCCAAATATATGGACACGCCTGTTCGCAGTACAGTACGGTTTACCGTACCGTCAGATCACAGTCTACAAATATCTTCACACCAAGCGAAGCAGTACAGTAGGACACAAAATGGCGTCCGATGTCCGCAGAACGTTTAATGACGTCATAGCAAACAAAAACAAATCTCATAGAGCTAACAGAAATATTTAGAATGAATAAAAGTAATAGCCTTCTGCGGAAAAATTTTATCTTCAACCACTGAAAATTTCAAAGCAATTGGTCCAGTATTCGAAGAGAAAAGCGAAAAGCGGTTTTTTAATATTTGCACTAGGTGTGTTATTCTGTGTCAAACAACAAGAACAAGAACAACATAATGTTGAAACGATCGTTATGTCCACTACGTGTCCAACAATGGCTTGTTTTAAATCAAATTTTTTCTGTATTTTTTATTGAAATATCTCTTATATCGCCGCGAAACTACGCCAAAACGTTGTATTCTGGCAGCTGCACACGCAGCCGTAATTATTTTTAAAAATGTAAGTAAAATTTTTTATTTTGACTTTTTATCGCCATGTTAGTATCTCCACCAAAGTCAGAAGATTTTATCCGGAGTGTTTAGCTGAGATATCAGAGAGACGTTTTGAGTAAGAAAAATCATGAAAATTAGCTCACGAGCCTACTTCTAAAGCAATTAGATAAAGTGCAGCCAATCGGCAAAACGAGTGGGTTGCGATAATGAAGAATATGCTTATATCGACGGTAATCTACTAATATAAACGATGAGACACCACTGGACCAGCCTATGTAAATTGTAAGGTGCCTCTGATGCAAAGACGCCACAAATAATCTGTTATGATGCCATAATATGGATTTCGAGTACATTGTACATTGTTCTGAAGGCATTATTACGGTTAATACTGTCCGGTTAATTTATGCTTAGCATACTTTGTTTTTAAAGTTGAAGTGTTGAGTTTTTTAAGGTTATATATACAAACTCATTTATTCGATCGCATTTCAATTTTCGCAAGGTGGTTTTTATCGAAGCAGGGGGTTCGTTCACGTAATGGCTTATCGGTTGCGTCTTACTGGGCCAACTACTGAACTACAGCTTGAGAAGGTGTGCATGAGCCTCGATTGATATTTGTGGCGTTTTGAAAGATTTATTGCAAATAAGAAGCGCTTGGCAAGTTTTTACATCCATTTTTCTTCAACCTATTCAATACAAAAAAATCAAATAGTACAGCCATTTTGAACAAAACAGGCAAAAAAAACTTGATTTAAAACAATTGTTTTAAAACAATTCTTTTTAAACAAATCTATAGCGATTACCCTTTGGCTTTACTGGAATAGGCTAATGCTTCATATCAAATACCCCTTCTTTATATTAATAGAAATAATTAACTTACATAATCCTTCTCCAGCTCTTTGATACCCAGGTTGTAAAAATCGATCACATCCTTCGCATTCTCTGAAACAAGCTCTCTTTGTAATGTAGAGGAAAAAGATGACCAGTATGATGGTGCTGCATATTACTCCAACGAGAAACCAGATCGCAGTGTAGGAAACTAAGAAAAAGTATTAAAGTTAGTGAAAAAAATAGCCAAAAAAAATTAAAGCTAATAAATTGGAAAATAGAACATACAGGATAATACAGTCAAGTCGTGTTGAAATTGCCAGAAGCTTCTGGTGCGCCATCGCCTTCATCATTTGAGTTTCAAACAAATTTGCTCAAAGCGCGGTCACGCGCGCTCACTAAGAAAATCCAAGATTTTTGGACACGAAATGGACTAATAGATCGTTTTGTTCTTAGACACGTAGTGGTCATATGGATCGTTTTGTTATTATGTCGTTGTTGATCATGTTGTTTTACTTCCTATCGTTATGAAAAAAATCGCTCTTCCATTACTGTACCAATGACTTTTCAGTTGTTGAAGACTGTACATTCCGCTAGAAGGCTATTACTTTTATTTATTTAAATATTTCTGTGAGCTCTATGGGATTCGTTTTTGTGTGCTATGACGTCACCAAAATATGCACTTCTTGTGGCGGTTACGCGAACGCGGCGGATCTTGCGCTTAGCGAACGCCAGCGGATCTCGTGCTTAGCGAAAGTGGGAAATTTTTTATGGGGAACGGTAGACTGTGGGGCCTGATCTGGTAATACGTGATTTGAATCAGTTGGTATTTCAACTCACGTTGAAATTGAATTATAAAGAATGAATCATCGTCACAGGACCTCAAAAAGCTATGACAGTCCCTGTTCCGTCACGGTATCTCGATACAGGTACTGATAAGTTACCGCTCACAATTTTCGGGTAATAGATGATAAAATATTTCGTTGAGCCCACGTGTGCACATATTAGATCATACCTTTCTTGGTATGTTGTTGTTTTTGTTGGTATTTTTTATTTCTTGTTTTTAAACCGCGACTGGCCCGTGGCCAAACGTTTTTTACGATATGATTCTAAGTCAGCATAATCTATTCCGAACTCCAACCACTGACTGAATGCTTTGACTAAAACCGGAGATTTATGATCGCTCGAACTGCTTGGCAATTAACCAAAACAATACTCAATACCGTCCAAATGGTCTGCAATAGTGAGTGAATACTGTATGTATAGTGAAAGAATAGGCTTCCTATTCGAATTTTCGACATGTCAGAGATGGGGACCGTACATAACGAACCCACGTACATTTGAACCCATGTGTATATCCGCGGGCTCAATCTATATGCGGGTGCTAAAACCCATGAGTTAGGGTTAGTATGGGTTCAAATATCCGTAAAACAAAGAAATTTCCATAGGTGCAATAGTATGCAGGTGCAATTGTCGTGGGTTCAAATGTACGTGGGTTCAAATGTAATGGTACCGTCAGAGACTAAATCGGAATCGAATCTAAAAAACGGCCAGACACGCTTATCACTATAGTTATGTCCAGAAATTCCTCTGAGGTTATCAGAATGCAATAATATATATATAAATGTGGCATTACTGTAGTCGGGCAAGGCAAGTACATCTCCCATTCTGCACGCAACGGTTCACATCCAACTCTTTCAAGCGATACCGGCAGCCAACATAGACTGACATAAGATAAACTGAAATATTGAACAACACAAATAAGGAATTAAACCGTTTTCCTCTCCCCATGTAGCTGTATACTAATAAAAGTATTGAGTTTGATTTGGAAACTGGAATTTTTTTTATCAAAAACTTTATAATTGGTCCATAATAACAAGTGGAAAAGAATTACTGGTGTTGATTTCCGCGACTTGCCGACACAATTTCGGATCTATTACACAGAAGCAGATGTGCTACTAAAAACACCAAACTGATACTATTTGAGGAACAGGAAAATCGCGGTATAATATTGTACTTTCAGAAAATACAATAAATATACAATTTCTAATCAACTTCCAATTTAACTGTACTCATCAACTTGCAATTTAATTCAAAACATAACTTTGAATCTTCTAAACTAGCTCCTGAGAATTTACACCTTGAAGACGCAGCTAATTGGAACCTCAATTTAGGTAACGCTACAGCTAACTCAAAAACAAAGGCCAAAGTGCGAATCAACGCAAATGTAGTATCCTGTTCTTTATATTTAATGACTTCAAATGTAATAGAATAGAAGAATTCTCTTCCGGCATGAGCAGCCTCGACAGTACGCGTGCTGTGAAGCGATTGATTAGGATGCACCATATATATTTTAGAACCCTTTATATGTAACTTTGATTCAGAATTTAGTATGGCCTTGATGAATAGTGAAATATCAAAGTGGCCTAATAGGTCTTGGGTTATTCCAGGTAAGGACTAGATAAGTCTAGGCCAAAACCGTCGCCTTCTAAAGTAAAATGTAAAGTTTCTTTTATACCGGACTAGTTCGGACTATTTTCAATTTCTAATATTATCTCATTTACGTAATTCTAGCTTTCCTTCACAAGCATATTATCTTACTAATGCGATCATCTGGATACACCTGACAGGTAAATTTTCCTGTCTGTTTGGAGAGCAGTGCGGAAAGTTTACGGATCGATTTCGTCAATCATAAGTTAATATTAATTAGTGGCTTCCGTTCGAAAACATCCTGCGAATAACTTTCCTAATACAAATTAAGAAGTTTACCGGTATTCTAGAATTGCATCCGGCAGTCTGATTTTCACGCGTAAGTGTAGACGCCGACACACAGACACCAATTTGCTTTTCAGTTTGTGTAAATGCCTTATGTCAATCATGCCTTGTTTATGTGAAAGTTACGCAGTTTATTGATATCAGTCTAGCTAGACTACAACTTGCTGTCAAAAATTCATTGTATTGTCTGATCATGATTATTTCACTTTGATTACAAATTATTTAGAAGTTTCAAATGATGTGGATTTGATAAAAGATTAATTTGAACCGGCAAGTAGAATTTTTTGTGATAAACAGTATATCTGATTTCATAAAACAGATAATAATACGCAGCGGGTTGACAAACAGAGTTCAGAGGAAACGGAAAACTGATGTCAAATTACATCTCGCGATAACACTCAACCAAGACAAAATCCCGGCATAAATCCTGTTTAACATTTGCGTGTTCTATCGAAATGCGTGACGATTTGTTTTTTAAAACCATGACTCAGAGTAACATACCGCATATTATTGTATTGTGCGTTTCAAACTCTTTTGAACTGTGGGAAATTTTTAATGTCTTATAGCACCAAATACTACTTTTAGAAATGAGAATTGGAAGAAAATAGCGAAAGGATACCAAGGAACAACATCTATTCTGTTAGGGATTGAAGAAAGACAAACACGCAGTTTCCCTTCAATGGTTCTCAGCTTCCACGTTGTTCAGCTTTTAGTTTTTTATTCGAATAATTATGCGGTCTTCTTTATCGTTGAGCTGCCTGCTATACTGACAAATCTGAATGGCTAACTGAGTTTCGTTAATCTATCATAAAGCCTCAAAACGAAATTCTGGGAATCCCGAATTCACACTGTTGATTTTTAAAATCTTGCAAAAACGAGCTCATTGATTTCAAATTTGACGCGGAACATCTCAAGGTCTTTTGTCACGGAATATTGGTTGAAAATCTCTTTTCAAACTAATCCAATAGAAGTAAACATTTAAAAGTTATGTTTATAATTGCCACTGACTTCGTACAATTTGTTTCATAAGAATGTTAAAGTGAAAATTCCGGCCACAAAATCACCACAACATCGCTATATAACTTTACTATTATGCAGATAAATGTTAGATACATTTTCTACACAAATGAAATGTTTTTTAACGATGTTCCACTAAAATAAATAACAAACTCACCGACATCTCCTTCTTCAGGCGCCATATCATACAGCTAAATATAGTCATACAGTTAAAACTATACTTCTGTTGAAATGCGAAATAAATAGAATAATACGGGAAACGATCATTGTTGCTAGCACTCAAAAATAGAACTGCACAAATGTAAGAAATTATTGCGAGTTAGTTGCTGTCAACGGTCCACAAGTTATGAATGAACCATGCTAGTTGGAAGTACTCAGTAAAAGTTTTGGGTCCCCAGGTAATATTCACAAATTTTGGGGAGTAATGACCGTTCTAGAACCAAACCATTCATTCGTATTAGATTGGACTGGGTCGCTCAGATCTAACTGATCGTCGTTTATGGCGTGAATTATTTTACAGGGATTACTCCAGTTTCATGGCTTTAGAAAATGAGAAATTTAATTTATAGTCATACGTTCTCATGTCGAAGTTTCCTGAAATATGTACAGTCCCAAAACGTTATTATGACGTCAAATCATCATATTTGGATACAAGTGAATACGCATAAACCAGCCTAGTATTAACAGTAGTGAATCTAATACGCTAATAATGACTGATCACAACAATTAGGTAAATACAGTAAACCATTCGTTCCATAAGGCCGGAAACTTGTAATTAGCATTCAATATCTCAAGCGTTAGACTAATACGCGAACCTCCTTGTAGCAATCCTTGATCTGATGTCAATAGCAAGAAATAGACGACTATTAAATAAGTGCTTCGAACTCTCAAACGCAGTCTCCGTTGCAAAATATAACATATAGCCATATGTTTTGATTAAGCAAAAGACAGTCTATTTATTCAAGTGAATGGATGTATTTTCATTACGTAGTCAATGTGACTATAATCACGGACAGCTTACTCGATGCGCTTAAAATAAAGCCAGACTCTAAAAATATTTGATACCGACGCATTGGACAATGTATCGGGGAATATTTATATGGGCTGCAGTAGTATAAGACCACAATGCCATGTCTATCACGGGGAGTTCAGTCGGTAACTAGTTCGGATAACAGACAGTGTCGCGTATGGCGTGCCGTAGACCGTGGCCAGGGGTAGCATGCGCATGCGGCTCTTGCTCCGGTTTCACGAGGCTATTTTTGCCCAGGTTATTTTAAGGAAAGAATAACTTTAAATTACGATTCATCATGTTTCGTTTATATTTATTATGATTAGTCGTGCATTCTTCTTTTACGTCGAAGATACATGAACGCCGACTCAGATGAGGCTGCAACTGAGTTGAAAATGATCGATCTTTATGAGGAAGACTAACTTTAAGAATTTCTGAGGATTTATACCCTAAAACACGTGAAATCAAAGATCAAATCATTGATCTGTTCTGACTGAAACCCATGTGAAAAAACTGCTTTGATTAAAGAGGATTGTTCAATCTAAGGAATGCCAGAAGTCCCATTATAAGTAGCATGTATACCAATAAATGGCTTGTATATTTTTGTCATAATCATGTTGGTTAGCGACATTTACAATACACTATCATTAAAACAGAGCTGAATAAAGGTATATCTGATGTTCATGTGTGTTATTGTTTATAATGTGGGTCTTCGTGGGAATAAAGTACGAAATGCGGCTCTTGGTCTCTGACCGGTTGGCCACCCCTGACGTAGGTAAAGGTGCCAGCGAGCTAGCTTGCGAACAGTCATGTTGAATGTCCCACCACGGAATCGAATCTGTTACTCCGTAGACCGTTATCGAAAACAAATGTGAGTGGTCAGATACCAAGCAGATGAACTCTACTGCATTTTTGCGGAACCTTACAAATCCAACTTTTCGTACAATATCTTGGTTTTACTTGGCATTAGATGTATAAACCCATATATATTCGGAAAATAAAAACAGATGTTGAAATTATTCTATAACGACATAAACATGTCGACTGGATATAAAGCAATGGATAAAACAGGTTTCTGTATAGTGATTGCATCAACCGAGCCACAAATAGCGGATCGCGGACACATGGCGACATTTGAGATCGACGAAGGACGACTAAAGTGAGAGACTTTTCGGCAATGTGAGCATGACGCGTGTCACGTATATCTCATTATAGTTTCCGCTGTGTGCTTCCGTTATTGTACCCTCATCAAATTTAGTTTCGACATAAGTCATGAAACATTTCAATACAGAGTTAAGCATTGTTAAATATTGTCTCAGTTTATCACAGGCAATCCCATTCATCTCCAACAATTCGGATTACAAAACGTTGTCAATCGCAGATACCCTAACTTTTGGGTTAAGTTTTCATCATTTCAGTGGTAGTTTGCACATCATAAAAATAGTTTCGTATAACATAATCATTACTCACTTCCACTGTTAAGTCCACCGGTTATCATGTCTCACTATAAACTTGCCATAAAGAGATGTAAACAAGTTTTGAAGACGTCCACAAGTTCACTCACGTCGTTGCAAAAGTCTCTTATTGCAGGCGCCCGGTTTGACTAAATTATCTTAACAACTGTCTCGCTCTGCGACAGAAAACAAGCCGTGAATAGGACCCTGATAAATATTTAATGCAGTGCAACGTGCAACACGTCGTCTCAATGCGTATCTGACCTCTTCCAAAATTCTTCACATTGATCGACTGTTTTATAATTATACACCAGAGTATGATTTGCCCATGCCATCCTATTATCTCTGGAGTTTCAAATGTGCATGGCGATAAAGAAATAATATAATAGAGGACAGAAGATCATTACTGTGTCAAGTAAATATCATTCGATTTGCGAATGCTTTGTGATTGCTTCAGGATCGAATTGAAGAGCATGTTTACTTTCTCTAGTCGTCAGCATTTGCGCGCAGGTTGTCTCTACTTCTTTTCAAGCAAACCACTAATCTTTTACTCAGTGCAGTCAGTACTCATATATTTGATTACGCGTATAGTTATTCTTAATGTTGTGTGTATGCATTTGTGTGGTCGGTTGTAACATAAAATTGTACAATGCCTTTTTTAACAAATTTTAGGTATATAATATAGGGCAAATAATAATGCGTCTAGCTAGCTCATAATTAGTTTGTTCTTTGAAACAAATACATCGTTTATTTATAGAGACTACACACCCGTCCTACATTATTATA